AACTTGATACAGCCGATGCAAAATGTAATTCAAAGAAATTGAGATAAAATCGGCACCAATTGATCGTCTAAATCGGAGGGCTTCGGTGAGACAAGTGGCAAGTGGGAGTGATTATGCTTGCGCGTGAATTATCAAATTAACCAGGGCCTGAACTTTCCCATTAATCAGATCAGAGAAATCGTTGGCATTGAACTCTGGGGTCTGGCAATTTTCACATTAAATTCATCACTTCCTTCCGCAATGATCGCACCCTGGGAATTTGTTGTTTTTCTTTACTGGAAGCAGATCTCTCTCGTATTTTCTATAATCGAATTATCCAGTCGGAGCTATTGATTATAGCTAACCCGCATGTTGGAATCAATCACTCACTTCAGGAATTTTACTTTTAGCAAACAAAATTTTTCAATATTTTAAACAAGTGGGAAATTGCTATTGTATTGTATATCGTATAATTATTTTTGATAATAAATTAACAATATGACATAATTTCCTTCTATCATGTATAATTCATTGTTTATTTTATTTTATTCAATTGAATAACATATTTTCTTAACTAATTTCGTCAGATTTTCAATTTAATTGAAAGTTGTCATCATCATTATTCTTATTATTCCTTTCTCCTATATTTTATTCTCCCCTCAGCTCTTCGATAAAAGGTTATTAGAAAAATGTAATTTATGGATAATTGAATGAATTTGAAACATCACATTTGAAGAAACCATCGTAAGGCTTTCAGTGAAATTCATGAAAAATTGGAAATTTTCAACAATCATCGTAAAAATCAAATCAATCAATTTTGGGATTGGACACAGAGTGTCCATAAAATGACGCTTTATTGACAGTCTGATGAAAAAAAATTGTACGATACAGTTATCTGATTTTCCATCTCTCTATATTATAAAAATCGAAATCGATTTTAACTACTCGAAATTAAGACTCCGAAATTAAGGGTCATGAGGATCAAAGTAAGGGTCATGAGGGTCAAAATAAAGGCCACAAGGGTCAGAATAAGGTTCACGGGGATCCTAATAAAGGTCACAAGGGTCAGATTAAGGCTTATGTGGGTCAGATTAAGGGTCACAAGATAAAAGGTTACAAGGGACAGATTAAGGGCCCCAATAAGGGTAACAAGGGTCAGTTAAACGTCTAATTAAGTGTCACCAGGATCGGAGTAAGGGTCACAAGGGTCAGAATAAGGATCCAAATAAGGGACATGGGGTTCAACAACCAAGGATCAGAAACTAAGAGTGACCAGGATCGAAATAAAGATCACGAGGGTCGTTAATGAGGGTTAGAATGAAGGTCACAAGGGTCAGATTAAGGCTTATGTGAGTCAGATTAAGGGTCAGAACATAAAAGGTCACAAGAGTCAAATTAAGGGCCCCAATAAGGGTAACAAGGGTCAGTTAAGGGTCTAAATAAGTGTCACCAGGATCTGAGTAAGGGTCACAAGGGTCAGCATAAGGGTCCAAATAAGGAACATGGGATTCAACAACCAAGGCTCAGAAACTAAGAGTGACCAGGGTCAAAATAAGGGTCACGAGGGCCGTTAATGAGGGTTCGAATGAGGGTCACAAGGGTCAGAATAAGGATCATGGGGATAATATGGGGGTTGGCGAGCGAGCATAACATAATTAAATAATTTCAATTCCACATTATGATTCTGTCAATTCCTGTCCGGCCTCTAATTGAATTACCAGTGAAACTTGAAATTTCATGATTTTTCCTCCCTTAAATCGCAATCAACGTCACTCTCCTAAAAATTCCTCGTCGACTGTCCAAAAAATTTCAATTTTTTTCTACGACTGTATCGGATTCATCTCACGCAATTTTAAGTGCAATTCCTCCGAAAGTATTGTCCCAAAAAAAAACACCTGCGTCCACGAAAAAAAGCCTCCCCGCAACAGCCGGAGCAGACGCTCTGGCATCGCGCGAGCCCCAGGACATTCACCCACCGTTCCCTCTCCCAGCCCCCCCCCGCCCCGGAATTCTTTTCACCTCGTGCACAAAACCCCCCGACAATGCATCCGAAAACATCACACAATGCACTCCAATGACCGTGAAACAACTAGACGAGGCTTGACATAAACCGCTGAATGACACAACATTGTCCCGGAAAATAAGTACAGCAAGTGTAACGGTTCTGTCATTGTTCCCCCCGCATATATTACACAATAATAAAAATGTCCATCCAACAAAATCATCCCCGATGCTATTATCTTTATTGTTAAATATCCTGGGTCATATCGGTGTAGCACAATTCAACGAGAGACAACTCTTGCGCGTTGGGAGGGCTCTGCAAGACATCAAAGTGGGTCAGTGAGAAATCCACTCGCCGGTGTGTGTGCGACATGAGGAGTCACCGGCGGTACCCGGCACCCGTCAGTCGTACGAGAATTGTCCGGGAGTCAACAGGTGCCCCAATCAGCCATTCAACGAATTTTTTTCATTTTTTTTTCACGAATTAAAATTAAATTAGACGAGTTCAAGTGTTTCGTTAAAATAATCTCTAAATACGTGCCATGATAGACGGGGCTGACCCCCTCAGCTACACGAGCCAATAAATAACAAATAATATTGCAAATAAATAAACGAGAGGAATTAAAAAATGAAGTTGAAGGTAATAGCACGAAGAATAGCGACTAATTGTGAAAATTTACTTCAATTTTGTGAAAATCCAGCGGAAAAGCCTAGATTGATGTTAATAGCTTCCCAATTACCCGTCACTATCGCGAAAATTATGTAGAGCGGAAATAGTGTGTAAATGTGCGTGATTATGCTATAACGATACGGTACAGGTTTATTTGTTTGTTACTCTCCTTTCATTTCGCCAAAAGTATATGAAACTATAATGCCAGCAGTTCGTTCTGATTTTTAAATTGACAACTGGTTTTCCGTGAGGCGAGAGAAAAAAGATAAAAGCGCAGATGTTGTTTCAATAAAATACACTTGATTAATTGGAGCGAATGATGAAAGTGGCGGGAATGACCGTTTGCGCTGAGAATTCCAATGATTTTCTTTTTTATGTACAAAATAAGATCACTCGTTTGGCAGTTAATGTCCATTGGGGATGCCTCCAATGGTAGAAAGTAAACCGACCAGCTGTTGAATTCACGACATTATTTTCTAATATTGATGGAAAAGGGGGGCGATGAGCGAAAATGTTCATAAATAACCCGGGAAAAAATTATCATTCAGATGGAAAAAAAACAAAATGGACTTGGTGAATAGCCAAGGGGGCCATTAAATTTCTCCGTGATCATCAGTTGTATGATTCTGCTATTTCATACTTCATTCATATTTTTATTACTGCCGTATTTCTTCCTCATTGCACATTGTAATTGAATGAATATAATCGTAAATGAGAAAATTCGTGCGGCTTGGACTATTTCGAAGACATCAATCGTGTCACTGTTTCCTCGCACCGTGAAATTTAAGTCGACTTGGCGGTGCCTGAGAGTCGAAAGCTCACATTGTTACGATTTTTTTTTAATGGTTCGCCCCGCTTCTACTTTGAATTTGTTAGGGACTTTGAATTTGTTTCGGACTGTTAACAAACGACTCTTTTGACTTTCGAGCTCTGACGGGCGATCCGACTTTCTTCGGATTTACTTCTGTCGCTGATATTTCGACACCTTAATGACAGACAAGCGTAACAGCGGGGAATTCATGGCACTTACGCGCGTCTGTCAGTCACCTGTCGATTTTTATCTGACGTACCAATTATGTGTCAACAAATATTTTTTTATATATTTTTTGGGATAATGGGTTTAATGGGAAATTCAAGTGGGGCGGGCGACCTTTGAAAGGGGTAAGAGGGTCAAATTTTCAGGTTTGATGTCCCGTTTTTTTCATCAAGAAAATGAAATTTCTTGACGAAATGAAATGGAAAATTTGAGTCAAGGAAATTCTGTAAAAAAAAATTCTTGATTTTTTCTATCCACTGTTATAATTTTTTTGAAAATTAAGCAATAGTTGTATTTGAATTCTCAATGTTGTGAATTTGGATTCAATTTGAGATCAAATCGTTCATGGAATCTCTCATTCGGTTTGGAAATTCAGGAGAATTGGTTTGCCATGTTAGATTATCAGTGATATTTCAATGACATCTAGAATTTTCAAGCTCATTGCCGAAATTCAATGGTTTGAAAATTCAGGGAAATTGTTGCCTGAATTTGAAAATTATTTAATAATTTTCATTATCACGTGCACCTGGAAATTGCAATTGCATTGAATACTCCAGAATTCAACAGATTTTTCAATAATAAAATACATGAAAATTTCGTATGAATGAGCGATTGTTAAAAATTTCAAGATTTTTCACTTGAAATTTCAGGAGTAATTTTCTAACGGTGTAGAATTTTTTCTAGTGAAAATTTCAATAGAATCGCCCAAAAACTAATAGAAAATTCAATAGAAGTTTAACAGAATTGTCTAGCGAATTGACTAGTTTTTTCTATTTAATTTTTTCGTACAAGAATTTTCAGAAGTGTCAAGAAATAAATTTTGAGAAGATTTTTCTCGTGATATTGGGTCAAAAAGGTCTCAATTTTATCTCATCTTCCTCATTAATCATTTTCGTAAGGGTCAGAAGGGTCAAAGTTTCAGATATATTTTTCTTTAATAATTTCCGTAAGCGTCAGAAGGATAAAGTTCCAGATCTCTATGAAATAGAATTAAAGTCCTGTTAGTGATATTCTTAAGGGTCCGAAGGGTCTGAATCTCAAAAGGGTCAACAAATTCGAAATCTGAAATATTTCTCATTAGTGGTTCTCGTAAGGGCCAGAAGGGTCAGAATTAAAATAACAATATTCATTACCTTAAAAACGATCAAATAATTCTCAAAAGACATTCCATCAAATCTAATACCATTAAAAAATTCTGAAGTTGAAAAAAATTCACCTCCGCAAATTTCCAAAAATGAAGAAATCCGCGCTAAACCCAAATACCCCAATTGGTCATTAAAACCACGTAAAGAATGTATCGGCGTCTCCATGCATATGCATTCAATCGAAAGTATGCAAATCCCCGAAGCCATTCACGTATAACCGACTAATTATCATAGAAACTCGACCGGAAAGGAAAGTCCGAAGGAACTTCACCTTGAGCCATATTTTATTCCAGATGATGTTGTTGGCGATGCTGGCCACGTGCCTGGTGATCCGGGCGGAGGTGCCGAAGCCGAGTTACGCCAGGACGATGTTGAAGGTCGGCAGAAGCCTTCCAGGAGAAACCCAGGAGCTGCAAGTCCGAACGAGTGAGGGAAACATTGCGACGCTGATCGTGAAACGTCGGGAAAAAGCCGACAGCTTCGATCACTCAAAGAACGTTTCAAAGTCTGCAGAGGACAGAAAAGCCGAGGACATGAAGAAGAACGAGCCGACGTTCTTCAGACTGAACACCCAGACGCCCTCTAGCGCTCAGAAGGCCGATCCTGACAGCTGGACACCCCTGAGGGACAGCAGTTCGTTGAACGTCCTAGAGCCGACGACGGAGTCCTACCTGAGCTGGAAGCCCCTGCCCTCGGACTCCACCAGAGCCACCACCGAGGAGCGGACGAATTACGGTTTGATCTTCGCCCGGAACTTTCAACAACGAAACGACAGGACCCTGGAGCCCCAGGACCAACGGAGGACTTACACGGTCCTCCCACACTCGCGCCCCCTCACCAGAACCAACATCGGCGCTAACCTCTCGAAGAACCGGGACGGCAAAAACGTCCCGCCAGAGGTGACCGTCCGCTCCGAGATCAACGTCAAAAGCTTCCCGAAGAGAACGCCGATGTCCATCGATGCTGACGGCATACCCGTGATCCAGGGAAAACGAGTGCCAGACGAACCCATCGATAAAATCGAGACGTGGAGAAATGCCCGGGTCATCAACAATAAATTAGTTTCGGACGCCGCCACGCCGGACGCCACCGGCAGCACCGGTGAGGCTGGCTCCGAGAAACGGAGATTCGAGAGGTTCTTTCAGGATGTCAATAGAAGGTGGGTTTCTAACTTTATGTAAAGAGAATTTCTCTTCATTGAAATTAACATCGAGGAACATTCTCGGGGAATCTCATGATAAAATTGATGATTTCTACGGAAATGTGTAATTCAGTAGATTTCATGTGAAATGACACAATGTTCCACAATATTTAATGGGAACAAATCGAGAGAAATTGCTTAATGTTGATGGATTAGTGGCTATTTTCTATGAATGACTGTTTTTTAATAATGTTATTAAAATTTTGTTGTGAGACGTGTGTGAGAAAATTGTGACATTTCATATTCATGAGATTGAAGTCCATTGGTTAAGAGACCTCTGGAGTGAAAAAACTACTGAAGTGCGGGGAAAACTTTGGGTTATGAATTCTCGGCCGAAAGGGGATGGAAAAATCGAAAAGCTTGCTTAAAAATTTGTTCATTTTATAGAAAACGGATGAAGTGAGTTAATAGTAATCTGAAGAAGATAGATAATTTTAGGAAAGGTTTGAAAGTGCGAGGTGGAGGCGTCAGCCATTTCGTGTTGTCGAACATTTCTCAGAATTATTTACTCTCTTCAGATCACCTTCAACTCATTTCACGCAGTTCCTAGAGAATAATAAATTCTATTAGTTTTTGGTCTCTTGGAAAATTCTGCAGCTTTACCATGCGTTTTTTATAGTAAATGTTTAATAGAAACTATTGTGTATCAAAAATTATTGAAATTTAATTTTTCTATACAACTTTTTCGGATGAGACATTGTCTATAGAAATTCCTCGACATGAATTTTCCTAGTTTCCTCCATTCCATTCTTCTTCTATCTTCTTTAAGGATATCCAAATTTTCTTTTACAGTTTAGTACAAACCATTTTCAATCATCAAACTTGCCAATTGAATTCCGTGAGAAAAGATTTTAAAAAATCATGAGTATTCAGCGTCATTCAAATTACATGTCGCACATAATTATTATTTTCTGTAAACATTCGTATTATTTAGAAATAAATAATTGAAATTTTCAGAAACCCTATTTTTTGAGGCATGAAATCAATTTCTGGTAAAATTCTGAATGTGAACAAATTTTTTACGATTCCAAACAAATGATTTTTATTTTGGAAAATTGATTGTTCATAAATTAATATAGATGAATATAGATAAATATATAAATGCTCATAATTTTCAAAAATCGCAATTTCTAAGTTATTTTATCACTCTTCCCCCAAAAGTAAACCTTGTAATTTTTTCAGATTTTTAAGATATTTTCTAACGATTCAATATCGAGATTCAAATTTAGACCTGCAAAGTTTAGATAATAACGTCATTATAAAATGTTCGGAAATTGATGCATTCCACTGAAGAAAAAATAGCTCAAATACTTGGATGTCCTTGAAGAAATCAAACAAAGACTTCAAAAACTTGAGCCAGACAATTTCTATAGAACAATTTTTTTTCTATAGAATATTCTCCATTGAAAACTTATATTTTTCGACCGAATCGGCCAAAAACTAGCAAAAAGTTCACTAGAAATGCAACAGAAACTGTATCCCTCAGATTTCGTCATCCTTTCGGCTGAAAATTAATGTCGCCGAGTTGTCCCCGCACTTCGCAATCTTTCAAAATTCTCACTACCGATAATTCAATGAAGAGAAATATGAAAATACCGTAAATAATCGAATCAATTACAAAGACAGACAGACAGACGTAAACCCTTATTTCAAACACAGCACCCACCAACAGGCGTTAACCCCGGAACTCTGGCTTCGCAGGTACGGCCGAAACTTCGACGAGGAGCCGCGCAACGTCTACTACGAGTGGGACCCCCGACGCCACCGAAACGTGGCCCTAAACGCCGATATCTACGAGACCGGTAACGAGCACTACCGTTCAAACATCCAAAAGCGGATGCTGCACCCAGAATCCACACAGACCTACCCAAACTCCCAGATGTACACGCCAGAGAGCCAGAAGATCGCTCCGCTGACGCTAAAGCCCGGAGCCCGCGCCCCAGTTCTCCAATACGCGCACCCAGAATTGGGTGTTCAGCCCGCAAAGATCTTGAAGATCGAGAAGAAACGGCCAGACAACTTCCCAGAGAACCAGAACTCCTTCACAGAGCAGAGACACAAGAAGAAGTACGTGCTGAATGACAAAAACGTCATCGACTCGTACAGCGCGAAGAACTACTATCCAAACCAGCAGTTCTACGGTCTGAAGCGGCCCTCGGAGCCGCCATTTTGGGTGAAGATATCCGAGAACCTGAAGAATCAGTTCTCGACGGGAGTTGAGAAGGTCTCCCAGTTCACAAAGCCTGTTTTTGATCCTCTGGTGGAGGCGACTCAGAAGATCTCCCAGAATCTGGGGCTCTCCAGAGGTCAAGAGGCGCAGAACAAGGTGGGAATGGTCCCCCCAGGGTCATCTATTCTGATCCCCGCTCTGGGTCTGGTGGCGTCTGGCGCTGCTCTGGGAATCGGTGCAGTTGCTGTCGGAAGGTTTCTGGACGTCGATGTGATGAGGCGATCTGACGAGAATGATGAATACAGCGAGGAAGTGGAGAACCGGAGGGCCCTTCAGGGGGCGTCTGACGGACTGAGATCGCGTCAGCTAGGGACTCTAAATGCTGCCGAGGAGGGCGACAGCCCAAGAAACGAAAGACGAAAGAGGAGTCTGGACGATCCTAATCTGTTCGTCCTTCCCACCGACGAAGACGACACCAGGAGCAGACGATTGAGGAGAACCGGGGCGGACAACCTGGTGGATATAATCGAGGTTGACATACCGGCCAGCAAGAACGACCTCCTTCTCCTCTTCGAGGACAACAGTCTTCCCGACGACGATCTGGCTGACGCAAGACGAAGTAGGAGAAGCCTGAGCGACAGAGAGCTGGGGGATGCCCTCCAGAATCTCCGCAACTCCGAGATATCCGATGCGCATGTCAATGGGGAGTGGACGCACACTCCCTGTGCCAAGAGAATATTCTGCGACGCCATGATTCAACATAGCGGCGACGCCTCGATGCTCATGGAAAAGAAGATGGAGTCGCTTCTTCGCCTGTAAGTTGTCCATTAGTGAAACCCCATGGCTCGAATGAAAAATGAATAGTCAATATCTAGTATTGATGATGACTAATGACTAACGAATGATGTGGCGGTTACTAATGGCCTCGACAACCTCTAACCCATCAATAAAAAAAGTGTCTGGGAGAAACGCTCGACTCGTGTCTCGCGTAAACAGTACAGCATTGATTATTTCCAATCGTCTGAATGAATGTCAGTGGCCGAAGGTGTGTGAGATTTATTTTTTTCCTTCAATAGTGTGGGTTATGGGTCTGACTGGGCACAACTGTACCACACGCGGATAACTTTCTTCTCCTGCTTTCGCCCGCACACCGCACGTCCCACTGACTGATTCAACTTTTACCTCTTAACACAGTTTCACTGTCCGTGTGTGGATGAATGATTGAGGAGGGCAAAACAAAAATTATTGGGGAATTAGACCTTTCACTGCTGGTGGTCTTTTATGGTTTCGGTGGATTTAGTGATTGGGTAATGCGTGATGGAGATTTTTGGAATTATGTCAGATAATGGGGTTTATTCGTGGTGAGAAAGTTGGAAAAACTGCGCATTAGGACTCAACAAGCGGTGAACAATTCTTTTTCCACTGAAGGCGGAAGTTTGTACAGCGTTCCGCGTCTTGTGACGTCACAGGATATTGTTGGATAGGATTTTGGGGGAGGTAGGAGGGGGCCAGAATGATTCTCGTTATTAGTTTACAGGAAAAATCTACTGAAAAATGGGTAGTCCAGACCGGGATTTGAACCCGAGACTTTCCGATTATGCGTCGGGTGCTCTCCTATTTTTTTGGTTTAACCAAATTTTTATTTAATAACAGTCATTATTTACAATATGTACACGTCGGGTGCTCTCCCAACTGAGCTACTCGGCTTCTAGCTACTTCTTCATTTCAAATTTTCTGTATATATCAAGCTCCGTCGTTTTTCACACGGCAATCATTTTTTTTCGTAGAAACATCTTTAATTTCAAGTTGAGAGCGATTCGCGGAGTTACCCAGACGGAAAAATTTATATTTTGAAAAATATTGTTATGTATTTGCCCTTCTCCTCCCTCTCAACTACCTTCATGTACGATCGTCTCTTTCTCGTTATTCTTTCATCTTGTTTTCTAGTCCGCGGACGCGTCAATCCTTTTTGTTCTTCTTTTTATTATTTATTTTGCTCCAAAATTCTTTTAATAAACATTTATTCTTATCAAATATCTCGTATTTTACAATATATTAAAAAATATTTCAATTTAGCCCAATTTATATAAAAAATATATAGTCTCTATATTTTTTTGATATATTCGTTATTAATTTGAACGATATAAAATGAATTAGCCCACAATATAATTTTTTAATGTATTTTTTTATGTGGGCACGTATGAAAAAACACTATAGAAAATTTCTAACGACTATAAATTCGACTTTTATCCTTGTCTTTGGATAGAATAAATAGAATAAATGAGAAAAATTAAGAATTGAAGACCAAAAATTTTATGCGACTATTATTATGTAATTTTAAGCTATAACTAAATTCATTTAAAGCACAGAATTGTTTCGCTGGGTTTTTCTAATAAATTTGTTCGTCTGTGTTATTTCTATTCGATTTTCATGAAATAGTCCCCCACTCTGCGTAATAATCCACATATCATAATCGCCCAAGAACCCACTACTCTCAACCATTAGTTACGCAACTATTTACATTGAGAGTAATTACCGACTTCGTAATACACCCTAATTGTTCCATTTTCATACACGGACGGCTCGACTCTCTCACCGCTTTCTAACGCCGTAATTTCGCCCCCCGTCGACTGTTCACCTTTTGTTTTGTCCGTAGGATTCAGCCTGGGGCGGCTGTTCAGGTGTCGAGTCACTTCCAGGAGGTCATGGAGGCCGTAAGAAGACACGACTGTTCGAGATTCCAGTGTCCACAGACACGTCCCACTGACGTCTTCTTCTAGGCTAGAAATATCTCCAGATCAGTATCGCGAGTGGTCAGCCACTGGAACAGAAGAAAATCATTCTATTATTTTTCTCGTGGAGACAAATGTTTTAATATCGGGGGGAATTTTCCACTGGGTTTGGAGATTATTGGAGAACCCGACGGATTTTGCACGAAAAGATTGCATTGAAAAATTTAACGAATTCGCTATACAATTCTATTCGATTTCCACTGAACTTTCTATTAGTTTTTCACCCATTCTGTTGAAAAAATCCACAAGTTATCGTGGAGTTATCGCATTCTTTTTCAATAGATTTGTCAAATCAAAAATATTCTATAGAAAAAGATTAATAAGAACCGATTTTTCTATGCAAGTTGTTCTATTGAGGTTTTGTTTGATTTTTTTAATGCAAAAGGAAGCCAGAGTGGAGAAAACTCGGAAAATTCATGTCGAGGAATTTCTACAGAAAATTGTATAGAAAGATGAAATTCTACTGATTTATTCTAGAAAACAGTTTCCATTGGATGAAAAACGGGTAGTAAAGGCTAATAGAATTCTCAGTAGAAGTTTAATTGAAATCCAACAGAATTTTCTGTCGAATGTTCTTCGACGAATTTTTTTCTTGCAATCGCTCGCCAGAAAAAAATGTATAGAAAATTTTACTGGATTTCTATTGAACTGTCTATTAGTCTGGCCCATTCTATTGAAAAATTTTGTGTCTTATCTGCGCATTTTTATCAATACAAATGTCCAATGGAAAGTAGAATAGAATAAATCACTATAATTCGATTTTTTCCTACAACGTATCCTATTTAGGTAATTTGTATAGAAATTCCTCGACTCAAGTTTTTTTGTTTCATTTTTTCAATGAAAGGGAAGAATTGGAGGTGGAAGAAATGTTTTTTCTATCGAATTCGCTAAGTTTTTTCATGAAACATCTTCTTGCGTGATGGAAATCCCTCGCACACCTGAATTTAGCGTAGTAACGTCAGACTGCAAAAACAATGTGCACATGTCGCTTATATTATTAGACATATGATATATTGTATTATTTAATCATTGTGAGAATGCCTGGTACACATGTATTTATTTCACCCTCGATTTACGTAGAAAACTAAGTTTTTAATTTAAATAATTTTAATTGTTCGTATTAATTCACGTGTATGAGTGCTAACAGGCTAGCTGTGGATGAAATAAACTAATTTTTTTAAAGAGAGAGTTATCATTCTTACAATTAACACTCAGCGGGAGTTTAATGTTAATCAGTTTTTCCTAATTATTCATTCTCCGAAAACAAAATTTCGAATCGATCTCGATTTCGTCGAAATTTACGATATAATATCTCCATGAACACTGAAAGACCAGCTTTCCCATCCATTCTTTCACTGTGAACAACATCGGAACCACGTATTCACTGGATTACGACTGGTTATCACCAGAATATTGATGTGAGAAACCAGGAATGAATTTTAAATAGTAAAACTGGAGTTCTTGTTTGGAAGATTGCTCCGTATCGAAAATTAATGTGTACTACCGGGCATGCGTGCTTCCTGCGAGGTATAAAATACCAGAGAGCATCAGTCGATGCTGAAGTTCAGCGCGATGACGAAGGCAGGGGGAAAATCACAAGTGAATGGATCTGTGTATGAGAATGAGGGTAAATGACATCGATCAAAACGTCTCTTCACATTTTAGTTTTTGTTGATCATCTCGGGATTGAAGGGAGATAACGAAACTCCTGCAGATACATTTTCTAATGCTTCTGTTTCGAAGATATTAATCAACAATTAATCCTCAATTCGATTGAACTTGACTCGTTCCACTGAAGTCAACAAAACATTAACTTTTATTTCTGTTCAGATTTTGTTTATTCATACGGATGGAATCGTGTCATGATGCACGCGATTGGGGGCTGGCCTGAGGACAATGACAACTTCTTTATGAGGAATCGAATATTTTTGAATGGCCTTGCACTTATGCTTTTTGTTATTCTACCGCAGTCAGCGAGTGCGGCTGTGTTTTGGGGAGATCTCAATGCTTTTATCGAGTGTTTTTCAGTGAATCTTGCGGTTAATCTGTCACTTCTGAAAATCGTCTGGCTCGGAGTTCAACGATCTAGTAAATACGATTTTTGCGTCGTTATGTTACCGTTTGGGCGAGAGGTTTTTCACTGGAGAAATCACCAAATCAGTGAGATGACCAATTTTATTTTGATTTATTTTGAAACGTATGGAAAACAATGAAAATTTATTATCGACATTTATAATTAATTTGCTACCACTTGACGTAATTTGAAATAATTTGAAATCATGAAATCGGGGCTAAAACCCTATGAAATCGCGAATAACCCCTCGCTTTTTGGAAATTGGGTGAAGAATAATTTCATTTATGATAAACAGCTGTTCAGAATCTACTGAAGCTGATGGCTGGTGACTGGTTGATGGAAAAAACACTTGAGGAGCACGAGGAAATGCTGAAGATGACTAAAATCATCAGACTTATTTCGTCACTCAGTTTTTACTGGACTCTCTGTCTCTTTGCAGCATACGTTTCTGTGCAGGTGAACTGCGTTGCGACAAACATTTTCAAAATTCAAAGGAAACTTTGACCTCTAATTATTGAATAATTTCAGATTCTCGTAGGATTCGAACTCAGAAATGATCCCAACGTCGACCCAAGACTATCAATTGGTTTTCTCTACACCTGTGTTTTCCCCTTCGATACTTCTCCACTAGCTGTTTTCATCCCCATCTGGATAGCCCAATTTCTCTGCACTTACTTGTCAATGGCTGGGTATTCTTCACCGGACAGCTTCTTAGGAATGTTTGTGTTTCATCAGTGTGGCCAACTGAAAGTGCTGCGTCGTAGATTAGAGAGAATTGTTGATGAAAAAACGATGGAAAATCCCCGGGTATTCTGGAAAAAACTCGGAGAAATTGTCGAGAGACACGAGCATCTGAATGAGTGAGGAAAACTGAAATATTGCCTCCTCTACTTTTACTCTCATCGAATAAAAATTTATAATTTTGCAGACGAGCATCAGAGATCGAGGAGAATTTCAATAAAATTTTTCTCGCTGCTACACTCGTTTGTATTTTTGCAACTTGCACTCAAGGATTCGCAGTTATAACGGTAATGAGTGATTGAAAATATTCATTCATTAAGGAGACTATTGATTTTTGGCTTGATTGTATATCTTCCCTGATTGTTCCAGTTGCTGCAAGAGACTGAGGGAGATTTTCCAGTGCTTCAGATGATATTTCTACTCGTCTTCACTACTTATGATTTGGGCCACTTTTTTGTATACTGTATGGCAGGAGATATATTGATGACTGAGGTCGATTAACCGCGTTTCAATCATGTCAACATTACACTGTAACATGTCAAATCTCATTTCAGAGCTCAAATTTTGGTGTCTCAATGTACAACAGTCAATGGTACAATTTAGCTCCCACCGATGCGAAATCAGTTCTCATCTTCACTAGTCGATGCATCATGCCACAACAGATAACGGGCGGAAAATTCACAGTTCTATCACTCCCCCTTTTTGCAAACGTGAGAACAATCGAAATAGTGTCATTATGAAAACTGATGGAGTTTAAGCGAGAATTACCTTTCAGGTCGTCAAAACCGCTGCCAGTTACCTATCAGTACTACTCGCCATGAAAGTGTGATGACACTTTAGTCACATTCAGACGGAAGAAGTATCCATATTCAAAACATTGTAGCAAAAAGTGTTTTTATTCAACAATTGTTGTAGCTGTATCAGATGACGAGAAACTGGATTCTCAGAATAATGTTTGCAAATTTCTACTCGATAAAATGAATGTTTTGACAGAGCGAATGACGATTGCAAGCTTGAAAAGTAACACTTGGATTATTATTTATCCTGACTTACCATTTAACGAAGGTCCCAACATTTGACATTTTTCAGGTCATAAATTGCTTCTGCACAGGTCATTTTCCAAAACTGATGACACCCTGATTCACAGAAAAATAAAAGTTGTTTTTAGGGACATCTCAGTAATTTTCAGGAATTTATTTTAGTCAATGAAATTGTTATAATTCAGTAGCGAAGTGGTAAAACGGTTCAAGTCGACTTATCTCCCAGTTGAGTTTTTGAAAAATATTTGCGAATCTAAGGAAGATAGCGAAATTATCATAAGTACATTTATTGTAGCTCTCAATCGGCTCTACAAAAAAGGTTGCAACAAAAATGTTGCTATCTTCCTTAGATTCCGAGATATTCGTTGAAAACTGGCCAATAATCGAAATGGACTTGAACCGTTTTACCACTTCACAACTGAATTTATTTTTTCAAATATCATTGGTTAAACTTAACTATAATTTTATGGATTATATATATTATATGTATTATTACATATATTATTATCAAAAAACGCTGACAAAGAAGTTACACGTTTTTTTTTGTAAAAGAGATCACTGAGCGCAAAATTCTGAAATTCGGTAATTTTGTCACCAATTCTTAGTGACATCGTATTTATATAATTTGAGATGTCCGCTTCGGAAATTCCACGCCCGAACAAATCTAATAGAAAAACCTGGGGCATTCTATTCGATTTCTATTGAACACTTCAATAGAACCGGCCAAAAACTACTAAAACGTTCAATAGAAACTCAATAGAGTTGTCCAGCGAATTCGCAACGTTTTTGTGTAAAATCTTTTTATACGTATGAAGAAAGACGATGAGATCATCCTGTTGCTATTTTTCATACGTGTATGAACAACTTCGGGAGCACAATGCACTGGCATCCATTTCCCCTTGAATATTGAAAACTCGAAGAATGAATATTAAATGATCGAATTGCAGTTCTTGTTTGAAAAATTGCTGCGTATCGAAAATTAATGTGTACTACCGGGCATGCGTGCTTCCTGCGAGGTTTAAAATATCAGAGAGCATCAGTCGATGATAAAGTTCAGCGCGATGACGAAGGCAGGGGGAAAATCACAAGTGAATGGATCTGTGTATGAGAATGAGGGTAAATGACATCGATCAAAACGTCTCTTCACATTTTAGTTTTTGTTGATCATCTCGGGATTGAAGGGAGATAACGAAACTCCTGCAGATACATTTTCTAATGCTTCTGTTTCGAAGATATTAATCAACAATTAATCCTCAATTCGATTGAACTTGACTCGTTCCACTGAAGTCAACAGAACATTAACTTTTATTTCTGTTCAGATTTTGTTTATTCATACGGATGGAATCGTGTCATGATGCACGCGATTGGGGGCTGGCCTGAGGACAATGACAACTTCTTCATGAGGAATCGAATATTCTTGAATGGGCTCGCTCTTTTTCTTTTTAATATTCTACCGCAGTCGGCTAGTGTACCAGTGTTTCGGGGAGATCTCAATGCTCTCATCGAGTGTTTGTCCGTGAATTTGGCTATAAGTCTTTCACTTCTGGAGCTAGTTTGGCTTGGCATTCAGCGACCCAGTAAGCATGCACGCACGAATGAATTCCATAGGAAAACAGCGAATTCGATAGAACATTCTATTGGATTTCTGGTGAAAATTCTGTCCATTTTTTGCGAGTTCTATTGCACTCAGGGAAAAAATTAGCGCTGTCGAAAAACTATATGGTCCATGTGAGACTATTTGGTGGAGTGGAACAGATTTCCTTGCCGCAAATGAATGAATTTGATAGAAGGAAATTTAATATCTTTAAAAAAATTAAATTTTTATCGTGATCATCAGAAATATCTCTAGAAGAATTTCAGCTGTTGTCAGGAAACAATATAATCTGCAGTACGACAATCATTTGAGAAGAATACATTGACGAGAAAGAAATATTTTTTTTCCAAAAAAAAATTGTCCCCTCGAAATTATTTAGTAATTTAGACATGGCTCTTCCAAGTTTTTAAAAATTTTCCTTTTCTCATCATTGCAAAAATTAAGTAACGAAACAGACAATTTGAGCCGAGAAAATTTTGCAAAAAAATTATCTCAATAGAACGAAAGAAGAGTTGTACGGAAAAATCGAATTTTAGTGATTTTTTCTATAGAATATTTTCCATTGAACAAGTTTACTGAAAAACAACGTGCAGACAACATTAATAAACATTCAATAGAAATCCAATAGAATTATTTAGCAAATTCACTATTTTTTTAATGAAATTATCTCGCACGGTGACATTTCCATTGCCGTTGTGTCGCTTATGTTATCACAAAAATTATTGGAGAATATTTTTTGCCGACGATCAACAGCTGTTCAGAAATTACTGAAGATGATGGCTGAAGATTGGTTGATGGAGAGAACAGTTGAGGAGCACGAGGAAATGATGAAGATGACGAAAATTATCAGATTGATTTCGTCCCTCAGTTTTTACGGGACTATTTGCCTCTTTATAGTATTCGTTTCTGTGCAGGTGAGCTATTCTCAGATATGACAGACCTTCGGGTGAACTACGGACGAAAAAAATTCATAGGAAAACCTAACGAATCCGACAGAAAATTCTATTGCATTTCCATTGAACTTCTTTTGTAATAAAAAATGTCCAATGGAAAGTATTTCATAGGAAAAATTAAAATTTCATCTCTCTATACACTGTTAAAAATTTTTGTATGCATTTTCCGTGCCAAATTTCGGAAATTTTTCTCGTTCTCAAGTTCCACAGAAATTTTAGCTACTTTATGGAACAATTCAGTAGCGAAGTGGTAAAACGTTATAAGTCTATTTTGACTATTGACCAGTTTTCAATAAATATCTCGGAATCTAAGGGAGATGGCAACATTTTTCTTATAACCTTTTTTATAGAGCCGATTGAGAGCTATAACAAATGTAATTACGAAAATTTCACTATGTCCATTAGATTCGGAAATATTCCTCAAAAACTCAACTGGGAGATAAGTCGACTTGAACCGGTTTACCACTTCGCTACTGAATTTAACTTTTTTGTGACATGAAATAATCATTTAGTGTGAAATAATATAATTCTAGCTGCAAAAAGTCATGTTAGAAACTTGACATCAAAGTATATGTTCCTTTGATTATTTACTGTTACTTTTATTATTTTTAAAAATAAATGAAAGGATAAAAAATACAATGCTAGCTTAAGTATGCGCGCGCGAGGGGCGCCTTCCTTTTCTAGTAAATCAAATACTTCATTGATTTTCTGTTCAAATGATCTAGAAATCAATAAAATATTTGATTTTTCAGTTCAATTATTCCGTGAAAATTCAGAAAAATCCGAAAAATTCAGGGAGAAATTGAAAATTCATGTCATTTTGTTTCTGAATATTCATGTTCCACTGAAAATTCATGAATTTCTGTAAGTTCTACTTGAAACTTGAAATTTCCTAGCCATTTTTGCCATAAACTCGATTCAATGTCACTCTCATGAGATTTACTATAATATTTTCCATGAAATTTCAAAAAATGTCAAACATTGTACAACTGTTTCTCTTTTTTCTTCTTCTTTCTCAGCAATTTCCCACTCGTTTTCATTCGCAATCCTAATCATTTAATCATTTCAGATACTAGCAGGATTGGCACTCAGAAATGATCCTAACGTCGATCCAAGATTATCAATTGGTTTTCTCTACAGTTGCGTTTTTCCTTTCGATACTTCATCACGGTCTGTTTTCATCCCGATCTGGATAGGCCAATTTTTCTGCACTTATATATCAATGGCTGGGTACTCTTCACCTGTTAGCTTCTTAGGAATGTTTGTATTCCATCAGTGTGGTCAACTGAAATTACTGCGTCTCAGATTAGAGGGAATTGTTGATAATGAAACTATGGGAAATCCCCGTGAATTCTGGAGAAGACTCGGGAAAATTGTCGAGAGACATGAGCAGCTCAATGAGTGAGGAAAAATGAAATATTGTCTTCTCGACATTAACTCTTATTCAATAAAAATTCATCATTTTACAGACGAACATCAGAGATCGAGGAGAACTTCAATAAAATTTTTCTCGCTGCCGCAATAGATTGCATTTTCGTCACATGTACTCAAGGTTTCGCGGTAATCACGGTAATGAGTAATGGGATATATCACGCACGAAAGAATTTAATAGAAAAACCTAGCAAATTCACTAAATAATTCTAATGCATTTCTACAGAACTTTTTTAAATTGTAATTCTACTAAACTTTCGATTAGTTTTTTGCCGATTTTATTGAAATGTTCTATACATAATATTTTATAGAATTAGTTTTTTCGATAAAATTTATTCTGTTGAGATATTTTCTATAGACTGTTCTCAGCTTAAATTTTCTACATTTTTTTGTTTGATTTTCTTGATGGAAAAAAATGAAAAATAGAATGAAAAAACCTTAGAAAATTTGAGCAGAGGAAATTCTACAGAAAATACCTCAATAGAATTGTCTAACGAATTTGCCATGGTTTTCTATTAAATTTTTTTGTGCGTGATCCATTGATAGGATGTATTTTTCCTGAACGTTTCAGGTGTTGCAAACTGAAGGAGATTTTCCAGTGTTCCAGATGATTTTTCTATTCGTCTTCACTACTTATGATTTGGGCCACTTTTTTGTATACTGTCTGGCAGGAGATATATTGATGACTGAGGTCAATTAACCACCCGTACGAAAATATTTCATAGAAAAACCGAGTGAATTCGCTAGTTTGAGCCGATCCTGTCTTCCATTTTTGTTGGCTTGCATATTTGATCTAAATTCTAAAAAATTTAGAAAATCCGCCGGTTTTGTCTGATTTTTTTTTTTCGTTTGAGACAAATTTAGAGAATTATTAATCTTTTGCAGAGCATTCTCGGAGTTTTAGAATAATTCAAGAAATTTGTTCACTTTTCTAAAAATTCGATTCATAACATTTCCTTCATTTTTCAGAAAAGTGAGAGAATTGATTAAAGATTCAAAATTATTCATTAATTGTTCGCTGTCGAATGACCAAAACTCAACCAGAATAGTTTCTATTAGGAATTTTTTATAAAAAAGAAACGCAATAGAGCTGCGGAATTCTGCAATAGAATCGGCCAAAACTAGCAGAATTTTTGATAGAAGTCCAATAGAAATCCAACAGAATATCCTACGGAATTCCCTAGCTTGTTCTATGAAATATTTACCGCGCGTGCGCGTTTCAATCACGGCAACATTATACTGTAACACGTAAAATCTCATTTCAGAGCTCAAATTTTGGTGTTTCTCTATACAACAGTCAATGGTACAAGCTGGCTCCTAACGAAGTGAAAGCAGTTCTCATCTTCACCAGTCGATGCATCCTGCCGCAAAAAATAACTGGGGGAAAATTCACAGCTCTGTCACTTCCCCTTTTTGCAAACGTGAGAAAAATCGAAATAATGTCATTACGAAAACTGCTGGAGTCTAACAGATAATGACCTTTCAGATCGTCAAAACAGCAGCCAGTTATCTATCAGTACTACTCGCCATGAAGGTGTAATGACATCTCTCTATGTCATGTTTTCAAATAAAAACTTTGTAGCACAAAACTGTTTCAAGAACAGCTGTTGTTCAATTAAATTTTCCCATACGTGACTGATTTCAATTCTCCATGCAATCAACGAATAATTATTCCATCTTACCTGTGATTTGTTTGCCTACTTCTGTGTGATTAATTAAAACTTCAGCACTAATACTTGAACTAATTTATGGTCTGGTTCATCTCCATTGACGTTAAACATCCAATAAATATCAAGGGATGTTGGAGAAAATGAAAACAACATTTATCTAAGTTTCATTTTGCGACGTTTCGCTAATTATTTTAGCTTCACCAGGCTCGTGACTCGATTAATGTTTAGTCCCGTTAATAATTGAACCAGTTATGTATGAAGCTGCATAGCTAACAGCATTAAATTAAACTCAAACAACAGAAAAGACGTGAATGTTAACAACCGAGTAGTATTTCCCCGGAGATGACAATAACAACTATTAAACTTTCTACTAGTTTTGGCCGATGCTTTAGAAAAATTCCGCAGCTTATCTGCCCGTTTTCAAGGGGAGACCGCCCTGAAATTTCAAAATCGCTGGTGGCTTCATTGTTATTGTGCACTGAACACCCCCGAAAGTCCAATGCTCTGGTTTCCGATCCCAGTTGAATATTGACATGAGAATTGGGGGAATGGGCATCAAGTGGTCAAATTGCACTTCTTGTTTGGAAAGTTGCTGCTCGTAGAAAGTTCATACGCACTAGCGGGCATGCTCCGCTATTTTCGGGGCCTGAAACACCAGAGCATCAGTTAATCGTAAAGTTCAGCACGATGACGAAAACAGAGGAAAAATCGCAAGTGGATAGAACTGTGTATGAGAATGAGGGTAAAGGACATTGATACAAATTTCTCTTTGCATTTTATTTTTTGGTGATTATCTCTGGATCGAAGGGAGATGGTGAAATAGTCACAGAAAGATTGTGACGAGAATTACTTCAGCTTCAGTAGATCCCGAGACATTTATCCGAGGGGCTCTGGTCACTCCTCAATCGGGTGGCTCAGATTTCCAGAATAGGATGAGTTCCTGTGATTTCATGGATTTCTGTGATTTTTCAATGAGAATTGGAAATCATGAGTTCTTTCGATTTCTCATGATTTCCATAATTTCTACTAGATTCTGGGAATCTTCTTGATTTCAAGAAATCACTCGAACAAATTATGATTTCGGGACTAAAGGGAGCAATTATCTGTCGATAATTGGTTCTCACTTTCATCGATGATTCATCGATGAAGGTGTAATTAGAAATCCCTGCGCTCACGTGTATGCAGAAACGATATTTATAGTCGAAACATTATAGTAAGAATGATAAAATCGAACATACATCACATGTCACTGTTGATTTTCTAATTTTCATTCATTCCAATACAACGGAAATCAATAAAATAATTTTGAAATTTTTCGGAAAACGAGAACTTGCGGAGAAAAAAAAATGTAGTGAAGAATATATTCCACAACAGTCTCACCTCCCCGCAGGAATGCTCCCCTCCAACTGATGCACCCCAGGTAAAAAATTCCCAACTTCTCAGAGTCTTTATGTAATTTGCATATGAAATGAGACGTGTAATTACACCAGAGCTATTAAATTATCCTATAATCGGAGAATATAGTTGGTGAAGTGCTCTTTTTAGTGACTCCCCGATTCGTCGCAGTGAGTTCACCATGAGCTATAGCCAAGGTGCTGTATTATAGCACAAATCAGAAGCACTTGTGAAGAAAAATTCACTCGATCACACGAACGAAGAGAATTTCACAGAAAAATTTGGCGAATTCGATAGGAAATTCTAGAGAATTTCTGTTGAACTGCTACGGAGAATTCTATTAGTTTTTGACTAATTCTACTGAAGAATTCCGCGGCTTCACTGTGCGTTTTTTTTTTATCGAAAATGTCCAATGACTATTTTATAAAAAAAATCAGTGGAATTTCATTTTTCTGTACAACTTCTTTTATTCTGAATTTCGACAGCAATTCCTCGACGTGAATTTTATGTTTTTTTCTATTTTTCTTCTCTTTTCATTCAAAAAAAAATTTAACGGAGAAAATGTGAGCTGAGAATTTTCTATAGAATATTTTCCATTGAACATTTCTATTGAAAAAAAAGCGCAAATAAGCTGCGCAATTTCTCAATAGAATCGATTGAAAATATTAAAATTTGGAATAGAAGTTCAATAGGATTATTTTTTCTATTAGTTTTTGGCCGATTCTATAGAATTCCACAGCTTTGCTGCGCAGTTTTTTAGTAAAAATGTCCACCAGAAATTAGTTCATAGGAAAATTCAGTAGAATTTTGTCTTTCTAGGCGATTTTTTTTATTGAGACATTTTTTATAGGAGTTCCGCGACACAAATTTGCCTCGACATGAATTTTCATTTTAAAAAAAGTAAATAAAAAAATATAGAAAATTTGAGGCCACAAGTTTCTATAGAAAATATCTCAATAGAATGAATTGTCCAGAAAAATCAAATTCTATTGATTTTTTCTATTGCACATTTCTATTGAAAAAAAATGCGCAGGTGAGCAGCGGCATTTTTCAATGGGCCGAAAGCTAATGGAAATCCAATAGAATTTTCTAGCTAATTGGCTAGGTGTGTCTGTGAAATTTTTTCGTACGTGCAGATTTCAATTATGCGATCGGTTGGAACCGCTTCAGCCTCGACGTCCTGGGCGCCTGGCCCAGACGCAATTCCGGAATAATCGGCCGCCAAAGATCATTGGTTTGTGCCCTCGGTATCATTATTCTCATCTACCTGCCGCAATCGGCTAGTGTCGTTGTCCACTGGGGCAATATGGACGCTGTGATCGAGTGTCTGTCCGTCAACGGTCCAGTATTCCTAGCCTTCGCTAAACTACTTCTCTTCCGATATCGCCGAAAAGGTTCATAGATTCAGAAATTTTGTGTTTCCCTGTAGTTGTTACGATTTTGAAGAAATTGTTTGTCGATTCCGTGAAGAAATTAGAATGCTTATTGATTTTATGAGTGATGACTGGAACACCCCGAGGAGCCTTGAAGAACGTGAGGCCATGCTGAGAACCGCCAAAATGAGCCGAGTGATATCACTTGGATCGGGGGTTATCACTCATACGTTATTCGTCGCCTACATTTTTTACAAGGTACATGTGAAGAAAAAGAAAAATTTATCAGGAAATATTCATCTTGAGATATTTTTCCGCAGATATATTTCGGGATAGAAGATATGAAACGCACGGACCTGGACCCACGCCTAGCCGTGGGTCTCCTGCACCCCGCACGGCTTCCATTCGACACTAGAAAAATTGAATACTTCATACCCATGTGGATTGGCCAGTGCTTCTGCACTTACTTCTCAATGACCATTTATGCAGTCTTCGACTGCATGATTTCAGCCGTGGTCCTCCACATTTGTGGACAGTTCTCAGTGATTGGACTTGCTCTGAGGAACCTAGCTGATGACCAAGTCGGCTGTCGTTCAGATTTGTTCAGAGAAAAATTGGCAGCGATCGTGAAACGGCACGAGAAATTGAATGACTCCATCGGAGTCATTGAAGACTCGTTCAGCTCGATTCTTCTACCTCAGATGCTCATTTGTACTTTCACCTTTTGTTTCCAAGGGTTCGCATTGATCACGGTGAGTCGAGAATTACATACCCCGGCAGGATTTTTTTAAATAAAATCAAGCCAATTTACTCCCGACGCGTCTGCGCATCCTACTGCGCGCGTCGCGCATGCGCAGTGCGTCGAGTGGTCAAGAATGGATAGAATGACCGTTTTAGAGAAAGGGATCTCGTACGAAAAAAATTCGATAGAAAATTCAAGTCGAAGGATTCCGCTGCTTTATTGCGCATTTTTTTTATGGAAAAACTCTAACAGAAATTCTTTCACAGAAAAATCAATAGAATTTCATGTTTCTGTACAAATTTTTCTATTGAGACATGGGAATATCAATTTTCTATAGAAATTCCTCGAAACGTATTTTTTATTTATTTTTTACTAAATTTTTCTTCTTTCTTCATTTGAAAAATGAAACTAAAAAACTTAAAAGAAATTTTCTGTAGAATATTTCCCATCAAACATTTCTATTGAAAAAAATGCACAGATAAGTTGCGGAATTTTTCAACAGAATCAATCGAAGAATAATAAAAAAATTCAATAGAAATTCAATGTAATTTTATGTAGAATTCCCTAAACTTTTTTATCAACTTCTTTCGAACGTGAATTCCTGCTGAACTCATATTAAATATTATTCAACGAATTAATCAAGTTAGCATTGGAATTAGAGTCTCTTGGGTTCTTCAACCGGAAAAATAACATTCCTGGAAACAGCATTTTCCGTCACTTACGTCTTCTACACAGTTTTACATCTCTTCGTCTACTGCTATATAGGAGATCAACTGCTCGTTGAGGTAATCCGAACGCTTTTGGTTGACATAAGATGACATTCTCCCCTTTGTCATTGATCCTCTCCTCTAGAGCTCATCAATCAGCTACTCGGTGTACGACAGCCATTGGTACAATCTCCCAGCGCGCCACGCGCGTTCTCTGCTGTTCGTGGGATACCGGTCTCTCCGACCACTGAAAATCACAGCTGGAAAATACTGCGGTTTCTCCAGAAACTTATTCATCATTGTGAGCTGATGATTTCAAACCGCAATTTCCTGGATCAACATATGAGTGAAAAATAATTTTTTTCCAGGTTCTGAAGACTTCGATGGGATATCTGTCAATGCTTCTGACCGTCAAACAACGAATGACTGATTAATTGAATAAAATTTGAATAACATTTAAAAATAGTAAATACTGAAATCACATATGATGAGGGAATAAAATAAGGCAATGATAGGAGATATTATAAATTTAGAATTATTAGTTCATTGACTAGCTGATCCCCCTGTTTCACGTACGAAGAAAAATTATAGAAAAATCTAAACCTAATTCGCTATAAAATTTCCATTGAAAACTATTTTATAGGAGACATTTTCTATAGGAATTCCTTGACACGAATTTTAAAAGTTTTTTGCCCTAAATTTTTGGTCTCTTTTCATTGAGAAAATCGTACAAAAAAGTATAGAAAATGCGAACCGAATTTTTATAGAAAAGTAGAGGGTTACGCCCCCTGCTCGTTCCGCTCGCCAACCCCCATTTGACCTACATAATCCTTATTCTGACCCTTATTTTGACCTTTCATCCGATCCTTATTTTGACCCTTAATCTAACCCTTATGGACCGTAATCTAAACCTTATAAACTTTAATCTGATCCTTATGACTCTTAATCTGACCCATGTGACCCTTAATCTGACCATGACTCTTAATCTGATCCTTATGGCCCTTAATCTGACCCTCCGAAAAATTACACCATTTATGTAAAATAGCCCGAAAATTTTTATTGCACACATTTTTTGAAAAATGTTCAAAAAATAAAAACCTCTGTAGCTCAAAAATTAGAGGCCCTCCACTATTTTAAACATTTTAAGCGTCTGCAGAGCAAACGAACAATAAACAATTAATTTTTTTGCACTAATTACTCGTTTTTAGACATATATAATAGATCTCCAATGCATGAGAAATCTCACTCCCCGCGACTTTTAAAACTTATAGTAGTCTCCCTTTAAACTGACATTTACAGTTCCCATTGATTTTTCCATGAAATTAGGAATTTTGAATAACAAAATCCCTCGAAATTTCAGTGGGAATGTTACTTGTTAGAAATTTTCAGGACCTACACAGGGAACCACAGGATTAGTATGACTTACTAGAAATTTCAGTGGAAAATTTATAACTGTGTACTTCTTAGAACCTTACGACATCCTTCAGAGCAACAACGCACAACACTCACAACATTCAACGCACAACACTCACAACATTCATGATCGCATTCTCAGAATATACCATAAACATGAAGAATATACAGACCTATAGAGTCTCTATTCTTCATGAATACAAAGTTTAATTCTGTATCCAAGATGTTACTTCACTGCATTACACTTCTCCCATGCAGCTGCATTTCTGTCTTGATAACCATCCTGTCACATAGGACGATGAATAAATGATCTGGAAATTCTACAAACTTTTTAATATTTCCCCATTACCATTTCCCACGAACTCTGAGAGTAGGGAAAAAAATCGATAGGACTGTAGAGTTTCCCCCAGTCTCAAAGCGTTCGTCCAAGTGATAACATCCCTAGGTAAAATTCGAGAGATCGAGAATAGAACCGGAAAATAAACGTCCAAAAATGAGAATAGATTTTGAATACACTTGCGGCTGGAACCGGGTCTTGATGGATTTCGCCGGTTTTTGGCCAAAGCCTCGATCAAGTTTTATCGGCAAGAACTGGCCGTTGATCCACGCCGTGATAGTGTTGATAGTTATAATTATCCCACGATTTGCGGCAATGTTCTTGTTCTGGAATGAAGTTGATGCAGTTGTTCAGTCTTTTGCGACGCAATTAATCTTCATAGTTGTATTTTTTAAACTAATAGTTCTACAATTTGGTAATAAAGGTAGGACATTATGATAATTTTGAATTTGTATGAGGCATTTCATGTCAAATCGGTCAATCCCTATCCCTGGTTGGCCGATTCGACCGAGATCCAACAAATATACGGATTGTGATAGTTCTAGTGGACTTATTGGTGACGATGGAAGATGACTTATCAACAGAACTGACCGAAGAGCAGTACACTCCAGTATTCAAAGCAGCCAAAATAGCCAGAACAATTTCCATGTTCCTAGGAATTGCCACCATTAGCATTCTCAGCACCGGCATTGTCTCCCTGGTAATGTACAGTTCGAAATGAATCTATTGGCAAATTGTTGGGACTTTATACATGACTGATACCAAATTATTGCGTAGAAATTGTATCATTTGGACAGCTTCTACATAAAGAATCCGGATCCTCGATTGTCGACGAATTTTTTTTTCGTCGCATATCTACCCTTCAACACAACATCGATAATCACCTACATGATGATACTTTCGATTCAATTTTATATTTCTGTGATATCCACTGGCATTCATCTCATACTTGACAGTTTCATTATGATGCTTGTGCTTCATATTTGCGGACAGCTTCAAGTCGTCCAAGAATCCCTCACGCAATTGGTGAAGGGTATATTAGGATTTGAGAAACTGAGTTTTCAGGTGGCTTTTAGAGCGGTTTTGATGAAGCATCAAGCGGTTTGTCGGTATGTACACTAAGAAGAAACGACCAAGTTCTTAAACAAGTCTTGCTTGGGCCAAAAAAAAGCAAGTTAAAAATTACTAAAGAAGAAATTGTTCGATTTGAACAGACCTCTTCATCTTGACAGTCACTAGATTATCGCCTATATATCGGTCTGCTCACCCCACATCGAAAATAATCATTTGAAAAGTTAGTTAAAGGTAAATTCCTCATTGTGACAATAAAAAAAAATCTTGTAACAATGTTAACCCTAGTTTGGTCACCATATGAGAACTTGCGACTTTGGTCACCTCCGCAGGGAATCGCCGCCGTATTATTTAGGCCCGAGCGTTGCCGAATTCACTCTATACTGTCCGGGCGCGTTTAGCGAGACTTCGGCAACGTCGCACAACGGGCGATTTCATTTAACATGGGAAAAAATTGCCCGTCTGTTAGACATAATTTTTTTTCTTTAGGAATTGTGGATATAAATAATTTTAAAAAATATTATAATTTTCTAGATACTTGAATTGACGCATTCCAATTTTTTAGGATTTTTCCGCTCAGCCAGTCAATGGTAAAAAAAAAAATCTTCTGCGGCGTTTCCCTCCTATGGTGAGCAAACTAGGGTTAAATAAGAGATTTTGACCTTTGGAGATTCTTGACGCCTGTGGCCTAGGAGTGGCCCCTGAGACCCTTATGACCTTGAAGGCCTCAAGGGTCCGCAGGGTCACAAAGCTCTACCCTTTAACCCCTCCTTGTAACATCGAATAGATTTATAAAAAAAGATGTGTGGAAATGCGTGATGTTCTAGGTTCACCAAGAATTTGGATGCATTATTCAATTTCATTTGGTTTCTTGAGCTGTTCAGTTGCACTTTGACATTGTGTTTCCAGGGTTATACTGTTCAAAAGGTGACATTGCCGGAGGATAATTTATCTGTACAATAGAGACATTTCCTGCAATTTTTTAATGAAGAAATTGATAGATTAATTTAGCGACAGCAGTGGTCCAAGCTAAGCAGTGTTTAGTCTGGTTAGTACTTGGATGGGTGTCCGCTTCGCCCAGTTTTCAATAAACACCTCGTTCTAAGGGAGATAGCAAAATTGTTCCCATGACCTTTTTTGTAGCCCCCAATTCGCTCTACGAAAAATGTAATTACAAAAATTTCGTTATCTCTCTTAGATTCGGAGATATTCTTCGAAAACTCAGCTAAGAGCTAAATCAACTTGAACCGTTTTGCCACTTCGCTGGGTTGTTCAACAAAAATTATCAAACATTTTCGTAGGGAGGGGACAATGTCACATCCCATCTGTAGCTCCTTAGACAGACTATCGGCGTAATGTGTAAGAAACGCGCAGAGAGTCGATCGCGAGGTCGGATTTCTACTAAAGTAATCAATCAAAAGAAGAAAAAAATTTCAGGAAATATCCCCATGAGAACACTAAAAAATTTTTTTTTTATTGCACGGATTCTTCAATTTTCATAAACAATATTTCCTCATAGCTTCTCCACAGCGATCAGTCCACTATATTTCAAATGGGCTTTCCACTGTGCTCAACTCTCGGTCTGGTGTCGCAATTTTTTCTCAACTGTTGGGCGGGTGAATATCTCATGTCAGAGGTGATTGGATGATGTTAAGAAATACTGTCATCGTGAGAATCAATTTCTACTTTGTTTTTCATCAAAGAGTGCAGAAATTGGCTTCGCGTACTACAGGAGTGAATGGTATACACTGGTCTCTTCTGACGCTCGTTCACTCATGATGATTGGCCATCAGGGATTACGACCCTTGACATTGACAACATGCAAGTTTTCAATATTGTCTCTCAGACTTTTTCTGCAGGTAGGATTGCCCTTCACATCTAGTGATGCCGACGATAATTCCAGTGTTTTTAATATCAGGTAATGAAGGCGTCGTTCAGCTATCTCTCCATGCTATTGGTCCTGACACACTCCTAATTGTACATCATTGTTAAAGAATGAACGGTTGCCGAATTACGAAGATGAGATCGTGAGATGAGTCGAAATAAATTTGGATTTTATGAGAAAAATAAACTAATATTAAAAATTTGTGTTCGATTAAAATTACTTTTCAATACGTAACAATTACGTTTCGATTCATAAAATGTCCGGAGCTGCAGGGGGAAAATTTATTCTTCGCTCCGAATTCTTTCCGCACCCAGAAAATTGGATCATTTGAATGAAGTAAACTTTATTCGAATCATATACAGTCGAGGTTTTATATTAGATACCTCGAGCTCAGAGCGCTCGAGACCCTACCCCCACTCTCGGCATTTATCGCCCCCCGAATGTTTAGTTCCGTGGGCTTCTTATAAGACACCTACGGCCTCGACCATTTTTCAACGGGAAAAGAGTGATTATAAGGATCAAACGGAGTTGAGGGTCAAATGGAAGGGACGAACGAAGTGATCTTAAGGGTCAAATGACCTTAAGGGTCAAAAGTTCAAACGTGAGAGTCAAGTGAAGTAATCAGAAGGGTTAAACGATCCCAAGGGTCACCTCTTTTCTTCGACGCTATAATTATTAAAATGATGATGCAGAATTATCTTAATAGAATAAAGCCTAATTGAAATTCAATTAATTTACGTACTTTCAATAATTTGTACTTCAGCTGTCCAGAAGTGATTATTCTCAAGTCCCCCAACATCAGCTGACATTCTATCACGCGGGGTTATGTTGAGAGAGAAAAGGGAGCGCGGACTATACAAATTCAAAACATTGAACTCGTATAAATTGATTAGTTATCAATATCCATTCAGTAAAAATGAATATTCCATAGAATTCGGGCGCAACGAGCGTGGTATCTTATTTCGCTGATCCCTATTTTTCTCCTTTCTATAAGCGCGCGTAGTGGGGGTATACGGATTCCCGGAATTCCACTCTCCTACTGTCCCTAAGGTATCTTATGTAAAGCCTTGACTGTAAATCCTTTATTAGATCCAAATAAAGTTTATGTAAATCAAATGAACCATTTTACGTAAAAATTCCCGAAATTCCCTCCTTACTTTTACGTTTTGTCATGTCATTTTTCCTGAAGTTTTTTCTCCCTGCATTTCCACTTCCATTATCCTACTAATATCTGCAGAATAGTTCCAACTCCCGAGGAAATTTACTTCAACTTACGAATTCCTTGCATGGCGAATCCCTCATGCAACTGCACTTCATTCTTAATCACTACCTCATCGCATAATGGGCGGTTACCGAGAAATCCCGTAATAAACTTTCTAATTTCCCTCATTATTATTGCAAGAGAATTACAAGAGCATGGAAAAAATCGATAACTCTCTCGGGCCCCTCACAGTCACAATCCACACGTTCAAGTGATAGCATCACTAAGAGCAAATTAAAAGCTGAAACACCCTCATGAACCATGAAAGTGGATTTTGCTTACAGTTGCGGTTGGAACCGATTTTTACTCAATTTGAGTGGATTCTGGCCAAAACGTCGATCGAGTTTTGTCGGAACCCACTGGCCGTTGATAAACGCTATTCTGGTTCTGGTTGTTATAATCATACCCCGATTTGCTGCCATGTGTTTATTCTGGAATGAAGTTGACGCATTCATTCAATTTTTCACTACTCAATTGGTATTTATCAATGTGTTTTTCAAGTTGATAGTGCTGCAACTGGGAAATGAAGGTAAATTATGCGGGAAAAATTTTTTATAGAAAAACCTAGCGCATTCGATAGAAAATTTTATTCAATTTCTGCTGGAAAAATTTCTCTGGGGAATCGATTGAATTTAATTTTTTTTTCTCAAATGTAGGTATTGCTGAGCCTTATTCATCCCCATTGAATTGAATTGAATTCATTTATTAATTTGTAGAATTTGCGATTTTGAATAAAATTGGTTGACCCACAATAACTCAAAAAAAATGTTCTGACTTCATTGAATGATCGGCCATAGTAACTGAGGGGTGATAATAACAATTGTTTATTTGATTTATAGAATAATTTTAAAAAATGCCGTATTTTTAAACAATGAGAATTTCAAAGATGAAATTTAATTAAAATTTAATCAATATATTAATTTGTAAAATTTGCGATTTTTTAAAAAATTGGTTGAACCACTAAAACTAAAAAAAAAATGATCTGATTTCATTGAATGATGGCATCAAAAATTATTTCAATATTCCTATGGCCGAGTTCAAAGATAAAAGTGATGGTAATAATCGTTGATTTGAATTATAGAATAATTTTCAAAATTTCGTATTTTAAAAAAATTAGAATTCTGGAGATATCTTTCGATATAATGCTTCAAGAGAATTCAATTATTGCGTTAAACATTTGTTTCAATGGCACCCCTGTGGGAGTTAGAGGATCATTACGTCCGCTATATCCGTTGATTGGATTTTCATGATGATTTTTGAAAAAGTTGTGAACAAAAATGAAATTCTACTGATTTTCTCTATAAAATAATTTCCATCGGACATTTTCTATAAGAAAAACACGGCCAAAGCTATTGTAATTTTCAATACAAGTTCGATAGATTTTCCTACACGGAGACAAATATTCAGCAAAAATTACGGAACTCACAACTCGCTCACCGATTACGGAATCGACTCAGAAAATTCAAGTGACGGTATGGTAATTTTTCACAGCAGATTCAGATAAAAATGACCGAACGCTCTGGAAAAATTCCGTGACAGTTCCGTAAAATTTCCTACAACCACATTTCGCTCCGGAATTACGGAAAAGATGCATAATTTTTATTTAATATTTCTCTCCGTGTATAAAATTCACTGTTTTTATAAATTAAGATTAAATTACTATTCCGTTCTCGAAATTCCGCCATGTCGATCCCAATTTGAGTTCGTGACAGTTCTGTTTAATTTGCGACATTGACAGTTCTAGTTGATTTATTATCAATGATGGAAGCGAACTTATCAGCGGACTTGACCAAGGAGCAGTATGCGCCAGTACTGAAGCTCGCTAAATTCGGGAGAACTATTTCAATAATTGTGGGCCTCAGCGCCGTTGGCGTCGTGATCACTGGCGTTGTCGCAATGGTAGTACTCCCCTCAATTCTCATACAATCGTATTCACTCACGGACTGATATCGAGTTATTTACCAGAAATTGTATCATTTGGACAGCCTCTACATAAAGAATCCCGATCCCCGATTGTCGGTTGACTTTTTTTTTGTAGCTTACTTACCGTTCGATGCGACACATATCATCAGCTACACGACGGTATTCGCCCTGCAACTCTATGTATCCGTCATCTCTACTATTATTAATCTCAACTTGGACAGTTTTGTGATGATGCTCATACTCCATATTTGCGGAGAAATGGAAGTTGTTGAAGTATTATTGTCACATTTAGGAGATGGTATTGAGGATCGACGAGGCGTTCAGCTAGAGCTGAAGAGGATTGTGAGGAAACATCAGATGGTTTGTCAGTATGTATTGAGGACTTGAAATTTGTTGGTGCACACGAAAAAAATGGGGAAAAAATGCTGCACTGTTGGAAAAATTTGACTGAATTTTCTGAAAAAGAACTATGAATTCGATGTAAGTACAAAAAGTCAGCGGAATTTCAAATTTCTCTGACAATTCAAGTGAAGTCCCATTTTTTTAGCGACAGGAAGACGAAAACTCCGCAATTCACATGAATTTTGAAGTGAAAATTACTGTTCACTACCAAATTTTCTGGAATTTTCAGGGAATTCTTCTAAGGGGAAACGGAACCCCTATGTTTGTATCAAGTTTTAGAATTGTGTTGTGTGTTGAAAAATTTGACTGAATTCTCCGACAAAAAGACCATAAATTCGATGTAAGAGGAAAAAGTCAAGGAAATTTCTAATTTCTCAGAAAATTCAAGTGAAGTCTCATTTTTTTAGCGGCAGAAACACGAAAATTCCGCAAATTCACATGAATTTCAATTTCAAGTGAAAATGAATATCACTACCAAATTTCCTTGACTTTTGAGGGAATTCTTTTAAAGGGAAACAGAACCCCTGGGTCTGTATCAAGTATAGAATTGTGTTTTCTCCTGCAATTATTATTTTTTATTTATGAAAATACTTCATTGACTCAATAATGCAATGATCCATTCGATAAAGAGTTTCAGGGATAAAAATTGATAATTGTAAAAGTTCATGTAGCAACAGGGGATCCGTTTCCCCTTAAGCAAAAGTAGAATATACTACACTGAGGAGAAAAAATTATTTTTATTGAGATGTTTCTTTCTTGGAGCAAGTATTATACACCTGAATCAATTTCAAATAACTAAGATCTTACGGTGAATATCAACTATTCCTTCTTGAGACACATTTATTTGAATCAAATAAAACAGTCCTCGGCGTCAAGTCACATGTATTCACCACAAACACGGAAAAGTTCAATTTTTCTAACCTAATATAATCACCAGTCGGGAAATTTTCTACTTTCATGAATTGATAAAAAATTCGTACCTAGGAGATGATTACATTGAGGAATGAATTGAATGTTGTATTCTCGAATGAAGCCGATGTTAAAATTGAGCTTTCCGTACATCACATTGAACGAAATTTGTGATATCCAAGTTTGTGTTGAATTGCCGTAATCCGTGATTCTGTTATTGTAGACTAATGCGATTTTTTTAGTCAAGAAATATAAACTTCTTTCAACTCAACGACATTTTACTACAATCTCAAAGCTTTTTCCGCGTAACAATAGTCATCCTGATTCGACATACGAAATGCTCACTTCAATTATAATTTACTTGGAACAATGTATGATCGTGTTGATTGAGATAACAACGTATTTAATCATGAGAATAATTTGGATTTTTGAGTAAAGCAACGAATTTCTGGAGTATAGCAAACTTTTGGCTAGAAAGAAATCAAATACTCTCATTATTGCGACAAATAAAAGGAACTTCAATTCTAGAGAAGTTCGATTTCTCCGAATCACATGTATCTCAAGAAGAGATGACTGGTATTCACTAAGAAATCATGTTTATTTGAAAATTGACAACCAAATGAGAGTTGGTTCAAATAAAATTCTCTCGATAAAATTAATTTTTTCTCAGTGTAATGAGAGGTGGATTTATACTCGTCATTTTTTTGCGTGCAATTTATTGGGAATAATCGAGTTGTTCACAGATATGTCAAGAACCTCGAAAAGTTATTCAGCATCCCGTGGTTCTTGGAGCTCACCAGTTGCACTCTGATATTTTGTTTTCAGGGGTACAACGTCCTGAAGGTGATTATTATTATTATATAATTCATGTGACTGAATTCTCTAGACATTGACTGCTCTGCCTTACAGCTAGTTCGTACCGACCAGTTCGGTGTCTTTCAAATAGGATTCATCATCTTTTCAACATCCGGTATACTCACGCAATTTTTCCTCAACTGCTGGGCTGGCGAGTGTCTTCTGTCACGGGTAATCGGACTAAATTATGCTTTTTGACATTTTACAAATGATTTTGTCGGGAAGTGATGTTGTCACGAATGAAAAAATTCAGTAGAAAGACCTAGCGAATTTCTTGGAAAATTGTACTGGATTTTTATTGAACTTTCTATTATTTTTTTGCCGATTCTATTGAAATGTTCAATAGAAAAAGTCAATAGAATTCGATTCTTCTATATATCTTATTTTATTGAGTTATTTTCTATAGAATTTCCTCGGCCCAAATTTTCCAAGTTGTTTTGTTTGATTTTCGACGAGAGGAAAAGAAAAATAGAATAAGAAGAACTTGGAAAATTTGAGGCGAGGAAATTCTATACAAAGCATCAGTTATATAGAAAAATCGACATCTATTGGCTTTTTCTATTAAATATTTTCTATTGAACATTTCAATAGAATCGGCCAAAAACTGATATAAAGTTCAATAGAAATCCAATAGAATTTTCTAACGAATTCGCTAGATTTTTATATTAAATTTTTTTCGTGCGTGATATTTTGTGAATCACAGAGTTCGAGAATTGGGTATTCGTTTTACCGCAGCAAATGGTATGAACTGCGCCCATCGGAAACTCGCCCGTTACTGATGATAGGTTTCCAAAAAACACGACCGTTGACGCTAACTGCGTGGAAATTCTCGATCCTATCCATCAGGCTTTTCCTTCAGGTAAAACTACACGCACGGAAAAATTTCATCGAAAAACCTAGCGAATTCGATAGAAAATTTCATTGAACTTCTATTTCTATTGAAAATGCTATTCGGTTTTAGTCAATTCTATTGAAAAATTCCGCGGTCTTAGAGTGCGTTTTTTAATAGAAAATGTCCAACAGAAATTATTTTATGCAAAAATTTACTAGAATTTCATCTTTCTATACTTTTTCTATAGGAATTCCTCGACATGAATTTTTCCAGTTTTTTGCGCTCTATTTTTCTTTTTACATATTTTTTTTTTAATTAGAAAATGTCAGCCGAAGAATTTCTATAGAAAATATCCTATATAACTTATTCTCAATAGGATAGTTATATAGGAAAATTGAATTCTATTAATTTTTTTAATAGAATATTTTCCCAAATAAAAAAAAGAATATTTTCCACTGAATAAATATTATTAAAAAAATTTTTTCTATGGAAAAAAATCGTCCAAAATTTGATATAAACCTCAATTAAAAAAATTCAATATATCATAATTTGTTATAAACAAACTGTTGTCAGAAAAATTTTGTACTAATTTGTGCCCTGTAACTGCCTGGCGCTGTTGGGTCTTGATGAAATAAAAAATAAAAACTAACGAATGATTATCATAAAAATGCATTTAATTTTATGCACAAAAATGCATAAAATTATCATAAGAATTTCCTTGCGAATTTGATAAGTTGTTCTATGAAATTTTTTCGTACGTGTATATTTTTGATTATGTTAGGGGATTATGTTAAGGAATGACGGAAACATGACTCTTTTCAATTTCAGCTGATAAAAACTTCGTTCAGTTATTTGTCTGTATTATTAGTGATGACTGATTTTCAAGATGAATAATAAAAAATGACCTGCTACAAATTCCAGCAACGAACACCTCATTTTCAAACAAATTGTAATGATCAAGGTCGAGAATTATGATGGATAATAAACGGAGGTGCCATATTAATATCATTATCGATATTTAACCTTAATACATATTAATAAGCCTTAGAAAGAGTAGCACTATATCAGAAAAAATTTGTAATTTTAATGACAGTCGACTAGTGATGTTTAGGGGAGAGACATTACATATGATTTAGGAGAGAAAAAATCATAAAATTTCAGATTGCGCTAAAAATAGAGTGAAATTCCAAATTTTTTCAATAGTAATGAGATGAAAATTCCCCGATCTATTTTAAATTTCAATGAAATCATGAATATTTAGTGGTGATTACGTGAAATTATGGTAGTCAACTGTCTCGTTGACTACCAATTTACAAGACAGTGACACCGAATGTGATTTGTTGGAAAAAAATAATGAAATTTCAGGTTTCACTAAAAATTCAGTAAAATTCCAGAATTTTAAGCGGCATGAAGAGGAGAATTCCTCAATTTATTTGAATTTTCAGTGAAATCTGAAATGCCATGATTTTTTTCTTCCTAAATCGCATTCACTGTCACTGTCCTGAAAATTCAAGAATATATTTACCAGAATTTTCTAGTTTTCCATTCATTTTCCGGGGAAAATGGAAGGCAAATTTACAGTTCTGTTTGTTTTCCCACGAAATTCCAAATTTTCAATAACAAGATCTCCTGAAATTTCAGTGGAAGTTGAACGCAATAAAAATTTCCGGAATTTGGCACGGAAAATTCAGACGAAAATTTTTAACAGTGCATTACAGACGAAAGTTAATCACAAACATAATTTTTTTACACTGGGAAAAAAATTGTTTTTATTTACTTACCACAAGTAAATGTATAATATACATACACTAAATGTATAATGTACAAATAAATGTATAATATATATATGTATAATATATATATTTATATTATACACATCTGCATAAGATATGTGTAAATTTTCTTGTAATTAGTAAAGAAAAACTAATTTCTTGACTTCTTGTCTTGTTTTTTTTCTTGTAAGTAATTTTTTTTCTCAGTTTAGTTGTCAAACTGGCGTTCTGAGGCAGCACAATTTAGACACTTATCTTCATCGTCATTTTTTCCTCCAGAAAATATACCACTTTCACACCCAAAACATGTCTCATCGCACCTGCATAATCCCTCAGATTAAAATGCCAATGAAACTTGTCGAAGCTTCAACTCCATTGCAAATCCCCCTCATTTCACTCCGCATAATTACCGTCCAAGCTGACGAGCTTTTACCCGGTATTCCGTAATAAACTTTTTAATTTCCCCCATTATTATTGCAAGATAACTACAAGAGGCTGGAAAAAAATCGATAATCCTCGCGGGGCCCCTCAGTCTGAACACCCACGTCCAAGTGATAGCACCACTAAGAACAAATTCAAGAGATCAACTAGAGTAACACTTGTAACATACTCTCATGAACTATGAGAATAGACTTCGACTATAGTTGTGGTTGGAACAAATTCTTACTGAATTTAGGGGGATTTTGGCCAAAACGTCAGTCGTCTTTTATCGGAAAGCACTGGCCGCTGATAAATGCTGCCTTGGTTTTCGTTGTCATAATTATCCCCCGATTCGCTGCTATGTCCTTATTCTGGAATGAAGTTGACGCATTCGTTCAATCTTTCACGACTCAACTGGCATTTATGTCCGTGTTCTTTAAATTAATAGTATTACAACTGGGAAATCAAGGTATGTCATCGTGATTACTTCACGATTTATGTCATCAATAACAAAACTTGAATATCTTTCAAAAAAATTTTTTTTCATATTTTACTGGAAAGAATTATTATTATTTCAAATAATCGATTTTTATATTTTCCACATTTTTTTTTGTTAATTATTATTGTCACATGTATATTTCAGTAGTGAAGTGGTCAAACGCTTCAAGTCAATTCCATTCTAGCGCCAGTTCTCGATGAATATCTCAAATTCTAAAGGAGTTGGCAAAAATTTTCTAAAAACCTTTTTTGTAAAGAAAAGTGAAGACTATCGAAAAAGATCTGACAAAAATTTCGGTATCTTTCTTAACTTCCGAGTTATTCAACAAAAACTCAACTGGGAGCTAAGTCGACTTAAACCGATTGACTCCTTCACTACTGATTTGTACACTTATTTTCTCATGGGCGCGATTGGTTAAAAGTTATAAGAAACTGTAGATTAGGAATATTATTGATGGGTCTTCAATGAATCGTTGTAATTCAAAACAAAACTATCGTGAATATTGACGCTCGACAAAACAGCAATCACGATGATCCATTCAAGATTTGCGAATTTCGTCGAATTCATTTTTTTTTTTCATCACCGCGTGCGGTCCACCCGTTAACGAAATTTTTTTTAATGCGTCAAAATTTTTATGTGCGCCAACAAGTAACGCACCGAGGGGACTATAACAGAATTAAAAATTATGTAAAAGAATAAATAATTTTAAACAATCAAAAATACAAGGCCATAGACAGATGCGGGCGCCGTCATCTTGCCTGAATAACTCCTCCCTCTGCCGCAAGGGGCTTTAAATATGGCGGAATCCCCACCTCGTATTTTTAAACATTTCTTAAAATTATGTCTCCCCTTCAAATCAGTTTCAACTCGCTTCATCTGGGTCTTATGAAACGAACAATTTTTTAAAGCCATCTTTCAGATTTTTCCATTCCCTTTTGGCTGAGAATTCCAGGCGTAAAGTTTCTCCTCGAGTTGTCCCCGCGGTTCAGTAATTTTTTATTTCATTCCCAACACCTCTCAAGACCTAAGCTATTCACAGACTGCGCTAGTTCTAGTTGATTTAACATCAATGATGGAAGCGAACTTATCAGTGGAATTAACAAAGCAGCAGTACGCTCCTGTATTCAAAGCTGCCAAATTCGGCAGGACTATTTCCACAATCGTGGCACTCAGTTTCGTCTGTGTCGTCATCACTGGTGTCATCTCACTGGTAGTATTCCCATCCACTCTCACTCATTCGTCAATTGTCTGGCCACTGGACTCATATCAACTTGTTCATCAGAAATTGTATCATTTGGACAGCCTCTACATAAAGAACCCCGATCCCCGGCTGTCAGTCGACTTTTTCTTCGTAGCTTACATGCCATTTGACACCACCAATATTGTCAGCTACGCCACAATATTCTTGTTGCAACTTTATGTGTCCGTCATGTCGACTGGGATTCATCTCATCCTAGACAGCTTTGTCGTAATGCTCATACTTCATGTTTGCGGACAACTGGAGCTCATCCAGCTGTCGCTAACCCAATTGGGGGGAAATGTGGCTCAAGATCGGAAGCGCTTTCAGGCAGTTCTGAAGAGCATTGTGAGAAAGCATCAATCCGTTTGTCAGTATGTATTCAGAGTTTGATGTTTCTGGGGCCCTATTCTCGAGTTTGAGGTGAACGGAAGTGGCTCCGTTCACGTATCGCATTGGGAAATGAAAGGTTTCGTAAACGAATCCTAGATCCACATGTGAATCAATTTCGTTGACGGTGTGCGAATTGAAAATGACTTCCGTGAACGAAATTAATTCACATGTGAATCTAGTATTCGTTCACGGAAACTTTCGTTCCCTACCGAAATGCGTGAACGGAGTCACTTCCGTTCACCTCAAACTCGAGAATAGGCCCCCTGCTGGTGATATCGGGGAATGATTGTTGAGTGGTTCTGCAGGTTTGTCAACGATCTCGAAAAATTATTCAATTTCCCGTGGTTCGTTGAGCTAGTCAGTTGTACTCTGATGTTTTGTTTTCAGGGGTATAATGTGTTGAAGGTAATTGCTATTGCTGTTCACTAGAACTGTCACTTGGTGAAAATTTCTAAGAACTGCACTGAAAATTTCTGAAGACTCTATCTTTCAGCTTCTGCATAATGACCAGTCCGGTGTCTTCCAAATAGGCTTCATAATTTTCTCAACATTTGGTATACTGACGCAGTTTCTACTCAACTGTTGGGCCGGCGAGTGTCTCATATCACAGGTAACCGAGGGAATCTACACTGGTACTCGAAATTAAGACTCCAGAATTAAGGATCACAAGGGTCAAAATGAGGTTTGCTAGGGTCAGAATAAGGGTCACGAGGATCAGAATAAGAGTCAAGAAATTACATTTCTTGCTTACACAGAGAATAAATTTTTTTTTTAAGACAAAATCTATTTTTGCAATAAAAATTTTCGATCTCGGCGTACGCTTCTCATGCTTGGCACAGAAAAATCCTTTTTTGATAATTTTCAGCAAACGATTTTTTTTACGCAAGCAAGCAAGACTTGTTCAAGAACTGTGCTGTTTTTCTCTCAATTATTGTTTCTTCATCAATGAAGATTGTTTCTTCCTGGTGCATCACAGAGTTCAAAAGTTGGATATGCATTCTACTGCAGTAAATGGTATGAATTACGCCCCTCCGAAGCTCGTTCACTGATGATAATGGGTTTTCAAAAAACACGACCATTGAAATTAAGTGCATGGAAATTTTCCACACTATCTGTCAAGCTTTTTCTCCAGGTGAAATCATACTTTCGATCATGTTAGACATTAGAATAATTGAAAGAAGACCTCTTCCGTTTTCTATTTCAGGTGATGAAAACCTCGTTCAGCTATCTGTCCGTGTTACTGGTAGTGACAGATTTTTAGGATGAGTAAATCACCGATGACCATGTACTATAAGAGAATATTGTGATAGCGAAACTAATGATTGCGATGACGAAATAAAATCGAGCAAAATTCAGTTTTAAAAATTCTGATGGAAAATCGCGATTGAATAAGTTGTATGTAAAATTCACCATCCGCCGCAGGTCATAATACTCAATCGAAACACAATTGTTTAGATAAATCGTGTGGGCACATCGAGAAAAAAATTGGAAAGCACTGTCAATTTCCTAATATCATGTCAAAGATTGTGCGTATTCTGAATTCAACAGTTATCAAATCCATTGACGAATTCCTTAAAGAATGTGAACTGAAAATATAACTAGGCCTAAGAATTTGCAACTTATATATTTATGCATATAATTTGAAAAAAAAGCATGTAAGTATATAGCTTTTAAATACTATTTAGCAGGTAACAGACCTCGTATTAAGGTCTCTAATACTTAAATAAAGAAAAAATTAGCCAAAAACTAATAAAAAGTTCAAAAGAAATCCAATAAAATTTCCTATCGCACTCGCTATAGTTTTCTATAAAATTTTTTCGTTCGTGCAACGGTCATCGAACAAAATGCACGTCACTATTTCTCCCATATCCTCCAAATGCATCATCTCACAACCGTTCTTCAACTCAACTCACTGAACTCCCACCACCGCCATCCGCGCTCTGATCATGCTCAGAATGTAAAATGCAGAACATCCATTACAAATAACGACACGAAATTGTTTAGAAATTGGTCTTTCAAATAACGAAGTCATTACTATTGCAAGAACATAGGGAAGAGATCAATAAACGGCGGACTTTCTCTCAGTCTTCAAGCATATGACACGAAGAGTGAAATCAGAACAAAACCCGAGAGAAAGATTATTTCCTCTGAGACAAATAAACCGTGACATTTATTTTCATGAACTATGAAAATAGATTTCGCGTACCTCTGTGGTTGGAACCAACTTGTTATGGATATGTGTGGATTTTGGCCCAAGCATCATTCAAATTTCATTCGCAAGAACTGGTACCTGATAACTGCTAGTGTGATCACGATTGTTATAATCATACCACGATTCGCTGCAATATCTTTATTCTGGAATGAGATCGATGCAGTCGTCCAATGCTTCTCGACTCAATTAGTATTCATCACCATGGTCTTTAAACTGTTGGTCCTGCATTTCCAAAATGAAGGTAAATAAGTTTTATCATGACTCAGGATGAACTAATTGAGCGGCCTCGAGACTAAAAACAACTACTGAAATGCGGAGGAATCTTTGCGCCACGAATTTTCAATCAGAAGGGAATGGGAAAATCTGGAAGAGGGCTTAAAAAATTTGTTCATTTTATAGAAATCGAATGAAGCGAGTTCAGAGTGATCTGAAATGAATGACGAATTTTAAGACATGTTTAAAAATACGAGGTGGGGGCGCCGCCATTTTTAAAGTTCCTTGCAGCCGAGAGAAGGATCCAAACAAGTTAGCGGTGCTCAGACCTGTCAACCACCTCGTATTATTGAACATTTCGTGAAATTATTAATCTTCTTCAGACAACATTCAACTCGTTAAATGCACAGCCCAGAAAAATGATCAATTTTTCGAATCATCTCTCGGATTTTTCATCCTTCTTCAACTGAGAATTCACGTCACAGATTTCCCGTAATTTTTCATGCATGTCTTAACACGAACTACTTGTATCGCGATAGTTCTAATTGAGTTGCTGACAACAATGGAAGAAGATTTTTCAAAAGAACTAACCAAGATACAGCACACAGCAGTACTTAGAACTGCGAAAATTGGCCGGATAATTTCCATTTTTTTAATCACCAGCAGCCTCTGTAATGTCATCGCTGGTGTCATCGCGATGGTAATACAAACTCCTTAAGACTGATTCATAGTAACTAATAATACATAATATCCAGAAATTGTATCATTTGGACAGTCTTTACCTAAAAAATCCTGATCCCCGGTTATCACTGGATTTTTTTTGGGTATCGTATTTTCCATTCAGTACGAAAAACATCATCATTTATATACTTGTAATGTCACTTCAATTTTTTGCGTCTGCAATCACTGGTTTCTACTTCATCTTCGATGGTTTCGTTGTAATGCTTATTCTCCATATTTGTGGACAACTTGAACTCATCCAAATATCGCTGAAATATTTGGATGAGGCTGTCACTGTGACTGAAGGGAGAAACTTACGGATAGCGTTTGCAAGTATTATGGAACAACATCAAAGAGCCCATCGGTATGCACGCACGATAGAATTTCATATTTAGAAAAGGAAATTATTAGATTTTGACCAATTCCAGAGAAAAATTCGGCAGATTTACTGCACGTTTTTTATATAAAAAATGTTCAATAGATAATATTTTAAAGAAAAAGTCAGTAAGCCATACTAATTCATTGTCGAATTGCGACGGTTCGATTGTAATTCAAGCTTCCTCAGGCTATGGAGACCAATCGAATAGAACCAATAAGTAAAATAATAATACCAATTTCATAAATATACACGAAAAAAACATACAAAATATTGAAAAATATCCATTCGATCTGGACAAAATTGATTAATTCAATAGAATTTCCTAATGAATTCGCTAGGTTTCTGTATGAAATTTTCACGTGCCCATGGTTTAAGAACTAGATCCTCCAAGAACTGCCTCAATTATTTTTGACAATCACTTTCACAGATTTGTCAACAATCTTGAACAATCGTTCAATTTGACGTGGTTTCTTGAACTGACCACCTGCACGCTGACCCTCTGCTTCCTGGGATACATAGTCCAAAAGGTGGATAGAACCTCCTCTTGTACTCATCCAAAAAACTGTTCCTTATTTATATTAATCTGCTATCACAGCTTCTGCATACAGACCAGTCAAGTATCTTCCAAATGGGTTTTCCAATCTGCGCGGTACTTAGTGTCCTGATGAAGTTTTTCCTCAACTGTTGGGCTGGCGAATACCTCATATCACAGGTAACTAACGATTGTTACAAAATAGTCTCTCTGAAAGAAACTGAAGATTCATGCTCTCCGATAGAGTTCGGAAATTGGATATGCATTCTATCAAGCTGAATGGTATAAACTATCGCCTGCTGATGCCCGCTTACTGATGATGTTTGGTCATAAGAAGACCCGCCCATTCGCACTGAGTACGGCAAAATTCTCAATTTTATCGCTCAGGCTCTTTGTCCAGGTAGAATATATTACAACCCCTGTTATGTTTTCATGGAGTTTTATTTAATGAATCGTTCTCTTTCCTGGATTGAAAAGTAAATTCTCTTTCTTTTTGACCTTAGGTATTGAAAACTTCGGCGAGCTATCTATCAATGCTGCTAGTAGTAGCGGATCAACCAGACAAATAGTTCAATGAATGTAGGAACTAATGATATAGCATCAAAAGCTCAAACAACTCAATACTCGAGAAGAAAAAAACTTGTGTTCATGATCAACTCATTTCTGTACCAAGCGTTTCCCCACTCTTCGGCATTTTATGGTCGTGCGCGCGCACCACCAGGCTTTCCTAACGATGCACTAACACACTGGGGCGCCCCCACTCTCTTCACACCGATACATTTCGTGATCTTGGCACTACAATGGATTGAGGAGGCAAATTTAAGCTAGCAGGAAAATATCAATAAAATCGTTCGGTGGCCAATGGTACTCCAACACCAAAGGCCCGTCCATTAAATTGGAATATACGTAATCAATAAATTTTTTATATATATTTTCTTTTTGTGACTCTTCACCAACTGCGTCCTCATCGTGAGTCCTGGGTAACACCAATAGAATTGATGAGGATGAGTTCGTGAGGATGAGGATTGAATTCTTCATCAACGTCTGATGGTTCCGTTAAGAATTTAGTCACCTCATTGAACAATGTTGACATCTTCACAATCATCTTCAGTGAACGCGAATTTTTATTGTTGTAAGAAGGTACTGAAATGGGGACCCATCAGACCCAGAAATGTCACCATTTCCAGGCGGAAATGAGAATGATTGTGCAGAAACATGAGGAGATTATTCGGTAACGGATGAAGCATTGAAATCTTGAAATCTTCACCAAATCGCAGGCTGAAAATTGAATAGCTTTTTCCTCTCAGATTAGCTGGCGACCTAGAAGACTCCGTCAATCTCGGACTATTCTTGGCGCTGATTGGCTGCACATTAACGTTTTGCTTCGAAGGCTATGCTTTGATAAGGGTGAAATTTTTCAATGATATTCTTCAATCACTTTATAGTGACATGTTTCAGTAGCTCTTGGACCGGGGCCAGCTGAACTTCTCCCAAGTTGGGTGTTCCATTACTGTTGCATCAGGTGCATTTTTGCACTTTTTCTTCTGTTGCTGGGCCGGAAACTTTCTGATGGCACAGGTGAGTGAGTCGGTTAAGAGGTGACGGCGCCTCTTGCATGGATTGAATTTTGGAATTTTCCTCTTGTCAATTCCAAACTTGATAACTACATTGAATAAATATCATACGATACCATACGGTCCTATATGATTTATGTTTTATAGTTTAAACAATTCGAGGTTTGCAAAAGGTCGAACACGGTTCGAAGTGCATCAATGTCTACGAATAGCTGAAATTTAAGGTACACATAGTTGAAATATGCAAAAAAATGAAGATGAATTTTGAAAAATGTTGGTTTTTTGTGTGAAGTTGTAAACAAATCTGAAAAAAATTCTACATCAAAATCCATCTTTTGTTTTTCTACGCATTTTTCAACAATGTCGTACTCAATTTTAAGCAATTGTGTGTTCATCATTTATTTTTTTAGAGTGCAGTCGTGGGAGAAGCCATTCACACAACTTACTTCATTCTGACGCTCGCACACTGACGCTCATTGGTTTCAAGACATTCAGACCATTAGAAATGACTGCTGGAAAGTTTGCAGCATTATCGCTGAATCTTTTTGTAAATGTAAATTAATCATACTTTTGCGAGACGAATTTTCGTCTATGATTTCTCATTAATTTCTCATTTTTACTCACCCGGTGGTGAAAACATTAATGAGTCATTTGTCAGTACTATTAGTAGTTGATGGTAGTAAATAAAGTGTATACATTAGTAAATTGTATGACTTGAGTTTCTTTGAAATAAAGTGAACTACACGATGTGACATTTTTCTTTCGTTGGACTTCGACTTTCTAGTTAAAGTCCAACATGATTCTGGAATGACTCACCTCTCGTCACTATGGACTCGCAACTTTGCCGCAGAGCGCATGTCTATAAATTCCACAATGCATCATGAATGAAAATTGTTCTGTGATCATGAACAATTTTCAGAATGATCGTCATTACGGACGGATAGGGAGTAAATCGATAATAAAATGGACAAATCGTCAGTCTTTCTTCGCTCTCTCGAGAGACAACATCGATGGGAACCAACTCAGGTATATGGAGATGAAGGAACTCTCATAAGATTTTTTTTATAATCTATTGTAATTAGATTTTGAATATGCTTGTGGTTGGAATAAACTCAACCTGACAATATTGGGAATGTGGCCCAAAAAAAATCTCACTGGTTTTCGAAGGTATCATGTCCTACTGAATGCTATTACGGTTTTTTTCCTACTCACACTTCCTCGATTGGCCGCACTCTATCTATTCTGGGGTGAAATTGATGCCATGATTCAATGTTTTTCCACGCACATGCCATTTGCAATTGGAATTGTAAAACTCGTCATTCTGTATCTACAACAACAAGGTAAATGAAAGATTCAGTAATAGGTAATCCGTTTTAGTAAGTCAACTAACTTAACCCTCAAGTGGTGTCGCGTCTTTCTAGCATCTCATTCGCTCTACAGTGGCGCCCCATAGGTGGTTGTGCGGGGATTCCCTCACGATACGACCACTTAAAGATATCCAAATACTTCATTTAAACTAACACTTTGTTTTCAAGCAAAATTTCAGTTTTGCCAAATATCTTGCCATTTCCATATTTTTTCGGATTTTTCATTGTTGAATACATTTCTTCGGGGATTTTTTTGATGAATATTATGAACAATATTTTATTCAATTTCACACTTGATTCTCGTTGATTTAACCTCTAATCTCGTAAATTCAGTCCGAGTAGTCACTTGAGCAGTCCGTTGCCAGAGGTCAGGAACGCGCAGATTCAAACGACACAATATGGCCGTCGTACCAATCAAGAAGCTTTTAACTTGATTGTTTGCAATTTATCCGGAAACTCATGTTTTTTAATCTCAAAAAAAACAAGAGGGTATAACGAACAAAGTCATATACAGTTATGTATACGAAAAAACACTTTAAGACTATGAACTACTGAGTTGAAGGGATATACAGCTCCTATACATGCAATGTGTTAAATTTCATTTTTTCAAAAATTCTTTTCTCGAAAAAATGTTCGTAAACTAAGGTTGATATAACGCCTAAAAAATACTCTTAGTCTATTCTATAAACTCTGACGAGGATTTCACCGAGAAAAATTTGCCCGAACTGCTTGGATATCCTGAAAGGTTAACGGTTAAAGCCTAACGAATTTGATAGAAAATTTCCAATAAAAACTATTTTATGGAAAAAAATACAATTGCACCGTTCTATAGACGTTTTTCTATCTAAACATTTTCTGTAAGAATTTCTCGACTTGAATTTTCTACTCTATTTTCTTGTGTCCTTATTAGAAAAATTGAATAAAAAAACTTGGAATATTGAGCCCAGCAATTGCTATAGAAAACATTTCAATAGAATAAGTTGCTATAGCATAATTTTCATTGAAGATTTCTACTGAAAAAAACTGTAAGAGTAAATTCATGATAATAGCCCTAGGTGAGTTCATGGAGAAAATGGAATGCGACTGGAAAAATCCCATTTCCAATGAGCAATACAGAACAATGATGAGAATGGCAAAAATTGGCCGGCAGATTTCCATTTTTTCTGGATTAACTGTATATTCTGGAAATAGTTTCGGTGTCGTAGTGCAAGTACTATTCCTTCTTGATACATTACATCACTTATACATATGAATGCTCAATAGCCTATTGATTTTCAACCAGAAATGGTACAATTTAGAAAGTTTCTACATACAACAACCGGATCCTCGATTGACGCTGAATCTCTTCTGGGTGGCTTATCTGCCTATCGATACGAGCAAAAATATCAATTTTGCAGTGTCACTGCTGCTCCAATTCTACACATCTTTCATAGGGTCCCTCGCTTACTTTGTTTTCGACAGCCTAATCGCAATGACGACTCTTCATGTCTGCGGACAGTTGGATTGCCTAAAACTGTCGTTCGCGCAATTGTGTGAAAATGAAAACACCGAAAAACCTTGGAAATTCCAGAAAGACTTGCGGAGAATTGTGCAAAGACACAGCGAGCTCATTCGATCAGTTGCCGAAAATCACTTTGTCCTTCTGTCGCATGTAAAATAGTGAAGCTGTCTTCAACTGGTTGCAGATTGGCCAAGAGTCTTGACAACTCCTTTAATTTTGTGCTCTTTCTATCATTCATCGGATGTACTTTGACATTCTGCTTCCAAGGATACGCCATAATAAGGGTGATTGTTCAGAATTTAAATCACATGAGAATTGGCGATATGATTCGTATTTGGTTTCCCAGCTTTTAGATACAGGAAAGTTGAATTTCTTCCAAGTTGCTTTCTCAGCAACTGTCACAATGGGTGCAATATCTCATTTCTTCATATGCTGTTGGATGGGCGATCTTCTGATAACTCAGGTGTTTAAAAAATGCAATAAATTGAAGGGAGAAATGTTTTTTTTTTTTCAACTGAGAATAATATTGTCTTCCACCTAGAGCACAGCCGTAGGACAAGCATATTACAAGAACGTGTGGTACAAATTGCCACATCAGCAAGCTCGTTCTCTGATGATCATTGGTTTCAAGAATTTCAGATCATTGCAATTAACGGCGGGTAAATTCGTCCCACTGTCATTGAATCTCTTTCTAAAGGTAAGATATGAACGCCACATACTGATGCCGCAAGAGAGCGTGGAAGTCGAGACAAGACGAGAAAAACTGCTCGAGAGACTAAAGACAAAAGATTCGAACTCATCTCCATCATTTATTAAATTTACAACAGATAAATATCCGATGTCTGTCCATGAAAACAGGAGTTAATCCACGATGAATTCTGTTTATAGCGATTTCTCAAAAAAATTAACGTTTTTCCCAAAGCCTTCTATAGCCCGTAGAGCAAAATGGGGCTCAATCCATAAAAACATCAAAATCTGACGAATCAAACCATTTTAAACTAGTATAATACAACGCCAAAGCATTTGTATTTTAGCTCTCCTTAAAGTTTACTCTTGCCTTGTCCTGTATTTCTCCATCACTAATCTCACAGTGAGTAAACTTCCGATTCATAACTTTTCCTGACTGTCGCATTACTGTCCTTCAGGTTATCAAATCATCCATGAGTTACTTATCAATGTTACTAGCGGTCCAAAGTAGGCAAGTATGATTGATTCCGAATTGTGTTGAGTGCTATTCTCTGCAATAAATTACTTGAAATAATTCAGCGAGTACTTGTTCGTTTTTCTCTCCTCGAAATCGTGTGAATCTGCTATTGAACGTAGACACTTCAGTCCATAATTATACAAATTGTCTTCACTGACTTTCAATCGAAGCTGTCATTCAGGTAGTGCTCGTCCAAGAGCATTCTGTTATACTGCTCGCGCATCACGTTTGCAGTCTTTACCATAGCGAATCCCCAAGTGCTCCATTACTTTTGAATTGAAATTGGTGGAAAATTGCCCTGAAATGAGGCATCATTGAAACTGAGGGCTGCTCTTCGATCGATCGACAACTAATATCCACGAGCTGTCAGTATTCCTTTGGTTGATCAGAACTAAACATCAATGGCGATCAGTCCAGGTAATAGAACACATGATTCTGATCATAGCAGCAATATTCTTGGTTGATGAAGATCATTTGCGGTCAGGTTTTGACTACGCCTGCGGTTGGAACAGGTTCAACTTCGATTTACTAGGAATTTGGCCGCGGAAAAATGCAACTGGTATTGCGAAATATCGTTCTCTGATAAATGCCAGTGTCATTTTTCTAATTCTCGTAATACCTCGGTCAATCGCACTGTATTTATTCTGGGGCCAGATAGATGCGATGATCCAATGTTTCTCGACCCATATGCCGCTTATAATTGGCATGGTGAAACTCATTATTCTATACTTTCAACAACAAGGTAATTCCTGCATGCATCTTGTGAGTTACTAAAGTCGGAATTCAAATTTCGAATGACAGTGTTGGGTGAGTTTTTGGAAGAAATGGAAGTTGATTGGAAAGTTGTCAAGCCCACGCTCCATCATGATACTATGATGAAAATGGCAAACATCAGTCGAGGGATTTCGATTGTTTCAAGCTCCATGGCTTATGCTGCAAATAGTTTTGGTGTAGTAGTTCAGGTATTCTGATCTTCTCAATCTGCAGAATATAATCAATAACGGATGTTTTGAAATCAGAAATTCTACAATCTGGAGAGTTTCCATCTGAAGGATCCCGACCCGCGTTTAACGATGAATCTATTCTGGGTTGTCTGTCTACCCTTCGATACAAGTACCAGCATCAATTTTTGGGTTGCCCTCCTGCTTCAGTTTTACGCGTCCTTCTCAGGTTCCCTTTCCTACTTCGCTTTTGACAGTCTCGTCGCAATGATGATCTTCCATCTTTGTGGACAATTGGATCTCGTCCGATTGTCCATATCTCAACTCGGTGAAGATAGTGAAACGCAGAGGGTTCGTGACATCCAGGCAATGGTGAGGAGTATTGTGAAGAAGCATGAGAAGCTTATCCAGTAAGTTGTTGGTAACGAGACGATTTGATCTACTAATGAACTTAAAAATCTAGTTCGTTCAATATTTTTCCTCAGATCAGCCAGAAATCTCGAGACTGCGTTCAATTTTGCGCTCCTCCTTCTAACAATTGGATGTGTGCTAACATTCTGCTTCCAGGGGTATGCAGTGATACGGGTGACTGTTAATGGTCAAATAATCCATTTGAAGAGCATCACATAATAGATTGTTCTAGCTTCTAGCTGTGAGACAATTGAATTTCTTCCAAGTTGGTTTTGCAGTGACTATCACATTGAGTGCAGTCTCTCATCTCTTCTTCTGCTGTTGGGCAGCTGATTGTCTCATAACAAAGGTCCTTGAACACGTGAATTGCTAAGAATTTTTTCTTGACGTCTCTGATTTTCTTGCAGAGCTCAGCAGTGGGCGACGCCATTTATCACAGTGGTTGGTACAAACTGCCTCATTCCAAAGCACATTTCTTTCTGTTGATTGGGTTCAAAAAATTTCGACCGTTGGAAATAACGAGTGGCAAATTTGCGGCACTGTCGCTTGATCTTTTCATGAAGGTAAGAACCTAGACTAATTTAAGCAAAGATCTCATTCGTAATGCGAGAATCTCAATCTATTAGGTAATCAAAATGTCTATGAGCTACATATCTATGCTGTTGGCTGTGCAGAGTAGAAGGACCTGATGACAACTATTTAATGTTTGAAACTTTGAATAAATTGTTTTTAGTGATTCGATGTCTACTATTTGTTACTCAATCCTTCCTGAAATTATGTGCCGTATTGAACTAAATTAGAATGAAGCAGTGGTCTAAAAGTTTAGCCGATTATTCACGGTGTATATCAATCATCAATTTTTTATGAAAAGTTTATCCAACAAATCACCTTAAGGTATCGTAATATAGTACCCAAAAATGTTCACTCCTGTATTAGAATTTTTCAATGGCACTACTGAGGTTCTTTGTTTATACGTCTGAAAGCGGTTCTTCGTTGCTTCAAGTCGCTTCTTTACTGTAGACGAGTTTCTCCTGTCGTAATACAAAACTCTCACCTCGTACTGAGAAACTAAATAAACAATAGTCGAAAATTGCGGCGTAATCATCGGTAATTTGCCTGCATTCGTAACGCCGCGAGGGAATATCGAATCGATCGATAACCTTAGAGACAAATCGTCAGTACTTCCTTGGCCTTTTGCAGAAAAACATCGATGGGGATCAATCCAGGTGAGTGGAGACTCATATCTGACAATATGATTCCGGTGATCTGGAGTGATTACGATCATCCGTACCTAGGTTTTCGATATGCGTGTGGCTGGAACAAATTCACCCTAGAAATTATGGGGCTATGGCCGAGAAGAAAAACGACATACTTTGGCAGAAATCGTGCCTTGATACACGCTTTTGTTATATTCGTAGTTATTACTATACCTCGACTAGTCGGAGCGTTCTTTTTTCGACATGAGATAGATGCTCTGATCCAATGCCTTGGAACTTATTTGCCATTTATAATTGGCATTGTCAAACTGATAACTTTACATTACCGCAGAGAAGGTATAGTGACCCGGCTTGAATTTAACGAACATAAAATAAAAAAACAGCACGACTAGTATTAGCTGAATTCTTGGAAACAATGGAGAGTGACTGGGCCGTGCCTCTTTCCGGAGAACGCTTGAAAGTAATGCTGGAAATGGCGATCATTGGTCGCAGAATTTCAATCTTCTCTGGGTCAATGGCTTACACTGCAAACAGTATTGGTATTGTAGTTCAGGTGATTACTATCTACCATGAAACTTTTCTCATGGAAACTTTCAGTTAATGATTCGACGGTTTTGTAGAAATGGTACAATCTCGAAGCACAGCAGATACAGGATCCCGATCCTCGTCTCGTGACAAATCTCTTCTGGATAGTGTGGTTGCCATATGATACAACGAACGGAATAAATTACGCAGTATCCTTCGTCCTTCAGCTATACAGTTCCGTCTATGCTGCACTTTTCTATTTCATTTTTGACAGTTTCATCGTGATGCTTGTACTTCACTTGTGCGGGCAGCTTGGTGGACTCCAGGTATCACTTCGACACTTGCATGAGACCGATGTTCATAAAGTCACCTTTCAAACTAAGCTGAGAAACATTGTCCGAAAGCACGAGAAGCTTGTTAGGTATTGGTAGAAAAGTAGATGCGGAAATAGATCATTGTCCAGGTCATTATTTCAGATTAGCTGGAGATCTCGAGGAGTCTTTCAATTTCGTTCTCCTCTTGCAGCTGTTGGGATGCACATTGATGTTTTGCTTTCAAGGATATGGAATAATTCGGGTACTACTTCCAAGTTACTGCTGTTTGATTCCAAAATTTTATATACATTTTTCCTCTAGCTCGTTACTCAGGGAACACTAAACCTCTTTCAAGTAGGCTTCGCAGTGACAGTGGTTTTCGCCACAGCAGTTCACTTTTTCTTCTGCTGTTGGGCGGGAGAATTTCTCGTGTCACAGGTTACCAAAATTCATAATAGCAGTACGTGGTGGTCATGAATACGAAGATATCAATTTTCAGAGTGTATCAGTAGGATACGCGGTGTACAATTGTGAGTGGTACAAACTACCGCATCTTGAGGCGCGTTCACTCATACTGATAGGTCTGAGCAAGCTCAGACCATTGGAGTTGACGGCTGGCAAATTTTCAGTATTATCATTCAATCTCTTCCTGAATGTGAGTGGTCTTCTATAAATTCGTCGTGGGGTATGTATTAGATTTTTTTTCACAGGTATTGAAGACGTCTATGAGCTACTTGTCAATGTTGTTGGCGGTTCAAGGTCGCGAATGATAGTTATTGATAGAAATCAGCAATTCGATGAAAAGATAATAAATATTCTTACCTTGTTATCCAATCTGTATCGTTGACTTACCCATCGTATTGTCTTGAAGAGCACTTCAGGAAGACCTGGTTGATGGCCACGACCTTACACAGCAAGCTGATCGGCTAGCTGGACTGCTATCTTATGTTTTTTTAGGAATGATGAAATAACATGATTTTCAAATCATAAAAATAACTTGTGGGGTGGGAAGTAAGTACATGGGTTGATATACACATATTGTTGCGTATAAGAAATTACGCTTTTTTCCACTCATCCATCGTAAAAACTGGAAAATCGCTCGATGGATGTGTTGACCAAAACTTAAGGTCTAAGTTACGTCAAGACCCATCGACTGCACTATTCAACAATTCGATCAAATTATCCATTTTTAAGAAAGCGTGAATCAAAATTTTGTTACATACATTCGTACACACACAAACACACATAAATGTTTTTGAAAATAGTCGAAAATCAATGGTGAAATCTTGAAATATCAACATCTGATCACAGGTCTAAAATGGATTTTCGGAGTGATTGCAATAATTTCTATTATCGGGAAGCTGAAAACAGAGAACATCGCAAAATTGTATGCGAAAAATTATCAATTGTGTACGATACATTTTATTGTTGTAAAAATGGAGAATAAATGATATTAATTGAAAATTCTAATGATTAAAACTACTCATCTCTGCTTATTTTACCCTTGAGCGTATTCTACGCTCGCTCCCGAAGGTGGGAGCGTTGATGCCGATGGGTTGAAGTGCGACGCATTGAAACTGCACGAAAATCTTCCCGATTCATCTATTCCGTATAAGAAATTACGCTGTTTTCGCTATTTCATCTTAAAAAACTGGAAAAAAAAGCTCGATGGATGTCGACCAGAACCTAATCAGCTCCAAGATACGTCAAGACTCATCGATTGCAACATTGGACAATTCGATCGCATTATCCATTTTTGAGAAAGTGTAAACCGTAATTTTGTGACATACATTCGTACACACACACACACACACACACGTTATTGAAAATGGCCGGAAATCAATAGTGAAATCTTGAAATCTCAACATCTGATGACAAATCGAAAATGGATTTTCGGAGTAATTGCGATAAGTTCTCATCGGGAAGCTAAAAACAAAAAATCGCAAATTTGTATGCGAAAAACCGTCAATTGTGTACAATACATTGTATTGTTGTAAAAATGGAGAATAAATGATATTAATTGAATATCCTAATGAATAAAACTACTTATCTCTGCTTATTCTATCCGTGAGAAGATTAGAAAATCGACTGATATCACGAAAAATTTGAATGTTCATGGATTGATGTAAAACTGTTATCGGAGATCGATTGATATCTGGTCAGTAGGCCATATCATCGACTAGAACCACTAAAGTAGAATGCAAAGTAAAGGATGATGAGCGCACGCGTTCGCGTCATCCCTACCTCGACAATCACGTCCCACCCTCAGGCTTTCCTGCTCATCGCATTCGTCAGCAGAACAGACAGCCACCCTCAATTCCTCCAATAGAAAAAAAAAGAAAATCAGGAATGTGAGGGGGTGCGACCAATGTACCCTGTCCCCATACTTTATGAATACAGAACCGTCTACTGAGGGTGACAAGACGCTGTAAAATCCGCAACCCATAATCAAGAGCATCGCTGAGGGTACAGAAAACTGTGAAACCCCGAAGTCTCATTATCTACACATTTTATCAAATTTCTACTGCAAAGGCGTCTCGATGTCTAGACAGTTGCAGACTGATAATACTCTCCACGTTTTTTCTGTCGCCGACAAATAATTGTATTGCTAGGTATTGTCGATGGAAAAATCCTTACAGACTATCATTTGGGAAAAAAACTTATCCTGTAAATTACTCTCCGAAAGACAGTGCATTTTATCCACAAAAAATCCTAGATTCAATCAATTCCGAAAACAAATGTTCTCTCTCAATCACCCGCAAACGTATGAACCTGATTATCTTAGCCGTAAAAAAATCCTGAAATAATTATTTTAGAGAATTTCATTGATTATGGAAAAAGCCCTGGAAAGCTCATCGCCAAATTTCGGAACGAGTACGAAAGAATTTCGGATAGGGTGAAGGGTAGGTAGGTCAGTAGACTAGAGCGTAGCATAACGACCCAAGCTCTAGCATCGCTCCTGTCAGTACGAAAGCTCCACCCGATGGGGAGGCTATAGCCTATCATGTGCAGGTATTCGTCTGCGCATGAATGATGCGACCTTCACGGTCCCCTCCCACTGACCTCAGAGGTGGTAGGGATCGGAGATCAACGACACCTTCTACAAGGGGAGCTTCAGGGTTAAAGTTTTATCGACCTTGGATAGGATCAAAGACCAGTGACCCTGACCACAAGAGGGGGAGAAAGACAAAGCTCGACAGTCTGTAATCATTGGTGCACGCTGTCGAGCTTTTCACGGCCATTTTCCATCAATTATTCAATGGAAACGGCGCCGATTCGTTGAAAAAGTTATCGAAAAATTCCACTTCTACCGAGGTTTTCCGAGAATCCAGACAGTACTCCAGGTACAGGGGTCGCAGACGTGTTATTTTCTACTTTGCTGAACAGCGAAGCGCGCACCTAACTTTTCTGGGCGCTCGTCGGGAGCAATCACGCATACATTTTTCATCAACTAGGTACCCTGGTAGAATCCTGGGAGGTCTCGAGGAAAAATTGATTGTTGATGCTCTCAGTGGAGGAGCGCAGTTCAGTTCGACTACATCGGAGAAACCCGGAGGACCTGCCTGACCAAGCGCTCTTAGCAGACGTCGCTTACGACTTGGAAAGATTCTACAACTCACGAGTCTCGTAGTAAGTGGAACTTAAACTTCAATCATTATCAGATAACCCATTCACGAGTGTTGCTCAATCCTTCACGCCTAAAACACAGTTTCGTCAGCAGTTTTTTTTTTTACTTTTGACTCATGTAATTAAGTCAACTCATACTTTTCTCTTCTTCTTAATGATGATGGCTCTCATCTAACTTATGGTAGGTTTCATGCTGCGATGCACTGATTGTTGGTAATTTATTTTATGCAAAGTAAAAGTGCGAGGCTTTCACCTTTTATTTCCGTCAGATACTCAAATTGACAGTTGAACAATATATCATTACGCGACACTTGTAACAATGGAGAAAAATAGAACATGATGACTGGAGAATTTCAACGTGGTTACACATGACTAATATTGCGATGCACTTTGACGAATCCACTGTCTTTATAAACGTCATCCAAAGCACGACACACGCAGTCTTCATTCAGCTACTTCACACTATAAGTCCGTCCTTTTCTTAATTTTTGACACAATTAGAATGAAGTTCGTCACCAGCATTACGATCTTTGGAATAATCATCAGTTCCGTGTCAGTGCAAAGTGGTGCAAATGTTGTTTTCGAGAAAGAAAATCAAGAAAAATCGGGATCCATTGTCGGTGAAATAACACAAGAGTTATTTAAAAAATCACGGAGCAATCAGGTACGTGAGCATGGTCTCAAGAGTCTTCACTTGCAACAATGATTTGCCCTTCAATTATTCTTTCAGATCGTCAATTTGAATTTGTCAGCTGTTCTTTTACTACTACTGCTGAAAGCAGCCGCACTCGGTGCAACATATATTGGAAATTCTGATCGCTACAGAGGTCGAAAATTCGGCGAAGGTAAAGATTTGAGACACATCATTCTGTGAAACATCTAATACTTGATATTTTAAATCTCCACAATCAAGCAGAAAATCTTGTATCAGCGGAGGAAATGACATTGGCCCTTGGCTACTTGATTGGGGACAATTGTTTGTATCGCGCGGCGTGTGAAGTGCCAGAAACTGCAAGAGAGTATCTCGCAACTATTGACATGATTGTGGAGGCTATGAAAATCATTCCACAGTAATTTTTTTTTTCCACTAAAAGAAAAATTTCAGTATAAAAACTGTAGGTTCTTTATGTGATTTCCGTTCAATTTTAGGGCATCACCCGTCGACAATAAATACGAGAAAAAAATAGCAGAATTCCGCAAGGCAATTGAATATGGAGAATTAAAACGCTGTCCGTCTGAGTATACTTGTAAAAAAGGGAGCATCAACTTCGCACTGCCTGAATAACAGTGACTGTTATCTTCATGACTTAATGAAAAACTTCACTAAAACTTTTAAAATTATTTTCAATACATAAATACACCCATATGATTCTTTTTCTCAGATGAATTGGTACCTCATTTCTTCCACTGCACTTAATTGAACATTTATTTGTGATACATACATTTCAGAGACAAATCGTCGATTAACTTAGACTAAGTATTGAGTTGCAAAATGTGACCAGAGTTAAAGGTCTAATTTCTACGCATCATCTTAATTATCATTTCTTATCGATACACGTCTTTCAGCAATCAGGGTATTCCCATTTTAATTCATTAAGACAACTTGAAAAACCTGGAATGAATGGATTAAATACTTATGTACATTGATTTGATGTATGTAAATGAACAATGAACACTGAAGTATTGCTAAAGCCAAGGATGCCAACTCCATGCGTACGAGGTATGAAAATTCCAGCATTGCCATAATGATTCAATTCATTCCGTAAAAATACTCTGAATAGGTCAGAGTATTACGCAATGAATGAAAAAAAATTTATAAAATATGTATACCATTAATACATAAAAAAATAACCCAAACAAAGCCTAAGTCTGCGGTAATTTATCAGAAATAATTAAATTGCAAAGCTTGCAACTGTGGTCTAATGCCATGGAGAATTTTTAAAATGTGGTCATATGTACTTGGTACGTGTGAGTGCACTGCCACCCTTAGTAGGATCCATCATTCTGTTCCAATTTGTCTGGCCCACCACAAATCCCACAGCTCGCATTTTTTCCTGCTCCTTTTGCTCCTCCAAATCAGCCCACCTAACCTACGATAAACATTTTTTAACATTTTTTTATGTTCATCAATTGATATTAAGCTGGAAACAGGTGATCTATGGGACAATCACTTACCCGTTTCTTTCCAGAGTTATCTTCCATATTGTAATAATCTGGGACTTGTAGGAAGTCTTCCATTGTTTGAGGTTTTCCATCATTCTTGCGTGTTAAACCGTCCAGTCGATCTGGAATTTATGTAGAATTAATTTAAGACCCTAGGGGTTAATCATCTGATCTATTCTTTCTCCAGAAAATCTACGGTATGTTTATGATTTAATTTTATTGAGGTGTTTATTCATCCTAGAGACCACACGACCGACTATTATCGTGAAAAATTCTATAAAAATATTCCGAATTCGATAAAGACCCTAGGGTTAATCGTCTGATTTCGTCGTTCCTCAAAAGGTTTTCCCCTTGAGTAATTTTTTACAGATGCTTCTAGGGATCTGTAATTTCTGTTGATGGGTTCTTAAAAAAAATGAACTAGCCCCAAGGAGAACCTACATTTGGGCAGAAACGCCGATGTGTTTACGATGCAATTCCATTAAGGAATTTACCCACCCTGGACCACAAAACCGACTATTATCGTGATAATCTCAATTGGTAAGAGCATCAAGCTCAGTAATCTGAAGGTTGTGAGTTCAAATCCCGCCTGACAAAAATTATAAAGAAAAAAATTACTACTGATGTTTCTGATAACAATGTACATACCCAGTTTGTCCTCTGCCTCCATTTTCTCCCATTTGCTAACGCCCTGAAATATAGAAACATAATTGATAAGTTTGTTCAGAAAATGTCTATAATATTTAAGGGTGTACGTCAAGAACCAGCTGAACTGGCCTGGGTTATGGAGGAGAGGGTTATATTTCTGACCCTCACCGTGGAAGTCGTGCCATCCTCTTGACTATCCTGACTGTCATCGTTTCCCTCCCCTTGCTTTTTCAACGATTGGGCTTCTTCCATCTGAACCTAAAATTTATCCCGAAATAAGGTATGAGGGAAACTAATAGGTGGTTAAGACAATGAGAATGTCTGATTCAACTGCATACAGGATTCAACAAAAGTTAGTGATTACTGAATATACCTCTTCAATTACGTCCTCCTGTAAAAGCGAGGAAACATCCAATTTCTGATGATAACTAGGTGTTGGCTCGAAGTAGTCGATAATCCTGTTTATCTCATCCTCCGTGCGGTTGTGAATGTTACGTTTCAAGCAGATAGCAACATCCATGTCCATTTCAACGACGAACACCTTAAAATTGACCCAAATCATAAATGAGCATATGAATTACCGTAAAAAACAAAGGAGAGCAATCGCTGAGACCCTGACGTCTTACCTTGAATCCTTTTGTCTTGGCAAAACTCCACAGCTCTTCATAATCCGATATTTTTTCATTAATGGCATCAAGAACGATGAAATTGAAGAAACCGTCGGTGATATTCTTCTTGAAAGCCTTGACTAGCGACGCCACATAGCTAGGCTCCATGGCTTCCTCATATTCATACACCATTTCCTATGAGATCCAATAGTATTTTAATCAATAATGCAAGTATATTCAGCCGATTAAGGTAATTATGACTGAGGAAGAATAAATGTACCTTATTTATCACCTTCTTTCCATTATCATCTGTAGTTTCCACATCCTTCTCAACAAGGAAATAATCATCTAGACTGAGAATCCGAGGCGCCGATCCACCCTGCTCCAATTCTTTGTCCTAATGTAGCATGGATGAGGATAATATATTGTAAAGTATGAGCCCGTTTAATAATAAAGAAACAGAGTTTATTAAATAAATTGGGGCGACAAGAAAAATAATGCAATGTTACAATAGAACTGACATGTTCCCTAAACAAGAACGAAGAATGATGGAATAATTAGAAAGAAAGAGACGATCGTACATGAAGGTGATTGAGAAGGAGGAAAAGAACAAGTACGCAACCATGTGAATTTTTGCAGATCGACATTTTTTTAGGTATTATTGCAAGTTTGGCGCAAGTACAGTTGTTTTCAAAATTTTTAGAAGGCAGGTATATATCGGGAGTGTCAAAACGAATCTGACCTATCCTAAGGGTAGCTGCGGGGGGGGAGGAAGTATTTGGAGACCAAAAATCTAATGAAATTTTTGTCTCCCACGCTTTGTGGACGAGTTATTAAGAAAAAAGAGCAGCCAATGACACGTTATTGCCCGATGGAGACATAATCTCCCCTTTCCCATTTAAGACGGAGGAATAATGGTGTTGAATAGCCAATCGATTTCAATCAATTTCAGATATGAATGGAGATATGAATTTATTACGTTGACTCTGATTTTTTAGGTCATATTGCGCTTAGAAACCAAATGACTTTGACGCAGCGTGAAATTCACGACGGGTTCATAATATATGAATTTCCAGAGGGTGATTAGCACTGAGACATTTGAATCCCCAAGGGTCAAACTTTTTGAAGACAAAATCGCAAACAATCGATAGAAATAAAAATCTGGCCCGACCCGTACACTGGAATCTAGAAGTGAGAAAAGGAGGAATGACCAAATGCCACTAACCTTGATGAGTTTTGCCGCAAATGATTTCCCACTGCCAGGTGGCCCCCTGAGGATGATTGCAATCTTAGGTGGTCGAGTTTGCCGCCCCGGACAGCACAATAACTCATCCACCATAGTATAATTCGGTGACTTCCCCAGCTCCAATGTCTTCGGTGGACTGTCATCTTGTTTGTCAGCTGATTGGCTGCAACAAAATTGTCAATCTATGAATATTATACCTTTATATAGCCTTGGACTATGCTTCACACGAATCTTAATAAATTAGGATGCTTAAAATGCATCAAATCTTCCGTAAAACTTGTCGCGAACTATTGTACTGTCGCTCGCATTGAATAAGTAAATGCGTGCGATGTGACGCACGGTGAAAAAAGGTTTCAGTTTGAGATTTTACAAACATCGAATATTGATATCATTCGACAATGCCACTGTCTCGAGAATCGAGTGGATCTCAGATAGCTCGACGGAAAAAAAGTTGAAACAGAAATAAGTAATGCGTAATTTATGAGACGTTGAAAATATCTTAACTAATTCCCAATCACACGAGGAATTGAAAGTGATAATAATGGAAGAGTACGATGTTTTTCGTACATCGTGGTATTTCAAAGCAGATATATCGCAAGAAAATTTCGTCTTGAGATATGTTACTATTCAAAAGTTTAAGAATTGCCGTAAGAATTAGTAGCTTGTTTGATACCGACTTTGCGCGCAACGCGCTGCAATGATTTGACGGTGTCGACTAATTTTTACAGTCATTCCCAACTAAAAATATGCTTTGAAAAAAGAATTTCATGTGTTGAAATCAGAAATACTGCTTCAACAATATAGAAATGCTGGTATTTGTTTCTTTAAAATCCATTTTCATGGAAAAATTCTTTCAACTGTTGGGAAAAATTTAACAATTAATTCATACCTGGCATCCTTCGGAGGAGACGATTCTTTGGAAGTCTTTGTTGTGTTCTCGTGCCGGCTTACATTTCCTTTAGATCTAGTAAAACCGATACACATTCATTCAGAGAGTTTCATGATGCTCAATTCTTGAAACGATTTTTCATTATTATAATTTTTTTTCAGCTCCACAAAATTTTACAACTTGATAAAAATTATGATGCGTAAAAATCGGAATTTTACGACATCAGTGAATAATAAAATCAGTAAAAAATGAGGAAGACTAAAAATATGAAACTCTGAAACAAATGTCATTTTTATATCTTATTACCTTTCATCATCATTGTTAAATTCAGAATCGATATCCATTCGAGATCTCTCGTATTTTTCACGTGTCCTGTCTGTTAGAAGTATGGAAAAAAAATAAACAGAATGAAATTAATATTCTCAAATGATTGAATTCATCAATACAAAAGTGTGAGCTACTCTCGTAGAATTCAAAGGAAGCAGGAATGCATCGTAGAAATTACCTTTGCTAACGCTTCTACGATTTCGATCTTCGCGACGATGCTCCACGTCTCTTTCCCAAGATCTTCCTCGACCTCGTTTATCCCAAGAGTCTCTCTTGTCCATATAGTCATCATAGTCACGGTGGTCCTTATAATCGGGGCCTCTTGGACCAGCACTCCTTCCCAAATCAGGTTTATCCCACGATGAATAGCGGCCACCTCCAAACTCCCTGTGATCCTCACGTTTCCACCGATCATCCATTCTCGGCTCCATCATTCTTGATTCATTCTGCCTCAACATCCGTGCATGTCTTTTCCGCGATTCGTAGGCCCTCATTCCCTCATCGTACTCGCGAAGATTATGATCATTCTCCACCCAGTGCTTGAAATCCAATTTCGGGAAAATCTCGTGATCCGGTGCTCTCAGCTTAAACTTACCGTGTGAATAATCAAAGCATTGCGCGGGTGTCGCGTAATCTTGTTGCACGGGTCGCCTGATGTGGCCGTAATCAATAACCTTTGATGGTACATAGTCATTAAACACCTGATCAGGGACACCGCCACCATGATTATAATTGAACTGCTTCTCCGCGCAAAATTCGCGGATGGGACCTTCACTACGATTACCCGGTTGAATCGGCTCCATGCGACGTGAAAAGGAATTGCGAGCACCGTCTGTTGCAGATTCGTCGAAGCCTTTTTGCACGGGTCCGAGAGGTGCTGGTCGCCCTGATGATGGTATGTCGTCAGGTCGATTGAACGGTTTGTCATCTCTGTTCAGAGGGCCCTTCGGGTCTTGAGGTTCACGATCCATTTCCGATCTTGTCAAGTTGGGTCGTCTATCCGAATCCCTGGGATTCAGCATAGATCCTCCGATAGGTGGCCTCAAGTCGTCCATAGGTTTGTCGAACGGTTGGTTCATCCCATCTCGGAACCGATCAAAAGGTCTGTCACGATCTATCCCACCCAGCATATTTCCTCTTGGCTGGTTCATTGGTCCATCCATATTTATTGATGACATTGGTCCTCGAGGGCCATTGTCACCTGGTCCAAACTTCGAATCAGGTCCTCCTCTAGGAGGCCCGAAAGCCTCGAAAGGTCGAGGCATAAAGTTGTCCGACCCGAATGGCCGATCACGCATATCATTTTGTCCGCGAGGCCCAAAATTATCAAGATCCCGAGGCCTGGGACCCATATTAGGCCCACGCGGGGCGAAACTGTCAGTGTCACCGGGCCGGAATGAATTATTACCCCCTCGGGGGCCAAAGTTGTCACCGTCTCGAGGACCGAATGGTAAGTTACGAGGACCGAAATCATCATCTCGAGGGCCGAATTGGGAATTTGGTCCGCGCGGACCAAAAACTTCGCGATCTCTTGGTCCAAATGGTTGAGGCCCGCGAGGGCCAAAATTATCCAAATCCCTGGGACCAGATTGTGAATTGGGTCCGCGACCGCCGAGATCGTCGTGTCCCCTCGGGGCAAATGGTGCATTTGCATTACGAGGGCCAAAACTATCATTGTCTCTAGGCCCAAATGGCAAATTGGAAGAACGAGGACCAAAATCTCCAGAATCGTTACGGAAACGGTCGTCCATACCGCCAGGCCCAAATGTCCCTGGATTTGGTCGCGGGGCGAAAGGACCGTCATGAGGAATCCGCGGAGAAAATTTCGGATCACCCATATTTCTCATACCAAAAGGAGGTTCATTGGGTCCTCGAAGGGGCCCATCGGGTCCTTGAGGTCCTCCTTGTCCGCTCATTCCTCGATTTCCGAAAAGACCTGGTCCATCAGGTCCTTGAGGCCCTCCTTGTCCGCCCATTCCTCGATTTCCGAAAGGACCTGGTCCATCAGGTCCTTGAGGCCCACCTTGTCCGCTCATTCCTCGATTTCCAAAAGGACCTGCCCCATCAGGTCCTTGAGGCCCTCCTTGTCCGCTCATTCCTCGATTTCCGAAAGGACCTGGCCCATCAGGTCCTTGAGGCCCTCCTTGTCCGCTCATTCCTCGATTTCCGAAAGGACCTGGTCCATCAGGTCCTTGAGGCCCTCCTGGTCCACTCATTCCTCGATTTCCGAAAGGTCCTGGCCCATCAGATCCTTGAGGCCCTCCTTGTCCGCTCAGTCCTCGATTTCCGAAAGGACCGGGCCCATCAGGTCCTTGAGGCCCTCCTTGTCCGCTCATTCCTCGATTTCCGAAAGGACCTGGTCCATTAGGTCCTTGAGGCCCTCCTTGTCCGCTTATTCCTCGATTTCCGAAAGGACCTGGTCCATCAGGTCCTTGAGGCCCTCCTTGTCCGCTCATTCCTCGATTTCCGAAAGGACCGAGTCCATCAGGTCCTTGAGACCCTCCTTGTCCGCTCATTCCTCGATTTCCGAAAGGACCGGGCCCATCAGGTCCTTGAGGCCCTCCTTGTCCGCTCATTCCTCGATTTCCGAAACGACCTGGCCCATCAGGGCCTTGAGGCCCTCCTTGTCCGCTCATTCCTCGATTTCCGGAACCACCTGGTCCATCAGGGCCTTGAGGCCCTCCTTGTCCGCTCATTCCTCGATTTCCGGAACCACCTGGACCGCCAAAAGGCCCATTGAAAAAGTTCCCAGGACGATCGAAAGAATTGCCAGACGATTTTGACTCTGATGGTACGTCATTAGCTATTTGATTGGTTTGTTTCACCGGGCCCAAATCTGGTAATTCTGGCGGAGGCTCCATGTTCAAATCTTCAGGCTTTGGATCATTTTCTCCCATGAATGGCAGTCCATCCGGTTTTTTCACCAGCGGTTCTGGAATCGGTGATGATTCTGCATTAGGATTCACAAAAGGTTCATCTTTTTCATCTGGATCATTGCGATTTGGAACATCAGGTGTCTTGTTCACGTCCCTGTTCCCATCAGTTGACTCCATGGGGCTTTCCATCATATTTGGGTCTATCCAAGGAGGTACTTCCAGGGGTGGTACTTTCTGCGGAGACGCATCCAACGGTGCTGGGGGTTCTCCTCGAGCTCCAAGATTACCTCCTCGTGGTCCAAGATCTCCTGGAGGGGGTCCCATTTCTCGTGAATCGAAGTCTCCCGGACGGGGTCCCATATCTCGCGAATCGAAGTCTCCAGCGCGAGGTCGGAAAGTGTCTCCACCTCGAGAACGGGAATCATCTCGGAACTTGTTATCTGGTCCGCTATCGAGTCCTCCGCTGAATAGTGGTGGTCTAGACGAAGAACTGTTATCCGGTCCGCTATTGGGTCCTCCGCTGAATAGTGGTGGTCTAGACGAAGAGCTGTTATCCGGTCCGCTACTTGGTCCTCCGCTGAATAGTGGTGGTCTAGACGAAGAATTGTTATCCGGTCCGCTATTGGGTCCTCCGCTGAGTAGTGGTGGTCTAGACGAAGAGCTGTTATCTGGTCCAATATTGGGTCCTCCAGAAAATGGGGGTCTAGATGAAGAAATCTGGTCCGGTCCACTCTTGGGTCCTCCACTAAAAGGCGCAGGTCTAGATGAGGGATCAGAGGGTTTAAACACATTCTGTGCTGTTCGTCTCTTTTCCAAAAGGGCTTTCAGCTCTGGTGACATCTCTAGAGGTGCATGATCTAGTCCACTATTGGGTCCTCCTCCGAATGGCCCAGGTCTAGATGAAGGACCATGATCTTGTCCACTATTGGGTCCTCCGCTGAATGGCCCAGGTCTAGAAGGACCATAATCTGGTCCACTATTGGGTCCTCCGCTGAATGGTCCAGGTCTAGAAGGACCACGGTCTGGTCCACTATTGGGTCCTGCGCCGAACAGGCCCGGTCGAGATGAAGGGCCATGATCTGGTCCACTATTGGGTCCTGCGCCGAACAGACCCGGTCTAGATGAAGGACCATGGTCTGGTCCACTATTGGGTCCTGCGCCGAACAGCCCCGGTCTAGATGAAGGACCGTGGTCTGGTCCACTATTGGGTCCTGCGCCGAATAGGCCCGGTCTAGATGAAGGACCATGATCTGGTCCACTGTTCGGTCCTCCGCCGAACGGCCCAGGTCTAGAGGGACCATGATCTGGTCCGCTATTGGGTCCTCCGCCGAATGGTCCAGATCTAGTTGAAGGCCCATGGTCAGGTCCACTATTGGGTCCTCCGCCGAATGGGCCAGATCTAGATGGAGGGCCAAGGTCCAGTCCACTACTAGGTCCTCCGCCGAACGGCCCAGGTCTTGGTAAAAGACCATGATCTGGCCCACTATTAGGTCCTCCGCTGAACGGTCCAGGTCTAGATGAAGGGCCATGAGGAGACATCCGACCATGATCTCCTGACCGATCCCTCGGTAGGAATGGTGCATCGCCGGTGATTTTCCTAAAGCTCTCGCCCAATGATCCAAAGGTACTTACACTCTTCTCGGAGCTCAAAAAAGTACCAGACGGTTTAAACACATTCTGTGCTGTTCGTCTCTTTTCCAGAAGGGCTTTCAGCTCTGGTGACATCTCTAGAGGTGCATCGAATCGATCATTTTTCCCAAAATTCCGTGAGTTAGACCCAAAATTATCCCTCCGATCATTCCCATCCGATGAATCAAATCGATTCATATTGGAACCGAATCGATCACCAGGCATCGATCGATCATCAGACATCGATCTATCCCCTCCAAATCGATCTTTGTTGTCATTAAAACGATTATTCCCGCTGTTGAATCGATCATTCCCACTATTAAAACGACCATCGCCCCCGAATCGATCCTGAGATCCACGATCGAAGTTCGAGCCGAAGGGACCTCTATTGAGGCCAAATCGATCTTGATCCTTCGATTTCTGATCATCATCGAAGCGATTATCACCGAAGCCTCTGTCATTGAATCGGTCTTTAGGAGCAAAGGAATCCGGTCGAAAATCGTTTCGTCCACCAGAGCCAAAGTCCCGTCCGTCTCTGCCAAAGCGATCATTCGGGAAATCCCCACGGCCATCGCCTTGATTCATTCCCCCTGAATTCATACCCCTCGGCCCATCACGATCGAACTGATCATGTCCTCGAAATTGATCATTGGGTCCTCGATCGTTGGGTCCTCGATCGTTAGGTCCTCGATCATTAGGTCCACGATCATTGGGTCCACGATCATTGAATCTATTCTGCTGATTTTGATCGTACGAGTCTCGCTTGAAGGGCATGTTCAGAGGTCCATCTTCACGCCTGCCTTGTCCACTTCCATCCCGAGCATTACTCTGATTCATCTGGGAGTTCATCCCAGAGAAGCCTGTGTTGAATCCTGGGGGCGGCTGCGAGAAGTTATTATCCGGATTTACTGAATTAGGTTGATTAAATCCTGGCATGGCTGATGGCATCGGTGGCGGATTATTCAAAGGCAGCATAGGCGGAGGTTGTGCAAAGTTTGCAAATCCTGGCATGGGCATATTGCCCATATTGTACTGTCCTGGCCACTGTTGCGCTGTCCAGGGATTCTGAGTCATGTCTGGTGCCATGGCGGGTAAAGGTGCTGTCTGCCCTTGCATCGCATTCGGCGCTAGTGTTACAGGTGCTGATCCAGCTGCTGGCATTGGAGCTTGAGATGATTGTTCTTCTGATTGTTCTTTACCTGTTAGTCCAAGAGTCTTTCCAATCCCCAAGAGGTTGTTCAGCAAGCCCTGATTCTCAGTGCTGGACAGGATATTTAGTATCTTGTCACCACCCGGCATGTTCTTCTTCTTCTCTGCCTCTATCTTCGCCTTTTGCGCTTCTCGCTTCTTCCGCATTTGATCACGACGCTCGATCAACTTCTCCCGCCATGCTGTCCACTTTGCTTCGTACTGCTTGTACTGGGCCTAAAAGAAATTACAACCGCTTTTTTTTCCTGTTTATTAGGTAACCAAATTTTTTGCATGGTCTGTTGCACCGAATGAAATGCTTTTTGCAAGTGACCAGAAAAATCTTGGAGTGCTAGACAAACGAAAGGATCACCCAAGTCGCAGGAACTTGGGCTAAAATAAAATCTCAACTTAAAATCTGAGTATGTAGTTTATAATTCCATGGCAAAAAATTTAGATTAACGTACCTTATCCGGATGATTAGCATTCTGTTGTTTCCACTTATTAAATTGTTCTTCCCACTGTTTAAATTGCGCGTCAAATGTTCTTTCAGCTTCAGTGAGTTCATCTTCTTCGTTTTTCAATTTTTTAGCACTATCTGTTACGATGTCAGTATTGGCGCTTCTCTTATTTCCCGAGGTTACTTCATTAGAATTGGCAGGCAATGGAGGTGGTGGACCGAGGGGTAACGGAGGATTCGCGGAATTTTTCGCTGGGAAAAGGGGTAAATTGTTCTGGTGAGGTGGTAGAGACCCGTTATTTGAGAAATTGTACGCGTTCACGGTATCCGGTGGCAAAGGGGGTTTCGTGTTTGTATTCTCCTTGGGAAGTGGAGGAGGCTGAATCACTGATGGAATTCCACCAACGCCTGTTGACATCTGCTTCATCGCGTCCTGATACTGGAAAAAAATTCATTCTTTTTGGTTTCAGCATTATCCCGTTATGTGAAATAGTTCCACCCGTGTTGGTTCCATTGGAGCTGGTATTTTTGGTCCAGAAACCACTCATCCAATAGATTTTTGTCCAAAAGGTACTTCTTCCACTATTATAAATGTCTGACAATGGCAAAATAAACGGAAACTCCTCGGCTCCAATTTTTCATGTTTTTTTTGTTCTTTTCATCAAGAAAATCTAACGCAAACACTTGGAAATTCTGAGGCGAGGAAATTCTATAGAAAATATCGCAATAAAATAAGTTATCTTAAATATAATAAATCTGTTGCCAATTCTTTCCCTGCGATTCACGCAAATACTACTGAAATGGATTTCAATTGTATTTTTACTATTATAGTTTCCCTATTATAGGATCCCTAATCGGTTTTAGGCGATATATTATTGCACTACAGTGCATTCACGGAAAATTCTACAGCTTTCTAAAACATTCCGGAACTTCTTGAAAAACTCTAGAATGTTCTCGAGTTTTCGAGAACATTTTTTAGATTTTTACAATGTTTGGGGATATTCTCGGGTTTTATAGCAAGTTCGAAAAAATCGTTTGGTTTTACAGAGAATTCGAAAAAAAGTCTTAAATTTTCTAGAAAAATCTCTGATTTTTTAGAAAATTCGAGCGAATTCTCAGCTTTTCTAGAAAATTCGAGAGAATTGTCAGCTTTTCTATAAAATTGGAGGATATTTTCGGGTTTCCTAGAAAATTCAATAATATTCTCCGTTTTCTAAAAAAAAAATTGTTTATTCTTATTCTGAGAAAATTGAATACTCAGATTTTGTCGAATCCCTGCAATAAAAAAAAATACCTCCCTGTTTTCGACTTTTCTAGAACACCCGAGAAATCTGAGAGAAATTTGAGGATTTTCCAAAGAAATTAAGAAAATTCTCGCGTGTTCTGTAAAAGTCGAAAACATTGAGGTGTTCTTTTTATTGTACACAGCTACTGTAGAAAAATCGAATTCTATTGATTTTTTTCTGTAGAATATTTTCCATTGAACATTTCAATAAAATCGGCCAAAATCTAATAGAGTTCCAGAGAAATTCAACATAATTGTCTAGCGAATTCGTTAGATTTTTCTATGAAATTTTTTCATGTGTTTATTCAGGCCCTCAACTTGTGGGTAAAAAATATATTTAAAAATCACGCAAGTTCACTCGAACAGAACGATGGTAGACCCACTACATATGAAGAAATTAAATTGAAAAACTGATCGAATTCGCTAGAAAATTCTGATGAAATTCTCAAGAAATTTTATGGGAATTCCATTAAAATTCCAGGGAATTCTCGTTAAAACAGTTTTTTCGCAGATTCTATTAGAGATTTAATAGGAAAAATTCAATAGATTTGAATTTTTCTATTTGAATTTTTCTCTTGAGATTTTTTCTATCAAAATTATTGGACACGGATTTTCTAAGTTTTTTCCGCTATATTTTGTTTTCCTTTCCATAACAGAATCCGAGTGAAAAAAACTTGGCAAATTCATGCCCAAGTATCTTATTTTTTAAAAATTGATGAGAATATTCATATCGAAAAATCGAAATCTATTGACTTTTTTCCATCAGATATCTCTCCTAGAATCACCGAAAAAAAAAAATTTTAACGAGAATTCCATAGAATTTTAATAGAATCCCAATAGAATTTTCTATCGAATTCGCTCAGTTTTGCTGTTAAATTTCTTCAAACATGATAAATTAGACAAAAAAATGGACGACAAAAAGGTGGAGGAATAGACAATACCAATGGACGACTAGTAACTGGACCAAAATCTACAGGACCAAAGAAAACTTGACGAAAAGTACGGGTGCGGCTCCATTTTCCGTACCTTAGCTCCATACTGAGCCTGCCACTGTTGATACTGTTGTTGCCACTGCTGCCATTGGGCCCAATTTTGCTGTTGAGCAGCTGACCATTGCTCAGGGGTATATCCACTCGGTGCCTATCATTTTTCATCTCATGTTAATACAACAAAAATTTCCTCAGGAATATCTTTAAAATTCATTCTTTGTTTTAAAAAAACCGGAAAATCTTCAATGCCTTATGAATAAAATCGTTAGAATTTAACACTTACTGGCTGATTATAATATTGCATGTATGCCTGCATTGTTGCCATGGGATCAGCCCCGGGAGCAGGATAACCGGGCCCTGCCGGTGTCTGTGGCATCGACCCGGTAACAGTAGTGGCAGTCGGTAACTGCCATGGATTCCAGTTTTGCATTGTATGATTTTTTTTTTCAGTTATATGTTATCTCTTTCGTTCAATTACATTTAAATCTTGAATTATAACCAGCAATGATCATTAGCTACGGCATGTTGAGGGTGTAATAGGGGCTCTCGGTTTCGTTCAGACGCTATTCAAGGTTCAAAGAAAATTCTTATTACTAAAATTTCGATATGGTAATCTTATCAATACTATTATAAACAATTATAAACAAAATTAACGAGTAGATATTGCTCATGTTGCAGGAATTGTTCAAATTTCCAGGTAAATTTCTAGTTCAAGTGAATCAATGGAGTCGCCAACAGTTCATAAATCATGAGCTGTGGAAATTTTAGATATTGCAAAATGCTTCCAGATGCAGCAGATTGGCCTTTGCTAACGAAAAGGACTGTGCATTGTAAACAAATAAAATGAATTATTTATTATTATAAAATAAATTATTTTAAAAATACCGTAAAGTATCGCAGCATCAGGTAATCGATAGCGGCTGTGTACTTTTTCTATTCAGTGAGATTAATCTCAGAACGAAAATGTAAAAAAAATTATCAGAGGTGAGTTGTGTTCAGTTGTACTGACAATAAGAAACAAAAACCGATAAAATAAATTATGTATTGTTTCGTTCGTGTTTCCTACCGTCGCGGAGTCAATAGGACAACCCCTGTGGGGTGTGACGGAGATGCCGAATGGCTGTGGCATTGATGAGGAGTAAAATTAAAAAACGCTCAGAAAAATCAATAAAAAAATTATAAATTGAGTCTGTACTCTGGTGCTTGCACTGAGCCAGATAAAATTAGTCGCCTCTTGAGATTGAATTTTTGTCGAAACTTGTGGAGAACGGAAAGTTGTTTAGGTTAAACCGTAATTTAGCGAAAGTTCAACATCAGAATCGAGTGATGCTCTCAACCATAAAATATTCACTGCAATTGTTGTATTTTTTTTACAAGTGAACGACGCCCCGAATACCATAACTGCATGGTTGTTTTTTCTTTGCGGTGAAAATGGAGTTTTTATGCTCAAACAAAATGGATGTCCTGCGTACTTACATTTAGACGGGGTAACTAAATCCTCAATGGGGAAACCGGGAGGGATGCGCGTTACGACGAGCAACTTAACGATCGAGACTAGTTATTCCGCGGCTTTTTTCCGATTAATAATGATGCTTCGACAAACACTTGGCCAGACATACGCATTAGCACTGAACAGCACTGAGTTTTTGCACGGGACTGGTGCGCCTGTGTGAAATGCCGTATGGGTGACGCTTGGGAAATGCCGCTTCTACCATCTGGGGGCGATGCCCCGCACTAGATCCACCAGAGAGGGTAAAGGTCGGTAAGAAGAATTTCCAGACAAAAAATATTTATTAATTTTCTTCACAACAATGAGACAACAAGATTTGATTTACAACATTCATAAAATTTCGCATAAATACACATGCATGAGATCATTAGAGTTAAAATAATTTACAATTTTAGGGGGGGGGGGAATGCACTTTTGTTTTCTGAATTTAATATTTATTTGTCGTTATTAAAATATTCTTCCTGTATTAGGAGAGTGGGGTAAAATGTATACTTTAAACTTTTGTGTTAATTACTCATAACTGAGAAACAAATTCATCAATTGAGCTCAGTTTAGGCTGATCACAAAGGGAAATTAGGATTTTAGGAATTAGGTTTAGGAAATTAGGATTTTCCCACCTTGTGTCGAATGACTTTTTCGTTCGTTGTTTTCAGAAGATAAACGAATAAGGTGTCGACAATCACAATTTTAGAATACAATGATAATTTCCACTGTTCTTATGCGATTAAAATATGTACAAAATTATGAGATTGCTAGTAATTGTCCTCTTTACCATCGAAAGGGGTTTTCACGAAGTAGGTTGTCAAGGTGCCTTTTCCTTTGACGTAGGTCGGCCCACGGCAGATGAGCTCGTAGCCCGCGTTTTTCAGTATTTTCGCGGTATCTTCGGTTACTTGGAGTCGTCCCATCTCACCGCAACTGTCCATTCTAGAGGCCACGTTGACAGTGTTCCCCCAGATATCGTATTGGGGCTTTTGGGCACCCACTACGCCGGCTATCACCGGGCCGTGGTTCAGGCCTGTTCATCAGAGCGGAATTGATTATTACGATGAGATACGATGACAGGATTTTTAATGGAGTGACTTGAATTTTGTTTTCCACACACGTAACATATTGACGAAAAAAATATTCAAGTTTTTTTTTCATTCCAATTTCTTAATTTTTTCGATTTTTTTTATTATTTAGCGGCTTTGAAAAATGAATGATCAAAAAATTAAAAAAAATTGTAGCTTATTCATGTGTCATGGCCTTCAATTTGCATCATGCTACGATATTAGCGTCTCTATCAATTCGGAACGAAAAACATTTTTAAATCGAAAAATTGGAATTTTCAAAAAACCTCACAGATTTTTTTTCGTCACTATATTATGTATGATAACCAAAATTCAAGGCAATCCATCAAAAATCTTGCCCATGAGATTATTTTGAAGCATTTTCGTCTGCACCCACATGTCGGCAAATGAAAAAATGAAAACCCATTTTTTTCTAATTTTTTTCTAACTCAATTTTTCTGCACTCACCCATTCTCAATTTAAACCGCTGAAAGGATTCTCTATTAATTTGATCGAGAATAGTCATGAGGGCGATGGCAAACTCCACGAGAACAATCACATTGTGTTCTTGCTGTTTCATCAGGTCCTAAATACAAACAGAATGGAATCGTTAGTATTCTCCCGATGAAAGCGACGAGCACCGACAAATCATCGCAATGAATGTAATTCAGTTAATGCCGATTTTACATTCGAAATTACATCCCCGGTATTTTGATGGGAATATATTATTGACCGCTCTGGAGCGTAATAGCAATTAATCGAGAGAACCACTTCACGAAAATCTCAGTAATGACAACGCGAAGGCTGTTTAGTGCAATTAATTCAATTTGAAATAATAATCGGAGATAATTAATTACAGAAAGCTTTGTTTTCTTTACTATCAAACAGATATTTAAAATAAATGAGATTTGTAATTCCGAAAAAATTTTGTAAAAAAACGTTGCGAATTTGCTAGACAATTCTATATTTATTTCTATAGAACTCTATTCTATTCTATAGTCTTACTCTTCAATAGAATTCGATTTTTCTATACAACTTATTCTATTGAGATATTTTCTGTAGAACTTCCTAGACTCATATTGTTTAAAGTTTTTTTTCATTGTATTTCTCTTTTTATCAAAAAAATTGAAGAAGAAAACTTGGAGAATTTGAGCCGAAGAATTCTATTGTATTCTATAGAATATTTTCTGTTAAATATTTCCATAGAAATCCAATAGAATTGTCTAGCGAATCCGTTAGGTTTTTCTATGAAAGTTTTTCCGCATGTGTCGCTTGCAGAGAAAAAATAAATTTCTTACAACTAAATCTATTTTCACAGTAAAAAAATTTTCTTGTCCAGACATTCTTCGAATGTTGAGCTCATGCGCAACATTTGAAGCAGAATGCTCATATTTTTTTATCAGTGAATGATGAATGATGTTTTTCGCTTTCGAATGGATGCGATTTTTTTCGATTCCCTAATTTTGCTTGGGAATGACTCAGGGTATCATGAAACGAGAAGAAATGATATTTACCTTCTCGTTTACATCTTCCTTTCCTGGACTCAACCCAGCAGCAAGCATGTACGTACTCCCAATAGTCTTAATCTTCTCGATTCCCGAGAATTTCGGCTTAAGCAGAAGCTTATCAAAATCACAAATAATCTCATTGAGTAGCCTCAGACACTCCAGCCCCTGTTTATTAATATCAGTCTCATCGTAAAATTCCTTGTAATTCGGTATCGACGCAAACATCACGGCGATACTGCTGTATCTCTCGTGGTACAAGTCCTGGGTGACCTGGGTGGAGAGGAAGTGGTCGGCCACGTGAGCCGGAAGGATATTCTCCAGTAGAATCTTATTTATACCACGCATTGTTTCCACTTCGTCTTGCTCTACTCTGAGCTTTGTCTTCCACAAAAAATCTGTTCTCGTTGTGAATTCAATTTGTCGGTCGAGTACGTGGAGGATAAGGGCGATGGTGCAGAGGAGGTAGCCAATTTGTATGAGATGATTTATTCCGGAGAATCTAGAGAATTGAAAAAGGAATGTGGAATGGATTCATTGAATTTTGCGAATGGAGAAAAAAATGAATAGATTATTGAATTGATTTATCGAGAGTTCGTTGTTGTTCATCATAAATTCTTGTTGTTGTTTTCCAATTTTAATATTGGGGGGCTTTGCTCAGGGATCTCAGGGGGGCTTTGCCCCCCCCCTCGATTATTGAACTGATTTATCGAGAGATTATTGTTGTGTATTATGAATTGTTGTTATTCTTCTTATATTTTTATATCCCGGGAGCTTTGCTCAGCAACCCCAGGGGGGCTTCGCCCCCCCTCGATTATTAAAGTGGTTTATCGAGAGATTTTTGGTGTGTATTCTTCTTCTTGGATTTTTATACTAGGAGGCTTCGCCTCCTGATCATCTCGCTCGTCAACTCCAGGAGGGGCTCCGCCCCCCTCGACTGTTTTTTTCCTCGGGAAGTACAACCATACATTTTCCATTCATCATTAATAAATGTTGAATATAATATTTTTATTAGCAAGGCTTTGGTTATCAACCCCAAGGGGGCTTAGCCCCCCCTCTCGATTGTTAAATTAATTTATTAAGAAAGCCTTGTTGTACATCATGAATTGTTATTATTCTCTTCATTTTTTCTATACTAACGGGCTTCTCCCATGCTTGTCTCACTTGCCAACCTCAAGAGGGGCTTCGCCCCCCCCCCTCGACTGATTTTCTTTTCTAGTGAAGTACCGTACAATATCTTCCATTCAACAACAATAAATGTTGAATATATATTTTCATTAAGGAGACTTTGCTTACCAACTCCAGGAGGGGCTCGGCCCCCCTCGAGTATCGAATTGACTTATCGAGAGATTATTGTTGTGTGTTATGAATTATTGTTATTCTCCTTGTATGTTATACTGAGGTACTTCACACCCTGCTTATCCCGCTCGCCAACTCGCGGGGGGGCTGCGCCCCCCTCGACAGTTTTTCTTTCCCAATGAAGTACAATCCTTAAATATTTTTCCTTCATCAATACCCTTATGACCCTCACCTTCAAGAGTCTTATCAAGCTTCTGACCCTCAAGATCTGTCCATCCACCCGGGGCCTGAATTTTTACCCTAATTTTTTTTATTACATGCATCATTTCACACATACTCTATCTTACAGAACCAAATATCAAAAATCCGGGATCAAAGAGAATTTATCAGCCAGAAACTCACTCGCTCTCGCCACCATAGTAGTCCCCAATCATCGGATTGTAGTGGAACACCGCAAGAACAGAGAATATGGAAAGAATCATGACGAAGAGCTTGAGGAGGAACCCAACTCTCAGATGAACCCATCCAATTATCAGCGCAAGGGTCGCCGAGTGCAAGTAGGCCTGCATCACATTTGTATATGTCATTTGAATAATACGAAGTAATGAAATTAACTGGGGCACTGAAATTGTTTTATAACAGGTGGAGAACTCACTGGTGCCACTCTTGAATTATTTACGTCGACATCGATGATACTAATTAGCCCCGAAGCCACAGCGAGCACTGCTGTGATCAGATAGACAGCTATTCTGATGCCACGACTCAGGACCATCGGATGACTTGTCTCTTCACAGCCAACAGATGTTCTCTCGGCGTACCAGGATATTCCAGTGAAGGAGAGCAGGGAAATTAGGCCGACTGAGAAGCATCCGTAGACGGTTATACTGCTGTGAGTTTCAAGGGTTAATTCATGGTGAGTGATTTATTGTCATTTAATAAATAATGGATCTATCAATGCAGTTCTGTCAGATTTTTTGGAAATTCTCATTTTTGATGGATATTTGATACCAAAAACTTCACGTACGAGAGAATTTCATAGGAAAAAAAAGAAATCACTGGAAAATTCTATTGAATCGGGATTTCGATTCTATTGAAAAATTTCGCAATTTTTCTGTGTTTTTTGTACTAGAAATGTTTTCTGGAAAATATTTTATAGAAAATTCTTGCGTTCAATTTTTTTATTTAAAAAATTTTTTTTATAAAAAGAGGAGAAAAACAATGGAAAAAACTTGGAAAATTTTGTAGAAAATGTCTTAATGAAAAGATGATATAGAAGAGAAAATTCTACTGATTATTTCTGTAAAATAGTTTCTATAAAAAAAACGCGCCGTAAAACTCCGGAAATCTTCAACAGAATTGCCCTAAAACTAATAGATTGTTAGTAGAAATCCAATAGAATTTTTACCGAATTCGTTAGGTTTGCAATTTCTATCGAATTAATTTATTTATTAAAACGGTTCAGGGTATTTTGACTATTGGTCAGTTTTCAATGAATATCTCAGGATCCAAGGGAGATAGTAAATTTTTTATTATAACGTTTTTTGTAAAGTGAGTTGCGAGCTACAAAAAAGGTTCTTATGAAAATTTCGCTATCTCCCTTAGATTCGAAAATATTCCTCGAAAACTCAGCTAAGAGCTAAGTTGGCGGAAACCGTTTTACCGCTTCCCTTTTTAAAATTTTTTTCTTATAATTTCTCCTAGAGGGATAGCCCTATCCATTAATTACAATTACTGCTGAATTACTAAGTTGTCAATTAGTTAATATTACTTTTAAATTTTAATTATCGAAATAATCATCAATTTAAATAGTCCAATTTTGAATTATTTATTAATCAGTAATTGATTTAGGAAGATTGACGATTATTTGGATAATGGGAAATCCCTTATAAGAAATTTAGTATTATCTACTTAATAGAAGATTTATAGTTCCATATTTTTAAATATATAATTCATCATCAACTGAAAATTTAGATTATCAGTTATTTTACTATTTTTATATTTCGATTAGTATATTTAAACCTTCATCAATATAAGTCCTTGATCAATAATTCTTCCAATATTGAAGAATTGGAAGATTAATGGCCATCCCAGTTCTCATAACAAAATTCAGACGCAAGAATTCTTTCAGAAAAAAAATCCAACAGAATAAATTCGTTCGAAAAATGCACATCAATAAAATTTCGTAGAAAACGTGAGAAACGTGAAAAGTTTTTCGATTGAAGTTCTTCGTACATGCAATCATCTCAGAATTGCAGAATGTAAAAATCCCACGACTGTCTCCCCTTAGTCAAGATGATGATGATTACCTCGGTAGATAGATAACTTGAATAATGAACATTGCGGAGTAGAGAACGGTGGATGCGACGACGTACCAGGGGTATTGCTCATCCCTCTGGTCTCTGTACTGGCTCTCCTGTGTTTTATCTTTGAACCAGTACGTGGTGGACGACATTCCCTCGTTACCCGTGCAACATTGTCTATCAGATGAGGTTTACCGTGTTAAATTGATCCAAGTTTTCAAAGTTAAGTAATTAGATTGGTAACTGTACCTACTTGATGTTTATGCAGTTGGAGTTATTTGCCAAGAGATTGGATTCGATCATTGCGATGCTCTGAAATTCATGGAAGTTTTGGTGAAACGAGTTGTCGTTATATTTAAAAATTGAGACAGAGTATTTTAAAAGAGAAGATTGATAAACTCTATTCATTTTTTTAAACTTCTGTGGGATGAATTTCAATTGAATAATTTCTAACAACATGAATTTTAATTTTTTTTTTCACTTCATTTTGATACTTCTCTCATAAATTACAAAATATTTCAACAGAATAATTTACAGAAAACAATTAATATTCATTCTTTATCGAACAGTTTTGAGTCAAGTATAAAATAGAAGGAAATTAACGCGTATAAAAAATTTCAGATAAAAATCTGGTGAATGCGTTAGAAAATTCCATTGGATTTCCATTGATCTTTCTATTATTTTTTTGCTAATTCTATTGAAAAATTCGACAGCTTATCTGTGCGTTTTTCAAATAGAAGTGTTCATTGGAAAATATTCTATAGAAAATATCCATAGAATTAAATTTTTCTGTACAACTTATCCTTCTGAGATATTTTCTACAGAAACTTCTCAGTTTAATTTTTTTAATTTTTGTTCTTTAATATTCTTTAATCCTGTGGAAAAAACTTGAAAAATTCATGTTGAGGAATTCCTATAGAAAATGTTTCAGTAAAAAAATTGTATAGAAAGATGAAATTCTTGATTTCTGATTCTTTCGATAAAATATTTTCTATTGGATATTTTTTGTGGACAAAAATGCGCAGTGAAGCTGCGGAATTCTTTTATATACGTCTTTTCATTCTTTAAAAAGAATAGAATTCTAAGAGAAATTATCATCAATTTGCTAGGTTTTTCAATGAAATTTTTCCGGGTATCAGCAGTAATAAAAAAGGACTGGAACTTGAATTTTAAATACGAAAGTAACGTACGGTTAAGCCAATATTTTTAGCTAATGTTGACTCGGCAATGTTGGCAAAGGGCTTGTCCGCCCCCCAGCACTCAACATATTTAGTCATTTTACTGCTGGGCCTTGACCTGGATGGCACTGGACCTGGCATTTTACCATTCTCCATTTCAACGTCTCCCTTAGTTTTCTGTGAAACAAAGAGACACAGTTGAAAATTTACTCAGTTAGTGAAGTAGAGAGCTTATTGCACCGTGAAATGTACTCGAGAGAAATATTTCAGTGGGCATTTGCTGGAGGGGGCATGAGCGAGGGTGGAAAATAAAGGGGAAAATCGTGGCAACTTGTTTTGTTGGAGAAAATTCACCTCTGGTGGTATTATGAGATAAGTTTCGATCTTGTGGTCGGCGAGATAAGTCTCACGGGAACCACCGTTTCCTGGCTCTACCTTGAAACGATCACCAAGTTGGTCCAGCGTTGCTGACGTTATGTGAACCCTCCTGTTGGGGATCAATAATAACGGTTGAGCGATTGTTTATAATTGAGTTATGTTAACTTGGGAAACTGTTCGGTTTATTCCAGGAAATGATTTTTATTGTAACTTGTTCGATTCGTTAATTTCATTATTGAGGGAATTAATTGGTGCCAGAGGGCCTCAGGGAGAGTATCACGATGGATATAGGGGAGTGTCGATAGGAATTAGATTTTTCTATTGAACTTATTTTATTCAGATATTTTCTATAGAAAGTCTTTGGTTCAAAATTTATATTTTTTTTTTGGAATTCCACGATTTTTTACAGATATTCGACACTACAAACTAGACGTCCGAGAGAATTTCATAGAAAAAAACTGCGAATTCGATTCTATTGAAAAATTTCTCTATTTTTCTGTGCGTTTTTTTTTACTAAAAATGTTTTGCGGAAAATATTCTATAGAAAAAATCAATAGAATTAGATTTTTCTATGTGGCTTATTTTATTGGAATATTTTCTGTAAAAAATTCTTGCGTTAAAATGTTTTGTGTATAAATTTTTTTTTATGAAAAGATTGATTTTTCATGAAAAGTTTGATTGTTGAATTTTTCTAGATTTTTTGACAAATGTTTGACCACTAGAGAATAATACCAAGTTATCATTACAATTGTGAGAAACTTTGTTATTCTCCACTCCGCTAGAAATATTTCTTAAAATCGAGTGAATAAAAGTGGAGACTAGTGGCGATTCCCCTTAATTAAATTTCTCCTCCCGTCGACGAAAATTCTATAAAAATGCACCCGAGAGGGAAAAATAGAGAGTAGATGTAACAAAATAAAAATGATAGAACAGGGAATAGATAGATCAAAGAGTGTCCAAGTGGTGTAATTAAAACTCACCCAGGTAATCCACCACTCTCCATATGATTGGCAAGAGTGACATCGTCACTCCAAACATCAAACTGCCACTTTCGGAGGCCAAGTACACCGCAGAGAACATTCCCAGTGTGTATTCCGATTCTCATGTCTACGTTGAATCCAGTTGCTTCTCTTACGAATCTTTAAACAGAATTAAAATTCCGTCTTAATGAAATAACACAGGAAAAAAAAATCATAGAAAAACCCAGTGCATTCGCTAGGAAATTCTGTGGAGTTTCTCTATTAGACTTCTGTTGAAAAATTCCGCAGCTGTTCTACGCGCTTATTGAAATAGAAATGTTCAAGAGAATTAATCAATTAATTTCGTTTTTTAAATTTATTTCTCAATAGATTTTATTTTCATATTGTTTTTATTGTTCAATAGAATTATATTGTTTTACACAATTAATATTATTGAGATTATTTCTATAGAAGTATAGAATTTCCTAGGATTAAATTTTTTAATTGTTTCAAAATTTACAAAAACTCATGAAATTTATGCGGAATTTTTATGGAAAAATTCCTCAATTGAATTAGATGAGTAAAAGAAGCGGAATCTATCAATTTTTTGTCTATAAAATATTTTTTATTACATTTCTTCATGTATTTCAGCTCATATTTCATTCTCATTTGTTAATTTCATAAAAAATGTATATGTATTTAATTGAGTTTCATTGCGTAAATGCATTCCGTTTATTCTCATTTAATAGAGAAAAGCGTAAATAAAATTTCAGCTGAGTAGCCTGATGATTTATTTTTTATTTCTCTATGTAAATCCTGGGGATATTGCAGTGGCGATGGGGGTATTCGTCAACTCCTGTTGTCGAGGATACCCCGGAGAGACTCATTAGGAAGTTGCTCAGTACGATATACGGGAGTTGGTATTGTGGCACCTGGTGTCACAAAAATGAAAATTAGGGAGAGGGATTTCCTTGTGAATGTTCCGAGGAAAGGAATTTCCAGAATTTTGATGAAATTGCTGGGTTTTGCGCATAATTTTCTTCTGACGAAGCAACTTTTCTTTCATCTTTTCTCGCATCTGAGGGAAGAGAAAACAATTTCCTTTGGCTGCATCTTTTGTAAGTAAGAACTACGAGAGAAAAAACGAGAATTTTTATAGTCCGAATTATTATTTTTCGCATTTCGCATTTTTTCAAAAATGGCCAATGAAGATAGAATAGAATAGAATTCTGGCAGAACCCAGGAGATCGAAACTCCCCAAGAGTTCTTATATACTAAAAAATGTTATGAAACCCCGAGGAAAAGTTGCATTGAATCGCGATATTCCCTCCCTGAAATCCACCCATCACAATTTCTCCAGAAATGTTCTCCTCCCTGAGAATCTCCTATTCTTATAACACAAGTTTAAAATGGGTCACGCATGTGCACTCTACCTCCTGACAGTTGACTTTAAATTTCACTTATCCCCACCGAGAACTTTGAAAATGGGGAAGAAAATTGGAGCCATTAATACAGAGTACGAACAAAGGAGTCTCATCAAACTTCGGGGTATTGGGTGTATTTTCCATGCATACCTGATAGTGTCTATCATCTGGAGGCCCATATTGACACAGTTGTAGGCATGATTAGGTCGTGATACGGGGAGGCCGGATACGCAGTAGTAGCAATCGCCCAGGATTTTTATCCTCATGCATTGATTGTCCTAGAAACATTTTTAAAAAGTGGACAATTGCGTTTTTCTATAAATTCTTACTGCACTATTCTCTTCTTCTATTTTTTCATGTCATAGTACTATCATCAATTTAAATGTCATCAAAATGTCATCAAAATTTTGCAAAAAAAAACAGAACAAAAAATTCACAAAAAAAACCGGAAGGCATTCAAGCGTTAAATTAAAGCAAGAATAGTGACGCTCTAAGGGACGCAACTGCTGGATAATTCAATAGGCCCCACGGACAATCAACTTAAATTCAACAATATCCCATCAGCGAGTCATGAAAACGCTGTTCAAACACTTTGAAATCTTCATCAAGTATTATCTCAACACTCCATTCTTATCTCACGAAAAACGGAATTGATAAGCTCCACGTGTTTGCTTTTTAATTATCCCCCCTGTCTTATCTTCAGGCAGGAGCATCCATTGACGCAGTTAATGAAGTAGGACCTGGGTGAAAGGGAAGATGTAACCATCGCCTGCCAATTTCTTGTTTACCACAAGGTGCTCTCCCTCTTAGACTCGCTTTCATCTTAGTTCTCAGGCTAATTAATACGAGTGGTGGAGGGTAGTGAGTCAATGGGAAAATGAAAGGTTGTGGCAGAGGGTAAGACACGCAATCAATCTGGGTTGGGGGAACTAAGAGTGCAGGTACGGAAATCTTTTCAATAGTTTAATGCAACACATTTTTTTGAATTATAAAGATTCTTTTGGCGCGGAAAATTATTCAGTTTTAGAAAATTCTAACGTTTAGAGTTTTTTTGCAATTTAAATTTTGCGGAGTTTGCAAATAAAATTAGACTTTTACGTCATCTTATAGGACTCGATTGTTTTCTATTTTCTAAATAGTTCAAGGGAATTCTGAAAGTGTAAAAAATAGAGAAAATTCTCCATTTTTTTTTGAAAATTTTTTTGTGCATCCTGAAAAATTTGAGAATACTTTCGTGTTTTTTGAAGAATTAATTCAATTGCTTTCTCTATTAATTCGACCGATGGGGGCACATGAAGGGGATTTTGCCAAATATAATTTTTTTTAATCTTTCTCAATACAAAAGAGAAAAATCTTTAATGAATTTCACCTGAGTGCTCAAACAAATTAATACGAGTGGTGACAGGTTGTGCCGAGGGTAAAACGCTCAATCAATCTTAGGCTGGAGTAACTAAGGGCGCAAGAACGGAGATTTTTTCCAGATTTGAATACAATGCAGACACATTTTTTTCTAAATTTTAAAGATTATTTTGTTGTGGAAAAATTTTAGTTTTATAAAATTTACATTTTTAGAATTTTTTTTCAATTGTAGGAATTTTGTAGTTTATAAATAACGTGAGATTTTTTTATTTTGTCTAAAAAAAGTCAATTCCTTTTTTCGCTTTTCTAAATAATTCAAGAGAATTCTGCAATTCAAGAAAAAAGAAAATTTTCAAATTTTTTTCAATTTTGAAAAAATTGTCGCCTTCTCTTAAGAATTGATTAAATAGCTTCTCTAATAATTCTTCTGAAAAAAAGTTTTGTGACAGGATTTTTCCAAAACTCCCTAAATACAAATTTAAAAATCCTACTCAACTCGAAAGAGAAAAAATTCTTAATGAATTTCGGGGAAGTAAGGCTGCAAGAACGGAGAATTTTTAAAGGTTTGAATACAACACAGAAGCATTTTTTCAAAATTGCAAAGATTTTTTAGTGTGGAAATTTCTTCAGTTTTCGAAAAACCATATTTTATTTTTTTTTAATTCTAGAAATTACGTGAAGTTTGGAAATGACGTGAATTTTTTTTATTCTCTTTAAAACAGATCAATTTCTCGTTTCGCTTTTCCGAAGAACTCCAGGGAATGCTAAAAAAAAGAGAAAATCTTTCTTTTGTTCTCACTTTAACAAAATTATCGCTCTTTCCAAAAAATTAATTCAGTAGCTTCTCTATTAATTTACTAGCCAGAAAGTCTTACGAAAACATTTTCCCAAAACATAAAATGAAAAAATCCTTCTCAACTTAAAACAGAAAGAATCCTCAATGAATGCACCCAGCCCTCCACCCGCAAAACATTGATATATTCGCCGGTAACTCCGGTATTTCACGTATTTTGGAAGGCTGACTGATGGCCCACAATTATTGCCATTTCCAACCAATGGAATTCAGCCTGTTTAAACCGAAGCTATTCCCCTTAGAATAGCTCCACGTCTGACGGTATTGATTATCGAAGCACTTTGATGTGCATTTCGATTGAGTATTTTCGAGAATTAAACATGCTAATGTCGATGGGATAAAGTACACAAATGAGGTGGATTAATCCCAGGTGTTGCATTTTGTCCATTAACGGTTGCACAATTTCATATTTATTTATGGTTATTACTGGAGGAAATAACGAGGTGTAGTGGGGTGATATATCATGAATTTCTATTGGATTAGCAGGGCTGTGGAAGCTTACGGTATGAATGGTATATTTTCAGGAGGTATTGGATTTATTATTGGAATATTGGGGGGTTGGAAAGTTTGCGGGAAAGAATGCCGTTGGATTTTGCAGTGCTTTCGGCTGTAATTGTCGTGGCAAGCTGTGGGAGTTTAATTTTTTATCGACGGTTGCAGAAAAATCATTTGAAAACAAAAATGCAAGGATGCAATATTAAGGTATATCCGTCGAGAACAGATTTATCTTATGATCTTCCACATGTTTTTCATGACAATATTTATAATATTCCTCAGCTATTGAAAAAAATGTTTACTAGCTTACTACACACTTTAGGAGATAATAAATCATTAACCCTCGATCACTCGCTCAAGCAGCGCGGCGCCGCCAGTTTTCGTTTTTTTAATACTTTAGTGTGTCTCTCGACGCTTAAAAATCCTGAAAAAATTAGAGTTCCTAGTTCAACCCTTTTATTAAGCGTTGGCGTTGTCCGTTTTTTTCTCGGGAAATTTGTTTAGCTTAAAAAAGAAAAGGAACGTTGAACGGATAGAAAAGCGGCCGGTGCGAGTGTGTCCCTGCCGACTCCTCGAGCGACAGTGTTGCTACATTCACTGCCGCACCTGAAATACGCGCATAGCGGCAAGCGCTAAGGTGGCAAGAGCGCGCGCGGTTTAACCCAGCGGCGCAGCGCATAACCGGGCGGCGGATGAAGGCTGACGGACGAGCGCGAGTGATCGGGGGTCAAATGCGGGCGACCAGCAAATTATTATTTAATCTTAACAAAAAATAGAAGGTGTACTTTAGATAAAGATTAATGAAATAATTTAAAAATTGCAATTTTTGAAAATTACCAACATTTTCTATGGATAATTTATGAACAATCAATTTTTCACCGTAAAAATCATTTGTTCGGAATCGTGACAAATTTATTAATATTCAGAGTTTACCAGAAATCGATTTCATGTCTAGAAGGATAAAACTTACGAAAGTTTAAACAGTTTCAAGCATTTATTTTCATAAATGAATTTTTGATTAACCAAATAATAGTCAATCTTCCAAATTGAATTAGTGATTGATAAAATATAATAATTCGGAATTTGAATGTCTAATTGATGATTAATTTCATAATTTAAAAATTGTTGAGAAATATTTGCCAATTCACTAACTCCAAATTTAACTTTATTTTTTGAACTTAATGATTATGCCGATGTCAGCAAAAATGTGGAGATTCTCTTTGGGAATTGGGATTATTCTGAATTGAGCGGTGGAGTGAAGAAATGAAATGAGTCAATTCCCATTCATGATGAGTTTTGAAGTTTTTTTGTATGAAAATGGGCAGAAATGGAGCTCGTGGAGATTTCCATCAAAATGTCAACTTGGAATTGAGTGAACTAATCTCATTTCAAAACAACACTTCGGCATGAAATCGAATTTTTAAATTCATAAACTGAGAATTGAACTGTTTATCTTTCCCGCAGTTTATTTCAAAACAAAAATTATTTTAAAATGTTTAATAAAAATACTGTATACAAAAATTAATAGATTTAATGTTTTCAAAGGATTTATTCTGCTTTAAATTTTCCAAGTTCATTTGCTCCAATTTGTTAATGAGAGTAATTCCTATTGAAAATATTTCAACAGAATAATCCAAATGAAAAAATTGAAAACTATCAATTTATATCTGAGATTTTTAAGACAAATATTCTCCGAACATCTCCGGAAACTTCTCAATTTATGTGAAACACCTCTAGAATAATTTCAAAATAAATATCGTGAGATGAACCTGAGATTTTCCTTCCCCTCGCCATAAAGCCCCCGATAAAAGTCTCTCGTATTCTATCTACAGAGTTCCTCAACGATATAGTTCTTCCCGGATTTTTCTTCACGTGTGCATTCTCATATAAATCAAGGTATCGAGATTCTTTTTCTCCTCAAGATGTTGAAATAGAACGACAATATTTCACTCTTTCTTTCCTCTGGGCTCTATGATCCCCGATCATGAGACTTTTGGTAACAAAACCCTCCGAAGCTCCTCATGCACGTAATACCCATGGGGTGAGTTACAGTGGGGGTATACGAATTCCCGAAATTCTAGTCTCCTACTGTCCCTAAGGTATCTTATATAAAGCCTTGACTGTAGTCAATATATTGTTACTCATAAATTAATAATTTGCTTTCGAATGAAATTTCTATGACCATGTATTTTAAATTGGATTGTATTCATTAAATTGAACATTCTCACAATGTTTCCAAAAACGTAACGAATTCGCTAAAAAATTCTATTGGATTTCATCAATAACAAAAACTTGCGATTAGTGTTCGGCCGATTCTGTTAAAATGTTCAACAGAAAATATTCTGTAGAAAAAATCCACAGAATTCGATTTTTCTATGCAACCGATTCTATTAAGATATTTTCTATAGAATTTCCTCGACTCAAATTTTCCAATTTGTTTCATTTTCTTGATGAAAAGGAAAGAAAAACAGAATTCAAAAAAACTTATAAATTTGTTATAAATTTGGTTACAAATTATTTGTTATATATATTTGTTATAAATTTGTCATAGGACGAGAAAAAAATTACGATCGTTTTCATATCTCTAGCCCGGACTCCACGTGAAATCGGTTTGAAAGGGGTCAATCGATTTGCGTCAGATTTTCGAAAAAAATTTCAGAAAATCACATCAAACTACTGAGTCATGATGTTGTACCAATAGCGAGGATTAAAGAAAGGGTTGCCACAAGCCCCGATAGCCTTCAGTTTTTCCACGAAACCGTTCCGAAGGGAGATAATTAATCATCAAGGGAGATAATTAATCATCTACATCAATCAGATTTCTCCCCCCTATATAGTAATGAAAACCCGGAGAATAAATTCTTCGAATTAAGATAAGAAAGTCCAGATAGCGAAGGGGCTGGGAACTTTCCAACTTTACGAAGCCCTGGATTTTTCAGATGAGGGGGATTTACATGGGTGATATTGTAGATTGAAAGTTAGATGGGATCCCGTGACAGTAATGACATCAGTATTTCGCATGAGACATCAGGATTCTCCGTCGACATTTTATTCGCGATGTTGAATGAGCGCGAGACAGCCCTGACGCTTCGACATGACCGATATAAAATATCTGGAATGAAATTTTCGAAAGGGATATTACACTGAGAAAAAACTTTAATTGTGCCAATCCAATTTATTTCAGACAAGTTGTTGTAGTAAAATTCTGTATGGAAATTACGGGCATTGGTTTATCAGAAATTTGATTCACGGAATTATATTTTTTTCTCAGTTTACGGGCAGCTCTTTATTGATACGCCTGATTGGGACTAATTTCTGATTGAATTAATTATGTTCCTCAGTAACGAATGGAGTTTCGCCACTTATTTTCCCTGTGAAAAATTCACCGGGAAATTTTTCTCCTGAAAATTTTTTTCCCGGGAAATTCTTCCTCTGGAAAATTTGTCCCTTGGAAACTTCAATTGAGAAAGTCAAATTTTTTGCTTTCGAATGGAAACGCATTCCTGGAGCCCCTGTGACATTATCAAAATTACTCTGAATGCAATGCTCCAGAAAAATCAGTAGTCATTTGAAATTCCATTCTGCGGAGACGATGGTTGAATTCTGTTGAGTGTCAGACGATCGAAAATCGATATTTCATTTGAAACTGGCTTCGGCACTTTAGGGGGGGAAAAACGCGTATCCTTTGTATCTTCACTCGATAATTCCATTTTGTCCTCATCTCGAGTGACTCGGTGTGAAACAGCTAAGAGAAACTCGGTTTATGAACACGCACAAAGGAAATCATTGAATGAGAGAAATTAAATTACGGTACATGTTCTTCAGTAGTAGAATCGAAATGATAGTTGTGTTGTAGAATTATGGAGCTAATGTTATTCTATTGAGATTCTATTTTCCCGAATTCTATGGAATATTCATTTTTACTGAAGGGATATTGATAATTATTTGAAACATTGGGACAATGTTCAATTTAATTAATACAATCCTATTTAAAATACATGGTCATAGAAATTCCATTCGAAAGCAAATTGCTAATTTATGAGTAATAATATATTGACTACAGTCAAGGCTTTATATAAGATACCTTAGGGACAGTAGGAGACTAGAATTTCGGGAATCCGTATACCCCCACTACGCGCGGTTATAGAGAGGAGAAAAATAGGGATCAGCGGTTTGAAATAAGATACCTCGCTCGTTGCGCCCGAATTCTATGGAATATTCATTTTTACTGAATGGATATTGATAACTAATTAATTTATACGAGTTTAATGTTTTGAATTCGTATAGCCCGCATTCCCTTTTCTCTCTAAACATAATCCTGCGTGATAGAATGGCAGCTGATGTTGGGGGATCGTTGGGGGACTTGAGAATAATCACTTCTGGACAGCTGAAGTACAAATTATTGAAAGTACGTAAATTAATTGAATTTTAATTAAGCTTTATTCTATTAAGATAATTCTGCGTCATCATTTTAATAATTATAGCGTCGAAGAAAAGAGGTGACCCTTGGGATCGTTTAACCCTTCTGATTACTTCACTTGACTCTCACGTTTGAACTCTTGACCCTTAAGGTCATTTGACCCTTATGATCACTTCGTTCGTCCCTCCCGTTTGACCCTTAACTCCGTTTGATCCTTATAATCACTCTTTTCCCGTTGAAAAATAATCAAGGCCGTAGGTATCTTATAAGAAGCCCACGGAACTCAACATTCGGGAGGCGATAAAAGTGCCGGGAGTGGGGGTAGGCCTCGAGCGCTCGGAGCTCGAGATATCTTATAGAGAGGTATCTTATATAAAGCCTCGACTGTATTATACAGTTCCAGTAGAAATTCTACACAATTTATCCGAGAAAACTTAAAGTTTCTCTACTGAATGTCCCCACGCCCTTCGCCTCGCAACTTCACTAAAAAATCCTTTCAATTTCTAAAAATTCATTTCTCACCTGTGCAATTTGATCAAACCTCCCAAAGAGTTGATTCAGAGTTTTAACGAGATCCGACGCCGACAATTGCTCCGAGAGCGGAGTAAAGTTGACGATGTCTGCGTAGAGAATACTGCAAGTACAAAAAAAAACATTATTTTCTTTGAAACACACGATCCTTTGTGCCAAGTCTCTCAGGCTCATTCATTCCTCTCCCTCGAAACTTCTAATTTCCCAAGAAACCCCGGCACTTCTATCACCATCTGACACAACTCACGCACACTGGCTTCGTATTGCGTGGCCCCGTAGGCGCCCTATCAGGCGTACGAATTAATTTGCGTAATGGTTAGTAATACCTGATATGCTCTCACCTGACGTTATTGTGTCGTTGAACGTACATCTCGTGGAAGCGCGTCTGTTTGTGCTTGCTCGCCTCCTGACAGGCATCAGCCATTTTCAGCATGATACTGCGCTTCACCTGTTCATCATTTCCATGCAAATTTCGTTAATCAAGTGGGTGAGATTACTCACGATCGTCAGTTAGTTCGGGTGCGAGGGCATTAGAGAAAAACATCATCTCATTTTCGGAAACGGTAAAAGATGATGAAGAAAAGTTCTTTATGGCTCGGAGGCGTTCGAGGACGGTCGTAAAAGTTATCACTTGGGGATGGTGGAAGATCCAGGTCGGGGTTTATTTGATTCTTGAAGATCGAGGGACCTTGGTTTAAGGTTTTCACGTATGGAAAAATTTAACGGGGAAATCTACTGCTTTGGGTGAGAGATTCGTTCCAAATTCTAGTAGAATTCTGTTACACTGAGAGAAAGCAAGTGGGAAATTGCATTTGGGTTGATGCGCAACAAAAACTATATGTTCTATGTGAGAATATTTCAGTTAGTGATGCCGCGAGACATTTCACGAGACATTTTCACGAGACAAGTGATAAAACGGTACAAGTCAATTTTGACTATTGATCAGAAATCTAAGGGAGATAGCAACATTTTTGTTATAACCTTTTTTGTAGAGCTGTTTGAGAGCTACGACAAATGTAGTTACGAAAATTTCGCTATCTCCCTTAGATTCCGAAATATTCCGCAAAAACTCAACTGGGAGATGAGTCGACTTAAACTGTTTTACTATTTTGCTACTGTTTCGATGGAGTGGGAGAGGTTTCCTTGACGGAAATTAACCAATTTGATAGGAGGAAATTTAATATTCTTCACCAAAATGTTTTCATCAAACTCTGTTTTTGGTAAAATCGGTAGTTGTTCGGATAAATGGGAAATGAATATTCAATTTTATTCGAATTGCTTGATTGTTGCACTTTGCGAAAGAATCAAGCAAAAATTTATATTTCCTACACACATTGTTAGAAAAAAACTGGAATTTCAGGTTTCACGGAAAATTAGGTAAAATTCCAGAATTTTTAGCAACATAAAGACGAGAATTCCTCAATTTATTTGAATTTCCATTCTAATATGAATATTTAGTGCCCAATTTCATGATTTTTCTCCCTAAATCGCATTCAGTGCCACTGACCTGAAAATTCAAAAATATATAATTCCGCTGATCGGAATTTTTTGGTTTTCAATTCATTTTCAGGGAAAAATGGAACTGGAATTTACAGTTCTCTTTGTTTTTTCCACGAAATTCTGAATTTTCAATGAGAAAATACCTTTAAATTTCAGTGGTAATTAAATTCGACAGACATTTCCCAAAAGTGAACCGGAAATTTCAGACAAAAATTTCTAACAATGCAAATTCACATTTAGTTTTCCATTAAAGAAAAATGTTGGCTGTGATTACTATCGTTTTTCTAAATAGTTTCCGACAAGCACTCCTTGACGAATCTATTTTCAACCCGGATGAAGGCAGAGCTTTACTCGCAGTTGTCAAGCTCAATCATTTCTTTTTCACATCTCGCTGCTGGTGTATGTGGAGATTACATTGTGTGGGAGGACGAGATGAGGGAAACTGATACGGGATTTCATCGTGACTAAGTGCCCGACAATCTCGGCTGTGGGGAGTGGTAATTAGAGATCTGGAAGGTAGTTTTTCACTTCTGCGGGGGATTGAGTTTCTTTTGTAGCTCAATGTTTTTTGTGGTGACGGGGGAGAGATCTGATGATAAAGAGCGTGGTCTTCGCGTATTGTGATCTGAACGTATGGATGAGGGGAGATAGAAGAGAAATTCTTGGGGATAAAATGGATCCCTAAAGGATTATATGCCCATATTCAATCTTCTTTGATTTTTTTTACCAAAAAAAAGACGATAGATTTTGAATTTTCCGTGTGACTTATTCTCTAGAGAAATTCTTTGACATGATCTTTAGAAGAATTTTCCTAAATTTCGTTTTATTTCGATTTACAAATTGAAAAAAAATTAATTCATGTCGATTCCTTTTTTTCGCGATACAGTCGAGGCTTCATATAAGATACCTCGAGTTCCGAGCGCTTGAGGCCTACCCCCACTCTCGGCAATTTTATCGCCTCCCGAATGTTTAGTTCCGTGGGGCTCTCATAAGATACCTATGGCCTCGATCATGTTTGAACGGGAAAAGAGTGATTATAAGGATCAAACGGCGTTAAGGGTCAAACGGGAGGGACGAACGAAGCGTTCATAAGGGTCAGATGACCTTAAGGGTGAAGAGCTCAAATGTGAGAGTCAAGTGAAGTAATCAGAAGGGTTAAACGATCCCAAGGGTCACCTCTTCTCTTCGACGCTATAATTATTAAAATGATGACGCAGAATTATGATTAGTTATCAATATCCCTTCAATAAAAATGAATATTCCATAGAATTCGGGCGCGACGAGCGAGGTATCTTATTTCAAACCGCTGATCCCTATTTTTCTGCTCTCTACAAGCGCGCGTAGTGGGGGTATGCGGATTCCTGGAGTTCCACTCTCCTACTGTCCCTAAGGACCCTAAGGTATGTTATATAAAGCCTTGACTGTATATTTATGAGAAAATCGTACGACAAAATTTTATAATTCTCAAATTGCATTACAGTTCTAAGAATTTATCTTAGAGTTGTAATAAATCGTCAGTAGAATTACAAAAAATCCGACTAGAAGTGCACACGCCTGAAATCATTTATGAGAACCGAGAACATGAATTTGTCTCGGGAAATTGATATCGCATGAATTAATCGCAATAGTACTCAAGTAAACCCCAGAAATGACAGCAGCAGTCAAATAAATAATTTATCCAATTCCCGAGTTTATGAGATTGCTTTCATAAATCACCTCTGCTGCTATGTAGGCTGGGATGACGCTGAGCAACAGTTGTTCCTGCTGCTCTCTCTCGCACTCTAGTTTCACACGTGATTTAATAACAGTTTTTGTACCCGAAAATGTCTGTCGGTGTGCTCTGCTTGTTAAATTTCTGTAGTGTATTCCAGCGATGATGGCCGACAGCATGAGCACTGCATCGCCCGTCACCTGCGTCAATTTTCATAAAAGTTTACTGTTTTTCACAACTCGTTGAATATTACATATGTTGAATTTTTATGTCTCGATTTTTGTAGGCAAATGGAAAAGGGAGACAATTTTTTGTGCAAATCCATGAATACTGCCAATTAAATTGATGCAGCTGAATAATTCTGCGACACTGCATCCAGTTTATTTGGACTAACAAACTACTTCAATGTATTTTATTTTTTTATCTACAACTGCAACTCAGAGTATATTCCTTGGAATCAAGCGAATCTGTTTAAAAAAGTTGTTAGGTGGAGAGAAAATTGAAGTAAAAAAATTATTAATCAACGAGTTAATATAATGAATAAATAATAAGTGGGCAATTACTTTTGCCTTCATACCGCAAAGCTAATTGTGCTAATGAATCAAAAATATACTTTCGAGTGGGCATTTTGCACTCGGAATTTCTTGTATAGAACAAATTAAAGAATGATGCTATCGACATTGTCCTGAAAATTGGCTAAAAAGGTATTAAAGGTATTAAAAATCACTGGATAGTTCACTTTCCAGGAAATTTTTGCAAAATTCGAAATTCTTTCCTTTTATTTCGTATTATTTTGATTACTGCCATGCAATCTATCTTGAATCTCATTTTATTCAGTACCGTTTCCCCATAATTTTCCATTTAGAGCGCCATTGTATTCTTCATTTCCTTTGTGTTATTTTTTTTGTATATGATGGACCCACCTTTCATAGGGATCTCACCCCTCGAAGACACTTGAATAAATAATAATGAAAAGAAAATCTTAAAAATAAAATAATAATAGACAAAATTCAATTTTTTATTTATTCAATTTGATGAATTTCATCAATTTTTCATAATCCCTTCAAATAATAAAAATAAGTGCGAAATATTCTTCACCAACTAAAAACCAATCACGAAAAAATGTCATGCGAAATCCCGATCGTGGAGATGCGGTCCCGATTTCGTTTTTAAGCGTTATTTATTCTCTTTTTAAATTATTTATAGTTATTTGATGGAATGAGGGATGTGGGTTACCTGGTGGAAGCTCGCATCTTCGTCCATTATGTACATAACAATTCCCCGTGCAATGTGGACAGCAGCAATAACGAGGCCAACCACCGTTGGTCGATGCTTCCTGATTCGGGGTAGTGTTGCGATTGTTGTCAGTATGCAGGCAAATATTGGTAATGGCCCGGCTAGCGCCAAAACCGCGGCCCCCAGGATTAGTGATGAAGTCAGACCAACGGATATTCTTGCTCGGTTGGAGGTCAGAGTCGATGGAAATTGGGCGATTGTTAGGAGGGTCAGGGATGATACCACCGTCAGGGCGAGGATCGATGCCTCAACAACGACATCTTTCAGGTCCTGTTGAATATAGATAGAAAAATTGAAATTGTAACATGAGATGGGGTTTTCCCTTCATGTCAATGCAATTTTCTGGATCTCGGGGCAAATAATACGGTCGACTCTCTTCAGTCTCGACGATCGGGGTTGGAGGTTCGAAGAACTGAGAGCTAGAGATTGCCCCTTCCCTACGCGCGAGGGGACTGTTTCGCAAGAGAGACACCGGCTATTCAAGCGAGAACGCTACAGCCATCGCCATGCGGCAGAGAACACTTCCCCTCGGGAATTAATCGAATGGTTTTTGGAGCCTTTTCACTCAATCAAGAAATAGTAATAGCAACCATATTGATTATGATATCAACTAATAAATAGGAATAATACCAACGGCCGTGGCTGTGTGCTTAGAATGTAGGATTGGCACGCAGGGTCCTGGGTTCGCTTCCCGGCTGCGTCGGGAAGTTTAGAAATTGAAGTTTAGAAATTGAAAAATTGAGGAAAATTTTTTCATGAATAATTTTTAGATGTAAATTTTTTTGAAGACAAATAAATAATATATTTTATATTTTCAAGACGAGGAATTATTATTAAAAAATCAGATAACATATATTTTCACATTTTATTCCATTGAATGTCAAGAATAAATTTTCCTGTTGATCTGAAAAAAATGTTCAAGGCAAAATATCAAAAAATCATTCGCATAAAATGTTGGCATAAAGTCATTCTGACATTTCCCTCGTGTCCATCATAAATTATCAACAAAATCAATGAAATATGAAGATCATGAATGCGATTATTGTTCCTTCATGTGCATTGTTAATACCCCTTTGATCTCCCCGCACAAAAGCGAAGTTATTTCCTGCCCCAGCCGATCTGAACTCACGTGACTCGTTATATTGTACTCTTGATATGAAGTGACTTTTAGTGACCGCGAACAGAACACCACGAGCAACCTTATACCGACCGTGTGGACACGTGAGCGACGGTATGAGAGATACAGCTAGCTGGATGCATTCAAAAGCCCGGGAGCGTAAATCGCGATCAGATGAGGATGAAGGACAATGGGGAACCAGAACTCTCCCGGAGAATAGCAAAACCTTTCCTTTTTATCGGTTTATACGGGGTTTCATGTGGCACTCAAGTGGTACATTCAGTTTTATTTTTTTTTCTGCTCTTAAGGTGTTTCGTCTTTATTTCTCCAGGGAGGGAAAATGGGAGGGAAGTCACATTCTAACTTATGAAATCTAACTTATAAAATCTAGAAAAATTCAGGAACTTATGTAGACGTACTTCTAAGCAATTTAAGCGATTTGAATTATCAACCACTAATTTTTGTCAATCTCTATATTATAAAAATCCAAATCGATTTCTAGTGATAAAAATTTGGAATTCGAAATTAAGGGTCAAAATAAGGGTCACGAGGGTCATGAGGGTCGAAATAAGGGTTGTGAGGGATAGAATAAGGGTCACGAGGATCATGAGGGTCAGAATAAGGGTCACGAGGGTCAAAATGAGGGTTACGAGGAGTACAATGAGGGTCAGAATGAGGGTCACAAGGGTCAGAATAAGGATCGTGAGGGTCATATGGGGGTTGGCGAGCGGAGCGAGCAGGAGGCGCAACCCCCTAGCAGTTCAATATTTTTCGGAAGATATCAAATTTTCTCTGATGGAGAATGAGATAACCTCGAGTTACAAAAATATTCAAATTTCAAATTTTTTTTTCTTGACATCAAGATCTGGAAAAAATTCCAAAAAATTCCAAATAATGTGGCAAACTCAGATATTTCTCCCCTGAATTTTACCCTTTTTTTCATTATTTTGACTTTCCACACGAAAGACCTTAACGCTCGTGTCGTCGGATGTTTCACCGGGAGGGACATCGTCAGGACTTCGAGTAGATCAAATAGGGAATAACTTGTCAATTGCTTCGGGCTGATGGCTGCCCTCCGGTGGGCTCCACGAAATCGAACGATAATGGGTTCAACAGCGTCGCATTAGGGAGTGAACGTTCAGGGAAGTGAAATATTTCCGGGGGGGTTGATTGAGGGCTGGGGGAATTAAGGGGTGGATTTTATTCAACGGGTTTTTGGTGACATGCCACTAATTTTTGAGTCGTAAGCATTCTCACGAGGAATTTAATCTAGGGGTTTTAACAGAGGACATAACTCTGACGCCTTTTCTCATGAAAACCTTTTTTTGCGGATGAATTTCTTGTCTGACATTATCATTTGTTGTTATTCTCATTAGATACTATAACATTATGAAGCATTAAAGAAAGGGTTTATTGAATAAATTGGAGAGAAAGAAATAATAAAAAGATACTAAAAGAAATGACACGTCAGCAGATTTAGAACAAAGATAGAAAAATGTCGAGAGAAATAGAGACGATCGTACATAAAAATGATTGAGAGGGAGGAACAGAACTAACATGTAACAATACTATGAATTGTGGAGAGCCCGAGGACGTTTAAACGATAACCGAACCGTAATAAATTGAGAGTGGAATAGCGTTGTTTACTCATTCCATGCCAAATAATCCATACCTAATTGATTAATTAACGTAGAAATGAAACACATCATTGAACAGTAAATATTATTGAATTCTCTGATTAATCGGAGAGAATTTCAGAAATTTATCCTGATTATCCTATTCTCAATTGTTTGCTGTTCACATTTGTTATAAAAAAATCATGTTTCAATATTCAGTGGAAAATAATTGAAACTCGTGCCGTTTTCAAAACTCCATCGCTCCGCAATTTCCATATTTCTCTCATTTCTCCGTAAATATGTGGATTCCACTTCATCCCCTTGAATTATTCCCCCCCAAAAAAGCTCCCTCGTTAATCTTCCTCCTTCCCATTCCTTTGAGGTTTGTCACATCTTCATAAGTTTGAAGATGACAAGGTACATTTTTTCCCCCAGCTTTGAAAAAGGGCGCTTGACATTTTTCTATAAAATTACTCTTTCATGAGATAAACTCGCATTCATCAAATATTGTGAGTTCAAATAAATTATCAATTGAATTGACAAGTTTTCGAAGATATTCAATCGCAATTCAATCTGAATGCGATGATACATTGAGAGGAAGTGACGTATTTTGCAATGATTATTGCGAAATTTTGGGAAATCATCCTGATCATGCCAACCAAAAAGATTTTATTAAATGTGCCATTATCCTCATGATAAATCAATAGCGAAGTAGTAAAAGGAGATACGTCAATTTTGACTATTGACCAGTTTTCAATCAATATCTCGGAATCTAAGGCAGATAACGAAATTTTCGTAATTACGTTTGTTGTAGCACTCAATCGGTTCCACAAAAAAGGTTATAACAAAAATTTCGCTATCTCCCTTAGATTCCGAGATATTCATTGAAAACTGGTCAATAATCAAAATTGACTTATCTCCTTTTACCACTTCGCTACTGAAATAATCTGGCTAAATCTCATGACCCTCATACTCCATCTAAATAGCAGTGACACTGTTAAACTACTCAAATTATGACCAAAAAAATATGACGTCACTTCCCTGATATATTATTATTATTATTTATTTACTGCATAAGAGTACAAAGACCCCATCGCAGGGATGTTAAAGTATACAAGAATAGATTTACAATCGAATTTCACTCATGGTTTCCGTTGTTTGGACAAATGATTTAATTTATCAGTTAGTATGGAGACATCATTACAAGTCAGTTACTTCATATTGCCTCTCAGGTAAGAATATCAAAAGAGTTGGACTGATTTGTTTTATTAAGGCTGACCTCGCTTAGACGTCTGAGAACTAGGCAATCCAATATAAATCTATATATACCCTTAATTTCCTTGTAATTCGCAGAGAACAATATTTCACTTAATGAGCGGCGGATAAAATTTTGAAAAGTCTAAGTAATTCTCTTTCAATTACAGTTAATTACAGTTAATGTGCAATTTAGACGGAAATGTTCAATTGTGTCTACTTCATTTAAGTACATCCCTGTCATATGACGATTATAAATTTGTTATGTGACGAAAAAAAATGACGGTCACATTCACATCCCTAATTTCCATTACCATCCTTTCGATTTTCACCTCCATAATTTTCATATTCCATTCATTTCTAAAAAAAGATGTGGACTTCACTTCATCCCCTTGAAGCCCCTGAATTGTCCCCCGAAAAAAATCCCCCATTAATCTTCCCCATCCCCATGACTAGACTTACATTAAAGTGAAGTACGCAGAGTGCAACAAGAGCAGTGAGCGAGGCAGCTCCGGCAACAGTGAGGGTACCGGTGTATAGTGATGCCGTTACTTTTCCCTCGTACCTGTCCCGCAGCTTCTGTAGCTCCTTGACGCTGCCATCATCGGCGGCGTTGTCACCGGGGCTCTCTGTTGGAAGGCAAAAAGAGAAAAAATAACATGGGTAGACACAATTCCGTGGAAGCTTAGCGCTCAACTTGTGGAATAACTTTTAACGTATTATGGAAGTCTACGTTGAAAGCATTGTAAGTCTCTGAATTTCCGTTGAACGGTTTCACAAGTAAAGGCTTTCCTCAACAATTTTATTCTCATTTTTTCCCAGAGACTCGAGGACTTTTTATCTCCTTCGATTTTTACAATTCGTCATGTTGGCTCTGCGTGTCTCAAGCGATACAAATCATTACATCGATCATTACGAGACAAGAGTTTTAATTTTATGAATATTTTAAACAATATATGAATTGTGTTCTTAAAAAATTCTAGGTATTTCATCAAATCTGTAGAGTTTTGTTAATGCGGGCAAACGTAGAAGCCATTTATCTTCATATTGAATAATTCAACCCAACCGTTCTGCCCTAATTCAATAATAAAGATGAGAGGAAAATTTTAATATCCAACGAATTCCTCAATTTTCTCTCACAATCTCTCCGCCGCGTGCTAATTCCGTTAGTTATCATTCCCAGTGTACTTTGAATAGCATGCGAGAATCCTCAGGTACAATTACCTCGTAAAAGCTTTCATTTCGAGTAAAGGTTTTTTAATTATTTTTTAATGTGCAGTTCTCCGTGTCGTTAGTGATTTCTCACGTACGAAAAATTTTATTCAAAAAACGAGCGAATTCGCTGGAAAATTCTGGTGGATTTCTATTGAACTTTCTATTAGTTTTTTATCGATTTTATTTAAAATTTCCGCAGCTTATCTGTGCATTTTTTAAATTGCTCTTAATGTTTTTTAAAATTGTTTTTAATGTTGTTTTTTAATTTTTTATGTTTTAATAAAAAGAGAGTGTACAAAATAGAAAATTCATATCAAGGAATTCTTATAGAAAATGTCCCAATAGAAAAAGTTGCCTAGAAAGATGAAATTCTATTGATTTTTTCTACAAAATACTTTCTATTAGATATTTTGTATAGAAAATGGCGCAAAATCTGCGGAATTTTATAGAATCGGCCAAAAATAAAATTTTCAATAAAAGTTCAACAGAAATCCAATAGAATGTCATGCGTAATGAATTAAAAATCAAGAGATAATCCTCTAAAAAATCATCCGACACGTACGAAAAATTTCATAAAACGCCTAGGGAATTCGCTATCAAATTCTATTGGATTTCTATTGAACTTTCCATTATTTGCCGATTGATTTTATTGAAAAATTTCGCAGCTTATCTGCGCGTTTTTTTTTCAATAGAAAACATCTATAGAAAAGAATCGATAGGATTAAGGTTATCTATGCAACTTATTCTATTAGGATATTTTCTATAGAAAATCCTCCGCTTCAATTTTATAAGTTTTATTGTTTAATTTTTTAACTGAAGAGAGAAGAAAAATAGAGTAGAAAAAGATCAGAAAATTCTTGTCAAGGAATTTCTACAGATAAATTTGTATAGAAAAATGGAATTCTACGGAATTTTTCAGGGAAATAATTTCTATTGGACATTTTCCATTACAAAAATACGGAATTCTTCAATAAGATCAACCAATAATGAATAGAATTTTCAATAGAATTTTATTAGAAATGCAATAGAATATGCTATCGAATTTGTTAGGTTTTTCACTGAAACATTTCGTACGTGACATTAAAATCGTAAGCTGCGATGCTCTCTGATTAATCAAACTGAATGACAAATAAGGGCTGAACCTGAATGCCAACACGTGCAGTAGAAAAACTCGATAAGCAGTCAGACATGCAGACCTCAGAGGCGACTGACAGTTTGTTCGGAGGTATCAATTGCAGATTCATCGGGATTAATCGAATTTTCATGGTCTTCTGGCTCCTCGAGTTAATCAAAGGTGCATTCGGTGAACTTTGGCGTTGTAGGGCTCCGGAATATTCACTGGGAACTCACGAGGGGACTAGGGTATAAGTGGATAATACAAAGTTAACGATGAGTTTCAAGGGAGATCACAAAGTTGATGTTTTGATGTAACGGAGATATGAGTTCGGGCGATGTTTCACTATTTACTTGGGGCGAACTTTGACTGAAGTATAAAGTCGAGTTTTTGTGAGAGAAGGCCATCAAAATGCAAAGTAATATCTATCGACTTTCTTATGTTTTCATTTGTTAAGAAATTGTAGGATAAACGCAACAGGAAAAAATAGAAGAAAAGAATAGTGAAATAGGTATTAAAGAAAGAGAACCCATTCGGAAGCCAATTAAAGAACATTAATTAATTAATTCAGTAGCGAAGTGGTAGAACGGTTTAAGTCAGTTTTGACTATTGACCAGTTTTCAATAAATATCTCGGAATCAAAGGGAAATAGCAAAATTTTTGTTATAACCTTTTTTGTAGAGCCGATTGAGAGCTACAATAAATGTCGTTACGAAAATTTCGCTATTTTCGTTAAATTCGGAAATATTCCTCAAAAACTCAATTGGGAGATAAGTCGACTTAAACCGGTTTACCACTTCGCTACTGAATTAATCAAATCACGAAGTTCTCTTCGCGTTAAATGGCGATGTTAACATCATTGTGGGCAGTCGTAATTGAGTTGAAACTAAAGTTGAATTGAATTAATTAATGATTATTTTGATTAATTAATTTTTTTACATTAAAGAAAAGAATTCATGTATTGCTAATTTATTATCAACAATTTAATTGAATTCAATAATACCATTTCATTCCACGTGGAAATAATCGTCGAAATCGTTTCCAGAAATATCAGCAATTAACTTCAGACAAGGTTTGTCCTAGAACAAGTAGCAGAGGTTGCTGCATTCGCATTAGATGCGTTATCTAAATTTTGGCAATGTTCCAGAAGCAACAGCTGTCACCTGTTATTCGCGAGACGAAGGAAAATTCACGTCCCCAATTGTACCGTAGGAACTGGGATTCTCTCGAAAGAATTTCTTTGAGGAATTTTCACCAGTGAAACGGGTGTAGACATTTTTTTTTTAAATCGAAAAATTGGAATTGATAAAAAACTCATTCATACATATTCATTCTGTCGATATATTTTGTGTGTGGAAACCAAAATTCAAGTCAATCCATCAAAAATCCGGGTACACTGAGAGAAAAAATTAGCTCGGTTGAACAGATTTACTTGAGAGAAATTAAGCAACTTGATAGAAGGGAATTTAATATCCTAAAATTAAATTTTTGTCGTGATCATCAGAAATATCCCTAGAAGAATTCCAACTGTTGGCAGGAAAAAATATAATCTGTTGTACGACAATCATTTGATCTGAGAGAACTCCGTAGGATTATACCATAGAAAGAATACATTGACGAGGAAAGAATATTTTTTTTCCAAAAAAAATTGTCCCCTCGAAATTATTTAGTTCTCCCAATAACACAGTTTTCGGCAAGAAAATTGTAGTTTCCTCTTCAAATTATCATTTGTTCCATGGAAATTATGACTGTTTCATTTGATGTGGGGGAATGTCATGTGATTGTAATGCAGGAAGAATATATTGACGTCAAAGAATTTCTACAGAAAATATCTCAATAGAATAAGTTGTATGGAAAAAAAAATTTCTATCGATTTTTGGGCAGAATATTTTCACATTGAACATTATTATTAAAAAAAAGCCCAGATAAGCTGCAGAATTTTTCAACAGAATTGAAAAAGGACAAAACAATTACGAACACAAAATTCAATAGAAATCACTGGAATTTTCTAACGAAATCGCCAGGTTTTTCTCTGTCATTTTTCGTACGTGACGCGATGGTTATAACCCAATGAATACATGTAATTAAATTCAAAGGACACTAAGGCCGGCGAGAGGAGAATGCGATCGACTCGATTATTTCAGCGTCACGGTGAATTAGGTGAAATCAAGCGGATATTGTCGATCTCATAAGCCAAATTGGATGCCTTCGATACTTGCGGATGAAACTCATCAAAGTGAATGTACACGAGTGTGCGGCTATTTGCCGTAGGGGGGAACAGAATTTTCCATGATAATGGATTTACGTGACAATTCAACGTGCACCATAATTGGAGGGTTTGCGCGATATAATACGGCTATCGCCGCACCAATGGAATATTTGGGTATAGTCAAATTGCGCCAAACGGGGTGAGGGGGTGAATTCAGACGGATGAAAGGTGAAAAGACGAGTGGAATGCGAAAGAAGAAGTGGGTGGAGATGACGGGGATTCTGTCACGCAGAGATTTTATAAATAGGTATGCCACGCCGAGAATAAAATCGTCGCCGGAGACCGACTTGAGAATGGGGGGAAATGATAATATTGGGGATTTGGCGGTACGATTTTCAGCGGAAAAATCAGGGTTAATGATTATTTGCTTGGGAAGTTATATATCAGGGGTTTATTATGCGATTTAATTTTATTACGCAGGTATTTTTATTTTTGAATTCAGTTTTTAATAATATTTTGTTGAATTGGGATTGCATTTATTATTATTGCTATTGTTATTATTTATTTTTCACTCGTTAATGAGAACGCTGAGCGTTCCTCGAGGGTTCCGACTTCATCTCGAAAAGGATATTGGTATTATTATTATTTATATGTCTGTGTCATAGGGAAGGACTCCCGGTGACAGAAGAGATTCCATTCATTCAATATAATAGACTAGGGGGCAACGGCCCCTGCTCGCTCTGCTCGCTAACCCCCCTATGACACCCATGACCCTTATTCTGACCCTTGTAACCCTTATTCTGACCCTCGTGGCCCTTATTTTGACCCTCATGATCCTTGTCGCCGTTATTTGACCCTCATGACCCTTATTCTGACTCTCATAACCCTTGAGGCATTATTATTATTTATGCTTGTGTCATAGGGAAGGACTCCCTGAGACAGGAGAGATTCCATTCATTTGATATAATATAATGGGGCTCGTTGCGCTCGCCAACCCCCATATGACACCCATGACCCTTATTCTGACCCTTGTAACCCTTGATCTGACCATCGTGAACCTCATTATACCCTTTGTGACCCATATTCTAACCCTCGTGCCCCTTTTTTTGACCCTCATGATCCTTGTGGTCCTTATTTCGACCCTGACGACCCTTATTTTGACCCTCGTACCCCTAATTCTGACCCTCCCCTTGATCTGACTCTCTTGACCCTCATTATACCCCTTGTGACCCTTACTTTGACCCTCATGATCCTTGTGGCCCTTATTTTTCCCCTTATGACCCTTATTCTGACCCTTATGACGCTTAATTTCAGAGTCTTCATTTCAAGTTTTTTTTCTGATAGTTTAATTTAACGCCATTTCCTTAAAAAAATGATATTAATCTCAATGACAGGTTGAAAAATAAATAACGCTCTCGGAGTACCGCCACGTGGTACCCCTCAAGGTCTCATTCGATAATTTTCGCCCAGTTTATTTGGAAATTCTATGGCTCACGTAAGTGTAGAGGATGTGGAGAACGGTAATATCCACGATTGTGGAACAGACACGGGGAATGTAACTTCCGGGGGAGGGCGTTTACGGAAACGAGAAGCTATCACAGACGATGTGGGCAAAAAAAGTGATTCCAAGCTGAGAGCGAACGGTGTGAGAGAGTGGTCTTGTAATGTTTTCATTTTCTCGTTGATGAGAAAAAGTTTGGTTTCAGAATTTTTAGTGCTTCGTTTTATTAGGTGGCGCGGGAAAATTGTTAGGGTGATGAAAAGAGGATTCGATATTTGCTGTATAACATACATTATGATCAGGGATATCTAATGGGTCAACGAATTTCATAGAAAAGCTGAGCGCTTTCTCCAGATAATTCTATTGAAAATTCTTTTCATTTTCGTTTTTTCGTAATTTCTTAGTAATGATTAATTTGGATGAAATGAATGGATTTATTAACAAATATTGTCACAATTTTTTTATTCACGTCTGTAGAAGGTTCTTTCAATATAAATAAGCGAGAAACTCGACGACATAATTACAACAGAATTCGTCGCAAGGACTGCCTTGGAAATCCATTCAAACCATATTCTCACAACTCGTCACACGACTTCATTTCGGTAAAACTAAAACTCCGATGCGTTTCTCTCCTCTCAAACAGCTGCATTACCGATAATTGCTCCGGTCTATTCTGCGATCATTCCAGATGTTACGAGCAAAGGTCACAACTCAATTGTTTCTAACTGTAGTTCAAGTTCGTTTGACTGTGCTACACGAGAGCTCCTGGCAATTCCCATATTTCTGTTCACATTTCGGTTTCAAATGCGAAATTATCACGAACGTGGAAATAGAAACAGTTGGGGATAGGGGCATTCCCAGAAAACGGGCATGATTATTTTCATGTGTTTATGAGGCTCGAGGTGAAGGGATTGTTCAGGGCTTTTGCGGACATAAATTTACGCGCGATGCTTTGTTTATCATTGTCAATCATGCCATGTCTATTCTAGCTAAAAATGGAAATGGAAGATGTGTTGAGGCAAAATGACAGGATTTGATTTCAACTCTTAATAATTTTCATCACGCACGATAAAAGTTAATAGAAAAACCTATCGAATTCGTTAGAAAATTCTATTAAATTTATATTAAACTTTCTATTAGTTTTTGGCTGATTCTATTGACATGTTCAATAGAAAACATTCAATAGAAAAAGTCAACAGAATTCGATGTTTCTATATAACTTATTCTTTTCATATATTTTCTATAGAATTTGCTCGACTCAAATTTTCTTAAGTTTTTTTCATTCTATTTTTCTTTTCTTCTCATCAAGAAAATCAAACGAAAAAACTTGGAAAATTTAAGCCGAGGAAATTCGATAGAAAATATCTCAATAGAATAAGTTATACAGAAAAATTGAATTCTATTGACTTTTTCCACTGAATATTTTCTATTGAACATTTTAATAGAATCGTCCGAAAACTAATAGAACAGTTCAACAGAAATTCAATAGAATTTTCTAACGAATTCGATAGGTTTTCCTATTAAATTTTTTCGTCCGTGATTTCATCTTTTTGTTATGGTAAACCATGAGTTTTCTTTACTGCCATTTTAATCATTAGTAATATTAGAAGACTAAAAATCTGTTGACTTTTTCCCTTAAATTGAATACAATTTCTTAGAAAAAATCGTGTCTTAGAGTCGATCCCTCGATGTAAACACTAAATTCCAATCCTGAAATAGTCAACACGGATACTCGTGATTACTTTAAAACTTTTCCTTTGTATTTCCCTTAGAGGAACCAATGAAGATACTACGACTACTAAACTTTTAGCATTGAGACATTGTCTGTAGGAATTTCTCGCCGCGAATTGTCAAAGTTTTTTCCATTTTATTTTTCTTCTCTTTTCATTAAAATAATTCGCTAAAAAACATTGTAGTTGAGGAATTTCTGCGGAAAATATCTCAATAAAATAAGTTGTGTAGAAAAAATCGAATTCCATCGATTTTTCCCCCATAATATTTATTAGAAAATCGCACGAAATAATTTAAACGATCAACTTTCAATTTAAATTGAATAGAATTTCTCAGAGAAAATGTATCTGAGAGTAGATCCCTCGACGTAAACAATGAATTTCCATTCTGAAATTGTCAACACGAATGCTCCTGAATACTATAATGCTTTTATCATTAAGGCATTATCTGTAGAAATTCGACACGCATTTTCAAAGTTTTTTCCGCTCTATTTTCCTTCATTTTTCATTATAAAAATCAAAATAAAAAATACAAAAAATATATCAATAGAATAAGCTATATAAAAAATTGAAAAAATTGAATTCTTAAAAACTAAAAGAACGTTCAATAGAAATCAAATAAAATTTTCTAGCGAGTTCACTAGATTTTTCTACGAAATTTTTTCTTACATCATTTCTTTTATTACTATTTCAATTATCAGTAATATAGAAAAATAAAAATCTGTTGATTTTTTCCCCAAATATTTATTAGGAAATCGCAAGTCATAATTTAATCGATTAATATTCAATCAGAATTGGATAGAATTTCTTCGGTAAAATCTGTATTAGCGTAGATCCCTCGCTCAAAACAATGAATGCCCACTCAGAAATAGCCAATACGAGTGCTCACGATTGACCCTCAGTCCCTCCATCACCGCCTCCTCCCCAAAGCAACAAAAACGATAAAAAATGCTGGGCAAGATGGTTATAGCCCTGGGGTTGTGCAATTTCCCTGATAATCATCCGACTGTCACCAGGGGGGAAATTCGACTTGTCATCCCTTACGACAGGCCAACGTTTTTCACGAGAGGCTGGTGTCACGCTTGGATGTGTCTTTGAATGTGGGACACGCGTGGACTTGATGAGTCGCACGTCACGAAGGAGAAGAGAATAAAACGGGAGTCCAAGCACGTGCTCATGTCATATTTCGACGATTGAATTATGAATGGGGTGCGGTACTCTGGGATTAGTAGCTATTTCTATTTTTTATACTGCCATCGAACAAATTGCGGACAATCACGTGCCCACAACATAAGAATTCAATACTAGCGGAAAATTTCTGTTGTCTTCATATAGCGCGACTATTTTTGCTGATAAATTAGCGATATGATTTCGATGGGTCATTTTGCACATTTTTTTCTTCTTCGATCCATTGTTTCCACAAAATATCTTCCCGTGAATATTCATTAAACCGATGAATCTCCAAAGGAATTCGTCGCTTTTGACTCTAATAATGTAATATTTGTAATATTTATATTGGAACGGACTCCACTCGTTCCGCATCATGCTGCAAAGCGCTATCCCCTTTCACCGAAGAAAGCCCCGCTGACGGCATTCGTCTGAAAACTTTAATCCATTCTCCCCCACGCGCATAAAAAAAACACAATACCAACGTTAATTACGAATCCCTTCGTCTAACGCAATTTCCCAACATAAATTACTTCTCCAGAATTAATCTCTTACCTTCTTCATCCATGTGAACTTGAACTTTTCAAACTTCCTGAATACCTCCTTCGAATTCCTCTCGCCCGTCCCTCAGTGTCTCCAACTTCCTTTAAACTCACCCACACCAGACACCACAAAACAACCCCATTTAATCAATTCAATTCCACTTTTAATTCCACTACCTGAATTCGTCTCTTCATCTAAAGTACTTTAACACGCGACGGACTGTTGACCGAGTTTTCTCGTCGCTCGAAATAAGCGAAGCTTCATAGAGTACCTCCGCAATCACAATCGTAATATCCTATCTCATATTTTTCCATTCTCACTCCAGGTAATTATCTTCCTTCTATTCGAATTAATTAAAAACCTCGCAAAGCATTATTCAGCTCTCAATGTTGTTTTCAACGCAAAAAAATACTGATATTTTTTTTTCTTTTAAATCATCCCCAAACGCTTTTAATTCGCTCCTTGAAGCTCATCCCGCCCGAAAATATCAAAATCTGAGCATTAGAATTTTCTTCTCTACGCGCGCGTGCTCTCGGCCGCACGGCGCCTGCAACTGGTGGCTGATACTGCGTGGAGCTTGCTCCGTTCAAGCTCAGCCATACTGCATTCACCGTAACTGATGGCAAAAATAAAAGAGGCTGTGGGGCGGGGGACGGGGGAGGGAGGGGGGGAGGGGGAGAGAGGAAGGGGTGGAAGAGATAGAGCAAAAAAAAATTGACGGGAAAATGTGGCCCCGAGGGTGTTAATGAAAATGAGCATGCACAGCATTATTTCCACTCAATTTATGTCGCACGTATGGTTAATGTTTTCAACCCCCTTTTTTAGTCATCTTCTTTGTTTCATTTATCGACTTTTGCGTCGCTTTATGACACGAGATATGCGTCGGGTGTCGTGGGTATTATTGCGCTACAGCTGGGGTAATTAATTAATTCATTAGTTGATTAATTGGGTGGGGAGAACAGATGGCGGGATCTAAGGTTGCAATTATTGGGCAGGTGTGGGGGTCTTTTTCGCGGTCTCTACGGATGTTCATTGGATTATTATTTTTTTTAATAAATTGGGAAGATTTTTTTTAGAGGAGAATAATTCGCTGGATTAAATTTGCCTGCGAAAGGTCCATCGGAATTTTTATTTGTGAGTGGATGAGAGGTTTTCGTTATTCTTCAGCATTGGCAGACAGATTAAAAATGGATCAATTTTTTTTTTCGATTGAAGAGAGTTCATTTAATTCAAATTAGCTATTTTATAAATTAGGGGACAAATGAGCGTTTCATTGATGAATGGAGATTTATTGGAATGAATGAACGAATGAAGAAAGTAAAATGTTTAGAGAAAAATGTCCATTTTTGAATTTTTATGGATCCTGCTATGAAATTAATAAATGACTGTAAATTATGTAATTATACTTGATTATTTTTTATTTAATCATTTGACCCTGTATTAACAATGATGATATCAAAGAAAAAAATTCCCCGCATTAGATTTTCTTGTGAACATTTCTCTCTCGAAGAGTTCTTTAATAACTCCTTTGGTATATTTAGATGACCCTTTAATAATTTTCATTAATTTTTAATTCTCTCGAAATTTTTATTTGTAAATTAATGGGAGTAAGAGGTCTTAATTATTCTTCAGCATAATCAGATGAATTAAAAGTAGATTAATAATTTTTTTAATTTGAATTAAATGAACTTTATTCAGTTAAAAAAATGTCAACTTTTGAATTTTGCTGATTTTGCTGTTGCCATGAATTTTGTAAATTATGTAATTGTATTTGATCATATCTTATGTAATAATTCGACTTTATAATTGGCTCAATGCTCTGGGGTATCAACATGCAATAAATAAATTAATTAATCAATTCCATAAATTAGGAGACACGTGTAATTTTTTTTGTAATCCATTTGTTCTTTATTCTCGTATGAAAAAGGAATATAAGATAAAATATGTTGTCGGAACTTTCGAGGTTCATGGACTGACAAATAGGTAATTGAAGGCTATCGTTGATTGAGTGAATAATGGGTATTTACAGTATCGGATGAAGGTATGTGTGCTTTGATTATTCCATTCAGAGGAACTCCATCTCACGCTCGATCCCGACGAACTTCAGCTGTTCGGTCGGTCCATATCTGCAATGGAAATTAGAATGGTTTTTCTACATGAAGTGTTTGAATAAGGAAATTGAAGTCAGCTTCTAGAGCCCGATATTTTTGTAGTAAAAGTCTAGGTCTCGTGCAAACTTCTCTAGCTTTTCACTCTTTCTCTGTTTTTCAAGCAATTCTCAGACTTTTGAGAAATGTGAAAATATATTACATTATAATTTGTAATTGTGTTATTTGGGAGTGGATTTTTTCATGAAAAATTCAAAAATTCAATTAGTTCAAATGCTAATTGTGAAGATAATTTAGTAAATTATAGAATTTCAGGTGCAGCATTTGATTCCTATCTCTAAATCTAAGATAAATACAGAAAATTCCATTAATTTTTTTGAATGTTTAGATGTCGACCTTTCATCAGAATCTTTCATAAATTATTGATAATAAAAGATATCATAGCGAGAATGTAGAGAATTCCCTCAACAAAAAATATATCTCGACATTTCGTTAGAATGGATTTATTCATTTTTCAAAGAAATTCTTGGAATTTTGAGAACTCTTAGAACCCATTTCACTATAATTTCTCATTATGTTATTCGGGAGTCGATTTTTTGTGAATTATTAATAACAGAAATTAGAGCGAGAATGTAGAGAATTTCCTCAGCAAAAAATACCTCTCGGCATTTCATCACTGTTAATTTTTCATTAAAATAAATTCAATGACCCCCTCCACTCCCCAAAAACTCTAAAATTCCAATCGATTAATTCTCTTCACCATTGAGCAGCTGATTAAATCCCCACGAAATTGAAATTCCCCAACAATGTCATTCAAATATCGTTTAAAACTCCAATTTACCCCAGAAATGACCAATCAACATGGAAAAAACACTCACCTGTAATCGAAAAACAACTCTTCGCCAGGCTGAATCGCCCGTTTGGCAAAAATGCCAATCCTGTGATCTCCATTAACCATCATTACCTTTGCATAGCAATTAGGATTGATCGAGTGATTGGCGAATCGTATTTTATTCCCCTTCCTCGTGGCATCAACGACAAAATCGTTATTAAGATTGAACAGAAAACTGCACATGTACTTGTCATAAACCTTTCCCCTCCTGTCAGCCTCGTCCTGACTGATGATTTCACCGCAGTACTCGGATATGAATTCATTCTTGGCAGCTGATTCCTTCAGGAAAATGCCCCATCCAGCGACGTCTGAGGGTGCCATGAGCAGGTGCTTGTGCAGTCCCCTCTGAACACTGACGTTTTTGCATGAAATTTTTGTTATATGAAACTGATCAGCCCCACAAGTTTGACACAAGTCTGGATCACACTCTCTGACAGCCAGATAACAGGGACATTGTTTTGTGTTGCATTGTGCCTTGCATCGACATCCAGGAAATCTATTCTGGCATTCGGTGCTGCATTGACAGAATTTTTCGCAGAAATTCTGGGCCTGAATGCAGGGACAAGAATTGTCACAAGCTCTGCCTGGGTGATCGCAGGGGGCGAAATTGTGAACGTGATTGGCACCTGAATCCTTCTTCAGTTGAATTTTTCTGCAGTGCATAGACCTGTAATTATATCAAATTCATGTCATAAAATATTTTTTTAAATATTCCTTTGAGGATATTTTTACTGGATTTGCATTGGAATTCGTCTGAATTTTGAAGAAGAAATATTGTCTAGAGGAAAACTGATTAATTTTCCTGATAAAAATTTCTTAAGATAAAATTCTCCATTAATTTTATTTTCTCAATGAAAAACTTAAGTGAAAGAAACTCACAATCAGGAAATTGAAGCCAAAAAATTATTGATTTTTTTAATTAAATCATTTCAAATTTAAATAATAAATTCCTAATTCTGCAACTTCATAATTAAAATTATTTTCTGTACTGCAAGTGATTATTTTTGTTAAATAATGGATATAAGTTTTGTTTTTAATTTTTTATCAACTTGATATCTAAAGAAAATTGACAGATCAAAGGGGAAATTAACAACGAATACAGTGAGATGCTTAAAAAAATTTACATACCAGAGACGATGCTTCTTCTTCTTCTTCCTGGGTGGAGTGAAGTCCTTCATGCTCTCGATTGCTGGAATGTCGTGCTCCTCCTTCTGAGCGAATTCGTACACCTCCTGGCAGGTTTTAGTCAGCATTATTTGCGCGAGGGCGCAGGGGTTACCTGGGAATGCTTTGTGGAGGATTCGGAAGAGGCTCTGTTCAGAGCCTGTCCAGGAGTATTCGCTCTCAGTTTTCACGCGTTTGTCGAGACCCAGGAGGGTAAAGGGACTCTGGTGATCAGGCTGGGCCTGCTCTTCCTCCATTTCCTCGGGTTTTGAGTCTTGATTCACGTTTTGTTTGAAGTCTAAAAGCAAAAATTAGAAACGATAATTCATTTAATCCACTTTTTATTTATAAAAAATTGGCAATATTCTTCCAAATAGCCATTTTATATTATTTAATTCAACTGAATTATATTTCTACTTTAATCTATTGTTAGATTTCTTCTGAAAATTCTTGTATAAATCAAATGAAAGAATAATGCTATCTAAATTATCTTGAAAACAAATTCGATTTTTGGAAAAATTCGAAAGTTCTAAAAATTAGTACTGAATTAAATTTTAATTGATGTTGACGAATAGAGCTCGATAATTGAAAAAAGATTATTTATAAATAATTTATAGAAAATGCTCGTATTTTAAAAAACTGCAATTATTTAATGATTTCATCAATCTTCCTGCAGATTTTTCCATTTTTATAATAGATTTTTTAAATGTTTTCTAAAGTCCGGATACTTAGGGTCAAATGGGGCTCAAATGAGAGCTCTGATGTTCAACTGCAAAAGTATAAAAACATTTCACTAGTGAGAGAATAGCCAAGTACTTGGATATCTTCAATTAAAAAATATTGAAACGTATTTTCACTTTGAGATTAAATATTTTTAATGATTTCTGGTCTTTACCTTGACAGCTACCACCCTGGCTGTACTTGTTGCTGTCATTGCTGTCCTCACTGCTCGCTTCATTACCAGAATCTACACTCGCTTGTTTACGAACTTTACGAGGGCGTTTATCATCCCCCTCCTCGTCCTTATTGTCAGCTGCCTGAGCTGCCAATTTCTCCTTCATTCCTTCCTGTAAATTCACGGAGTAATTCACTTCCTACGATGCACCAAATAATTTCTCATACATTAATATTCCTATCGAATAACCAGTTATACCATCCTTGATTTGATGGAAAAAATTGAAGTAATGAATTATAAGTATTGAATTAAAGTAGCTCTAACCTTACAGCTCGAGCCATTGAATGTTTCCACAAAAAAGAAATTCTAAAAATTGTTTTCATGTCTAAATTATTGAAATTAATTATAGAGGCCTTAAACATAAGAATTTTCTCATTCTTTAATTTTTTTCAACTAAAAGTATAAATGAAACAAGTGGCAATATTTGTCATTATTTCTTCACACTTTCAGCAAAAAATTCAGATTTTCAGCTTAATGATAAATTTTAAATAAAGTTAAATTTTGAATTAGTCAATTGATTGGTATTACTCAACAATTTTTTAATTATTAAATTAATTTCCGAATTATTTTATCAATCAATAATTGAGTTCGGAAGATTGACGATTATTTGACTAATCGAAGATCCTTTTATCAAGTTTAAAATTATTTACTAATTATTCAATTTTTTTCTTCAAATTTTAATGAAGATAAGTAAACCTTTATTATTTTAAGCTGGAACACTCTTAACATTAATAATATGATTGATGACGATCCCTGTCTTCAGGTAAGACCCTGGATTAAATAATGATTTTTAAACTTTTTTAATTATAAAAACGAAAATGACAATAAAACAGTGAAATAGTAAAAAAAATTACAATTCCGAATCTCCTCGAGTTTTCGGGTAATTGTTTGTAGTTTTTACAAATCTTTCAATTGAAAATCAACCCAATTTTTTTATTCTTCTGTGCTTGCTATTTTTGTGATGATGTATTGATTATTTTTATCTTCCACAGTTAATAAGGGGAATAAGGTTAATAAGGAACAGAATGTAAAGACCCGAGAGGGTATGAATGTGGCTGAATAAACTGAAAAACTTTCTTCTAAGGATAAAGCTACTTAAAAAAAGTGATGAAAAATACTGAAATGAGAGGACTATCACTCACCAGATGCATGTAACATTCAGTGCCGCAGGGATCCGAAAATGGTTTGAGATCAGGCCCCTTCCTCTTCTGCAGATTCGGCCCAGGATGACAAACTTGAAGCCCTGTGGAAATGAAATATCATTACACCGCTAGAAATATCCTTAAACGATAAATGAACGTTTCATGAACAGTCGATGGGACGATGAGTGATTTATGATTGTGGAGATGAATCCTTGATGACTCTGCGCTATAGAAAAAATAATTTGACATTTTTTAAGGCAATCTTTTACCTTGCGGTGACGTTCCCCTGGCTGCTTCATAAATCAAGAATCAGAATATTTTTACTGTTAATATGGGAGTACAGAGGGGATAGGCATTAACATTACAATTTTGGAATTTTTTTTGCTCGTATTTAATCGAATTCTTCAAGTAATGGATAGAATAATCTTGGAAGATAGAAAAGTTTCGATTGTGTGGAAATTCTGAGGATATCCTAGAGGATGTTGACACTTTTTGCTTTAAAAATCCCAAAAGATTTCAAAGTAATTCATTTTTATAAAATAGAAAAATGGAGGCATGTTTCAAAATTTGGTATTTTTTATCGGATTTTCTTGTAATAAATCTTGAGTAATAAAAAAATTACAATTTAGAAGACATTGCCAGATTCTTGTGAATTTTGATATTTATTCAATTAAAATCCCAAAAGTGTGTAATTTTAATGTTTAAAATTCAAGTTTTTCCATCAATTTATTGCATTTTTTAGAACAGAAAAACGAACAAACATTGAACTATCAAAATTTTTTTTGTTCATATTCAATCAAGAATTCCTCAAGAATTTGAAAGAATAAATTTTGAAGAATGGAGAAGTTTCAATTCTTCCAAAACTCCATTAAATTTGCATTAAAAATTCCAAAAGTGATAAATTTCAGTGTTTTACGTTTGATTAATTTATCCCAGAAATAGGGATATCCAAAATACCTCAACATCATAAAATCCAGAAAAAGAAGGAACTTACGATGCAGAAAACAGTCATATTTGAAGCATCTCCTGCAGAACAAAGTATGAAAAGAGTGCATCGTCTGTTCCCTGGGTACATTCTTAGCATTCACTCCGTCGATGTTTGGAGTGCACTCAGGAGGCAGTACATTGGGATCAGACCTCTCTGTTAGCTCGATGTACTTTTCGCGAAGCTCCTCTGGCCGCCCTTTGTCAGAGAACTGACTCGAGATGGCCTGAGAAATAAATCCAATAAGTTTCTATTCACCTGATTTACATCGAGGGTAGTGGACGTCTCTTCGGTGATATTTTTGTTACTCACATTGAAGACCTGCATGGAGGGGAAACGTGGAGTGTCTTTGTCATCCTTTCCCTCATCTGACTTTTCTGGCCTTACATCGGTCTCTTTCTTCTCCTTATCGTCCCTCGTTCTCCTCGGGGCTTCCTTCTCCTTGTCGTCTTTCTCGTATTTCACTAGCTCATTCACGAGATCGACGAACAATTGGTCATCCATAAAACCAGATTCTCTGTCTCCATGAACCTAGATTACAATTTTATTTCATTTCAATGATTTTACTTGTTACGCAAATTGATAAAATGATAGAATAAATAAATAGAATATAATGGTACTAAAATAAAATAATTAATAATATTTTATTTAATTAATAAAATGTTATTAATCATTTTATTTTATTTAAGTAACTAGTAAAATTGTTTTTAATAACTGCAAATGGCTGAAGAGTTGAAGTTCTTTTCATACAATTTTATTTTACAGTATAAAAATTCAATTGAGATGAGAATGAGTATAATTCCAAAATTTGAAGTTCAATCGATACTAGAAATTTTTTGGATATGAATTCTTATTTGAAACATTTATTTCGTGTATTTGAGTAGCGAATAGTTGAAATGGTAGACAAACAGCAATCTCATTGAATCATTCATAAAAATTTATAGAAGGAATATTCCTGTTTCCTCTTTGTTTTGCACGAACATTTTGAAATGAATTTGTGTCAGCCCTAAAAAATAAGCCAATTCAGCATGAGAATAGGTTTCGTAAACTGAAGCTAAAATTGTTTTGTATTTACTAACGGAATTTTTCATTTTTGTTCTTGCGTACGTTAATTCACTTTTTAAAAAATGCGAAATCTATGTATTTCCCACTGCCATAGGGCACAGTCCCTGAAAGACAGTTTATTGTAGCAAATAGAATGAAATAAAATAAATAAATATCAGTCATAAAGTGGAAACCGAATGAAAAACATTTCATTCGAAAAAACTGAGGGGAATATAAAATGATTCACTTCACCTTTCCATCGTAATTCTTAATGAGCTCCTCAATGAACGTCCCATCCTGATCCAGTATTTCATCTCCCATATACGGTATGTTATGCAGGACAGTCTCATCCTCGACCATGAAATTCTGCTGTATCGGTGCCCACGTGTACATCGTGGGAATTGGAGTGACAGCATTGATGATTTTTACAGGGAAGCTCTGGGCATCTCCGTCCGAGCTCGTGACCTCTCCCTTCTTCATGCAGGATACGTGGGCCGGAACATCCTGCATTGCCAGCCACATGGCCTTGCCGTCGGCCCATCGCTTTTGCTCGGTAACGAGAAGCTCTGCTTTCATAATTGATATCTTTTTTAATTACTATGCACAACGCATAATTTAATTTCTTTTCATTAAGTATAATTTAATTTATGAACAATCTTCTGTCAGGAATTCCAAAATAATTCTTGAACCTGAGTTTTCTGGGGGGGGGGCAGAGAGTATTCAAAAAATTGGAGAATTTATTCCTACAAATGCCAAAAACTCTCAAACGTCCCTTCAGAATATTCTTAAAGTAGTATAAAAATAACTAGAATTTTCAAGATTAAAATCTGAAATAAATTGTGAACGAATTTTAATATGAATAGAAACATTCTGGTTGAGTTTGAGCCCAATCAGCAGTCTAGTATTGACCATAATAATTAATCTAGAGGTGCGAAATCACGCAGTCTTATGAGAAAATGATTTGAACCATTAGAAAACATTTTAAAAATCTATTTAAAAAATTGCCATTTTTAAAATTACGATCATTTTTATAAATAATTTATAAAAAATCAATTTTCCACCATAAAAATTCCTCAGAATTTTACCAGAAATCCATTTCATACCTAAAAAAATTAAGTTCCGAAAGATGAAGCAATTTCAATGATTTATTTATACACAACGAATATTAAAAAAAGGAATATCTTTGTGCAAAATGTAATTTGAATGACGCTCAATATTCATGAGATTTCACGATTGAAAATGGCTGCATCTACGGTGTAGTCTTTACCAAAATGTAAATATACTAGGATACCTTTAAAAAAAACAATGAAATGATCGAACTGACCCGTCATAACTTTCCGGTTCTGGTTCCACGCGATTTTAACCTCATCCGCTCGCTTATCCCTCTTCTTCTCCCTCAACTTCACGTACTCCAATTTCACCCGCTTCTTCCACTCCGCTGGAACTTTAGCCTTCGACATTGTCACTCCCTGAGTCCTCGAAATCGACTCCAATAACAAAAAAATAACAAATTGGAGCAAATATCGTTAGACAAACAACAAACACTGATGAACGCCAGCCGCCATTTTGGTTGCGCTCAAGAAATCACTAGAAATCCCCCAGAATACTTTTTGGAGGCTTTGGACTAGGGATGGGCGATTGTTTGTTGATTAATCGAAAAACATCGATTTTTCATGCCCAAACATCGATGTTTTGAACGGCCGATTAATCGATTTTCGATATTTTTTTCCAAACATCGATGTTTCTGACCAAGGTAACAAAATTTTTTTTTTGTCGAAGAATAATGGTGATTGATTGAGAATAAACAAAACAATAATTTATCCGCAATCAGAAGTAATTATTTTCCACAGTGTGTATGTTATAAATAATAAGTCAACAGGTCCAGTCGTCTATTGGTTTTTTAAAGTAAATAAAAAATTTCCCTTTTTTTTCATTAAAATTTTTAACAATTATTGCAGCTAACGGAAAATATTCAATATATTTTTCTTCAATTAATCAGAAACCCTGTTTCGAGATTCAAAATTTAATTCTCCAGCAGTACTTATTAGTTATCATTGAAACGTAAGTTCCTCGAGAAGAAAAAAAATGATTAAAAAAAAAATTGTTTCTTCCCTTGTGTACGAAGTAAAACTTCAATTTTTTAAATAATCGGTATTTTTTCCTGAAAAATCGATTCACAACATCGATGTTTTTGAAAAACATCAATTCTTCCATAATCGATGTTTTTTAAAATACCGCCCATTCCTATTTTGGAAACGTTCTAGGGAAAATGGCGACAGTACGGAAGGCGGTACGACTCCCCACCCCAACCCAGTGAGCTTCCAATATCCTCGGATAGGGGGATTTGGGGGGATTCGACCATCAAAGGCGTCGGTGGAAATAATTCGCCAACTCCACGACAATTGTTGTTTAAAAAATATCTCGAGGCGTTGAGCCCGAGGTTTCGATGAACGCGAAATACAGAAGTGTCTGCTGTCATTTAAAAAAGTGTCTCGACTAATTTCTGTTGCCCAGTGACAAAATGAGGCACTGAGGCGTGAGGAAAGTGTTTTGGTTATGTCTACAGCTCTAGAGACAACGTTCGGAGCGAAAACAAATTGTTGAGCCAGTGTTGAGTGAATAAAACTTGAGCAACAATTGACGATTGACAGGTTTGAGTAGATGAGATGGACTGAGGGATTCATTGACTCAAATCCGTGGAATAAAATGTCGATCGACAAGCGACAATAAATCGTGCGTGAAATATTGATCAAGGCGTCAGTAGGAAAAATTCGCCAACTCCACGACAATTGTTATTTAAAAAATATCTCGAGGCGGTGAGCCCGAGGTTTCGATAAACGCGAAAAACAGAAGTGTCTGCTGTCATTTAAAAAAGTGTCTCGACTAATTTCTGTTGCCCAGTGGCTGAAAATGAGGCACTGAGGCGTGAGGAAAGTGTTTTGGTTATGTCTCCAGCTCTAGAGACAACGTTCGGAGCGAAAACAAATTGGTGAGCCAGTGTTGAGTGAATGAAATGCGAGCAACAATTGATGATTGAGAGGTTCGAGTGCAATAATTCGAATTCATTGCCATTTTGTGGAATTAAGTGTTGATGGATGGGAACAATGTGATCGAGTATTTCAATTGAAGAGAATATTCGTGATTAGGTGTTGATAAACACAATGTCTGAGACGCCTAAGATGGGGGTGCTTGGCTCCAAGGAAGAAGACAAGAGTGTTGAGGTGAGCAAGGAGGACTCCCCGGAGCGGTACGTGCCGTACAGTGTTGACAGGAACGCTGAGACCTATGACACTGAGGCACTGAGTATCATGGATATCAATGATATCATTGGAGTGCAGACCGAACCGGTTGGGGACTCGACCCTGGAGGGAGAGATGGCCGCACTCTCGGCGATGATTACAGAGGCGAAGAGTGAAGATGATGGGGAAGTGCAGGATGAGTCGGTGCAAGATGCACCGAAGGAGGGAAATCAGGGGGCTGAGGAAAGACTCGGGGATTCCGGAGATTCGAAAGAAAGTAAGAATTTTTTTCTAGAGAATTAGTGTTGCCGAATTTTTCCATTTTTTTCTCAGAATTTGTAGAGACAATGGAATTTTGGTAGGGTAGAGATTGAAAGATGTGACACACCAGTTAACTACAATTTATTCTTTTGATCCGTTTGTTATTTTTTTTTAATTGTAGTTTATTCTGTTCTTTTTTTTTCATAATACTATCATCAATTGAAATGTCAGCAAAATTTTAGGTATTATTTCGTTCTGTCAAATAATTCTACATTCAGACCCTCTCAAGACTAGAATTCGTTTTCAGTCCGGATTTAATCAAGGTTCAATCAAGGTTTAATCAGTGTATAGCCGGGATTGAATCAGGGTTTATTCAGGATTTAGCCAGAGTTTAACCCAGGTTCTGTCAGAAATTAGTCGGGACCATGAATAAATATGTATAAGTATTCAACATAATAGACTGGTATCTGAGTTTAATGGAGATAGACATTTTTATATAAAAAGCTCATGACGGTATTGTGTAACTTGATAAGCAAT